GCTCCACCTCCAAAAGAGTCGTCAGGATGGTATTTCAATCCCCTCTCGTCTCTGAACTGTGCAGCTGAGATACCGACCCCCACCACACACACACACATTTACACACACTGTTTTACTGCTAACAAGTTCAGTGCAGCTTCACTCTCTGTGGCAGCACCTCTCTCTCTCACACACTCGCTCTGCAACACTTTCACACTCACCCCATTCATCTCCCATCCCAATTATCTCCTCTGTCACACTGCTCCTGTTAAGGAGTGCTGAGGTGTCTGTGTGTGTGTGTGTGTGTGTGTGTGTGTGTGTGTGTGTGTGTGTGGGGGGTGTGTGTGTGTGTGTGTGTGTGTGTGTGTGTGTGTTATGTAAATTAGGTGTGCACGGTTTGTATTTTTAAACTTGTTGAACAGAGTAGGTGAGAAAGTTGCGTGGAAGGAAAGGTGTTTAAATGCGGTGATGCTGCTAATGAGAGTTTCACCTTGTTCCGCCCCAACTGGCATGAAGACGACGAGTGAAAGCGAAATATCTTCGCCTTCAGTCTAAGTAACTTGGCAGACCTGATGAATGTTATCTGGCCTGCAGACACACAACCGAGTGGCATTTGTGAATGCAGTGTTCACAGCCCATACTTTATTAACTTGTTACTGCGAATAGTTACACACAAAGAGTCGATATTTGACGACCTGGGAATGAGATGTAACAATCGACTATCTTTTGTCCGAATGACTGACCCTACCTTTAAGAGTTTCTTTTGTAATAGTTGTGTCTTTCAGGGCCTGTGCAGGGATGCACCAAAATCAGCTTAAGTCTTAAATTTCCCCCCAGGGATCAATAAAGTATTTCTGATTCTGATTCTGAAAACAACACAGGGGGCTGCATTGGTGTGGGTGCCTTGCTGGGTGATGTAGCATTGATTTGCAGCGATAGTTTAGCCTGGATCAACTTTTTTGCCGATGACCCTGCGTTGTTTTGATGGAGCCCTGGTGCACCTATGGACTGGCTCCATTCAAATGAATGAGAGGCGTCTTAATGCCACATAAGCCCTCAAGCCTCTCCACTTCTTCTCCCTTCCTCTCAAACTTTTAACTGAATATAAAAATAAATGAACACAAGCCCTAAGCTTTCCCTCCAGGCCCGGGTTTGTCCTGGTCTCAGATTTCACCCATGCACCATGAAAGGTGATTCAAGTGATCCTCGAGGAATTGCTAAAATAACTGCCTTTCTTGGTTTCAGTCTTAGCAGCCAGCGAATCTGACTGCACAGGGATTGCTCACACTTTTATCACCAAGGATGTTTTTATACCTTCTTCTCTCTCTAGTATGTGGAGTGTGTTTGAAATATAGGGACTATTTTCCCTCAGGTGGCTTTCTTGAAATAGGCACTAAACTCTGTTTTTATCATAAGAAAAGCAGACTTTTAGATCACATTCGGAACCAGATCAACATGTTTAGTCTTACTTTAAAACCTCAAATGCTGGATATGGGGATTTTATCATTTAATTTTCAGAATGCATTCAAAAATATAAGTTTTATGGCCGTGGCCTACCCAGTCATGGCTACTTGTGTACCTTCTCATAGACACTTATGTTAAAGCTCTATCAGTTTCCACTCACATTCATCCTGTCCAGCACTGAGAGCTCATTGAAATGATGTTTTAACTACAGTAAAACAAAGACTGTGGAGTTGTGGTGGAAAGTTATGTTTGTGTGTACTGAAATCATCCACTGAAAAACTTAAAAATACTAAGTCAAGTGCAATACTGGGTTTTGTACTGTTGATTCTGTGGTTGTACAAACATGTTGTTAATAATATCCAAATCTCAAAGCAACAACAAATTCATGAACTGCGTGTTTACCGTAATTTCTGGACTATTGAGCGCACCTGAATATAAGCCGCACCAACTAAATAAAATTTTTTTTTTTACATATATAGGCCGCACTTGTCTATAAGCCGCAAGTGTCCACGTTGTAACATGAGATATTTACACAGAAAAATGGTACACAGAAAGATTTTTTAAATTTTTTATTAAATAAATGCTGCCGTCTCCAACGTCTCACCATCGATTCGTTGATGCCAAGCTTACCTGCAGCAGCTCTTCTTCGACAGCCAGATCGATCGCTTTTAACTTAAAAGCTGCATCATGTGCATTTCTTCTTGTGTTTTTCATGATGAAGGTGTGTGCATGATGCGCAAAATGACTGAATGAATTGAATGAATTCAAACTGAATGAATTCAAAACACAATCAAACTAGCGTCTTCCTCGGTGCATTATCTCTTCCACCTGTCTGTCTCGCTCTTGCGCTTCCTGCTAGAGCGTCCCCTGGAGGACATTAGCCCGTAAAAATCCATAGATTAGCCGCATCATTGTTTAAGCCGCAGGGTTCGAAGCGTGTGGAAAAAGTAGCGGCTTATAGTCCGGAAATTATGGTACTTGTTATTGGAGCCTTGATGCAATCAGATGCAATCAGAACAGACCAACCAATCAACCAAGGTTGCTTGAAGTATAACAACACAGTGAGGGAATACGTCTAGCACTACACTCAGCACCGATTTATCTAACCTGGACCCCTGACAATGAAAATCAATGCCAAGTATTACTCAAATGAGTTGGTCTGCCCACTGGAATACAGTCACGTGCACTGATTCCAGTGATTTTCAGCGATCCCCTCCAGCTTTGTTCAGAGGAAGACCTGCAATTTACAAATCAACAGCAGTGTACCAGTCATATAAACTGATGTTATTGTGTAAAATTGATAGTCATTATTACAGAAAGTAATCTTCATGGAATGTTTACCAGTGTGATATTTTAAGAAATGCTGTTTGTTGAAGTCGGTTGGTCGGTTGCCATGAGCCTCTGATCTCATTTCATGGTTCATGACCATTCATCACTGGCTGATGATAATACTAACAACAAGACATAAAGAGCCAAAACCCATGTTAGCTTTTTGGCTAATGTATCCTTCAGATCTACAAACACGGACACATAACTTGTGGTGTGCCTTAAAGGCTGAATGAGCAGCCAAACAAACAGCCACCAGGGAAAAGTACACTGCTAACATAACTTTGTGGGCTACATAGCTAATTAGCTAATTAGGCGTAGCACAACAACCAGATGCTAAAAGGTGTGGTCCTTACTCTCCAACATCACTACTTATAGTTAATCAAAGGCAGGGGAAGGCTATAAAAGAGCTGGTTTGTACGAAATATTGTCCAACACACCTGAAGTTGCGTTGTAACTGCAGTCAAACAGCATCTCCAGGTCAGACAACCTTGCTGGGCGTTTAGTCCACTCAGATCATGGCTCATTTGTAAACAGCCTCTCTACTTCTTTTTAGGAGTGGTCAAAAGACAAAAATTCAGCAGTTGTGAATTCCAACCACACCCAAAGGCGGGGAGTCACAACCCCTAACCCCTAATCCTAACCTCCAAAAGTCTTGTCCTCGAAGGCATGGGCTCAGTTTGTACACATGAAAAGTGATGGATCAGAAATTGTCAGGCACATCCCCCTCAATTCCGACATCAGTCAATCAAACACGTGCACCGTCGCATCCAATCAGAAACTTAGAGACTGAAGGAGCATTTCTGATTTATAGCTTCAAAGTTAATATTAGCAATACATTTCCTTCTCTCCCTTCTTAACTATCTCCTGCCTTCACATCACCCTATCACAGATTTGATTCGTCCTCCTGCACTGCCTGAGGGTATTTCAGCGCTCCACAGATCTATTCAAATGTCATTCACGGAGAAGAAATTTAAATTAGGAGATTCCTAAAACCCACATCCACAAAGTTGCTTTTTGTCCCCGTGGGGAAGTTTTCGTCCTCTCATCAGGATGTACCATATGCCTCTGCAGCTCTTGCTTTTATTAATGACCGTCTAGTTTCCCTTTCTCCCTGTTTTGTGATATATTATTCAACTCACTAATATCTTGTTCTGTTCATCTCCCTGATGTTTTGTTAATAGCCTACTGCTCTCCCCGTCCTAACAAGTTTAGAAGGAGGAGTTTTAAAAGATGTGTCAAGCTCATCTGGCTCAGCTCTGACCCTCTCTGACATGTTTTCTTTCTCTCTTCCTGCTTCCTCCGTCTGTCTCCTCACTTAATTATTAACAGATTCCCCTCACACATCTTCAGTTGTCTGATTGTTCAAAAAGAAAGATAAGAAGATGGGAAACAATAGAAAATGATATCAGACAGATACGCAAGACTGGCTAAAAATCTGACAGAAAGAGAGACAAAGAGAGAAAGAAACAGGGTTGTTGAGCTAATGGGCGGCTCCAAACGATGATGAGCTGATGGGGTGATCAAAGCTGTGTCTGGGAAAGCTGATGTCTTTAAATTAATAATCAGATTGCCTAGAAGTGGACCCTGCTAGATTGGTGTTCAGAAGAACAAAGAGTTTTGGGTTTCACTACGAAAGCTGCCTGTTTTCACATGGACTCACGTGTAGGGTTGGGTACCATTTACATTGGAACTGGTACCTCTATTTGGTACGCAACAGTACCTTTTTTAATAACTTTACGGTATCTCTATAATGATAAAAATCTAATTTAAATTGTAAAAATTAAGTCCAAACTCTTCTCACTCTCACTAATTAAGTTACACAGCCTGTGTGCCCTGACTCGGTGTGACTTGAACAAGCAGCAGGCACTCTCTCTCTTTCTCTCTATACTAAAACTTTCTCTCTCACCCATATGCACTCTCAGGTATGGAAATTTGGCACTGATTGGTTTAACGTGAATCGTACTCGGTAGTACCGAATGAATTCGTAGCCATCCACATGCACATACAACAAGATACAAGATAATTTAGTTGACTTAACTCCCCTCCCCTCCAGGGACATGACTACTACTAAACTACTTTCATTCATGTATTGTTTTACATTTGCTTTCTTTAATGCTATTATTTCTGTCATTATTTGTTCATGTAGCATGACTAAATTTCAGTTTACTGTCACTGTTTGAGTTCTTATTATTTTGTCATTCTCTCTCCCTCCCTTGTTTTGTTTCTAGCATGAATTGTGGAAAGCTTGTCCACCCTGACAAGCCCCTAGAGGCTCTCTCCAGGTAATGATCCCTCACATTGCTGCAAGAGCTGCTTTGGCTTCAGCTTCCCTATCTTTGAATGCTAGCGTGCTATTGTCAGTGACTAAAACCAGAAGTTGTTGCATGCAGAATGTGTTAGCAGTGGGTAAGTTCAAACAACAGTTCCACATCTGAAGAAAAACTATGCCAACCTGAGCAGTCAGATGAGAAGATCAATGTCAACATGTGTAGGAAAAAAATTGTAAGAAACATGGTAGTTTTAGAAAGAATAGGGGCAGTATTTCCTGACAACCATTTATTCATTCACCCAGCATCTTTAGCTTGCAGGTGTAGCTCAGTTCGCTCTCTGAAGACGCAGCTGCCTAGAATTGCCGGCTGGTCCATGACAGGCCCATGACAGGTCCTTGCTTAACTGCATGGAATGGGAGAGGCTGGTACTGTAGCTTGTCACTGGTGTTGAAAGTCACTCATAATACCCCTACAGTTTTTTTATTTATTTTATTTTAAAATATCCCTGCAAGATAAAAATCCTCAAGGTTAAGGACTAACTAGTTGGTTGTTTAATGAAACCCCCTAAACCCCAAGTAAATCCAAATCCATCAAACTCATTGATCCTTTATCTGGTTTGTGCAAGTTAGAATCAGTGGCACCGACCATGGCTCTAAAATATCGGTGGCCAATCTGTGCTGTGTATCGATCCATGGCACTGTCCATGGTGCTGAAGTAACTAACAGTTTGTAACTGTGCTTTTTTTCTTTCAGTCCCACCGTTCTGTCAGTTTCCTCTTAGATCTGTAAACTATGTACAATAAATACCCAGTTCTACACTAAATTGTAGCCATACTCTAGTGTCACCTTCATGATCAAAGTGACAATTATGCTGAAAATACTCCCACAGACCAAGCCACCTCTGTAATAAATGAGGTTTAGCAATTGGGCCATTCCCCTGTTTTAAGTAAATCTCTCCGTTCACACTGCAGGCACAAGGGACCCAAATCTGATTTTATTTATTTTTTAAATGTATTTGCTCATATGTGTCTCAGATCTATTTTTTATGTGTTCCAAACCAGATACAGGTATAGTTTTTTGCAATGCAACCTCAGTAGTCATATCGGAATTCATAGATGGCCATTGGTCATGTGGGTCACTTCAAGACCTTGAACTGTTCACACAGGAATCTGATATACACCATCATTGGCTTGCAGTGTAAACATGGCTACATTAGCTCGAACAGGTTGGTATAGCAGCTGCTCAGAAATGGCAAATCTCCTTGAAATCTCCACTTCACCTTCTTAAAACTGCATCCAATGAACATGTCATTGTGCAAATTCCTCAACAATAGCTCAAGCTTTGATCCTCTCAATAGACGAGATCTACCTGTACATTTTACTTTCATGACAAGTAAAAGAGATACTAAAAGACTGGCTAGTAGTTTCCACTACTTCCCTTGTTTTGAGCTAAACTTGCTAAACTTACCTATCTCTGTACACAGAGATGATATTGATCTTCTCATGTGACTCTGTAAGACGACAAACATAGTCAAGCTGTTTTGTTAATTTCAGTCCAATCAAATTGGTGAAACCCCCAATATGCTAGCAGTGAATAACACACGGATTCATAATGTCAGGATGCATTTTTCCAGCTTTGTCTTCAGCTCCTTTCATCTTTAATTCAAAGCTTTATTTATCTGTTTGAGGATTCTTTTTCTTCCTTGTTTCTGCCTCTAACTAACACTAACTTTATTCAGATTCCGTGTGAACTGCCTGATGAACCGCTGTGCAACACTAATGCAGAAATGATATTGTGGATGATTAATGTGTATGCCATGAGTTGTGTCTCCAGCAACAGCAGGGGAAGTTAAAGTTCCCTCTCTGAATAATAACCCTGTGTTGAATTTAGTAGGAACTAGCTCCTTTTTTGTTGCCCTTCAAATCAAATTAAACCCCTTTTTTCTTTCATAAGTGCCTTGTATTACCTCTGGAAGGATGGAATGAAATCAGGTGTCAGGCCGCCACTGCGGCTAAATGCACAAGTTTTCAGACAGAGTTTAAAAAATAGACGCCTGGTATTCTCTCCCAGTTGAAGCTTTAAACTATCTAATTGTGAACTGTGACTGATTGATTGAACCCAGAAACATAAAAGAAAGAGAATTCCATTACAGAGAAATGTAACTTATGTCAGACTCAAAGTAAACACGATTCTGAGTAGTGACATCATAGAATTAGAGATCTGTCTGCTCCTAATTTCCTTTCATCAAATGAAGTTCATATCACAGGTTGTATTTATGATTATTGATTTATTTATAGCTTAAATTCGCAAACAGGCTTATACTAAAAACAAGCGTTTATTTTTAATTTCCCCTCTTTTATAACTGATCTGATGTATATTTATTGCTTGTTAATGTAAATTCAACACTTCCCCCATGTTTACCTGTTGCCTTGATAAATTCAGTATAATACTCAGTTTCTACAATTCGGTCAGTCCAACAACACTCTACAGTAAGAGTAAGAGTATAAAAAGTAAGGAGTAATCCACACTATTCATTCTAGCTACCTTATGTGTCCCTATATATCATTCAAGTGTTACCTGATTCATTTACTTTCTGTTGTATATGACAATATAACGGAACAATAATTATGATTAAAAAAAACTGTGATAAAACTAATTCTTGAACCAACTGTATTGTTAATTACTAGGTTACTATGAATTTCCTACCGTGTTTTATGATTGCCATTCTTCTGCCCATTTTTGACACAACCTACTAGTTGCATGTTCCATGTCATTTTACTGTCAACTATAATACCTATTCACTTTTTATCAGTTACTTGTTCAACTGCTTGCCCCATAGTTATGTGCAAAAAGGGGCTTGTTTAAATAAAAACAGCATGTTTATAGTCATTTCTTCATTTAAGACCTTTTCTAGTTCTCCAGATGTGGTGTGCTGATGTGTAGATTGTGGAAACGTGCATTGTAATGCTGTCAATATTCAAAATGAATGGAAAATCATTAGTATAAATTTGAAAGAAAAGTGGCCCTAAACAGCTCCCTTGGGGCACTGCTCTTACCTCAGAATAATTACTTTTAAAGTATACTGTGTATTTCCTGTTAGACAACATCTGATCCATGCAGCTGCAGTTGGTTTAAAGCCATGAACCATTCAAATTATTGAATAACAAGTTATGATGTACTAAAATGCTGCATTAGAATCCACCAATACAGTTGACTTTCTCATATCAGTTTCTTGTCATCAGTCGCCTCAGTTAATGTAGTAGTTGTGGAGTTGTGTGCCCCTCTTTCATACACAGTATTTAAATTGTTAGTAAATTAATGCTTCTGAATTTGTTTTTATGTTATTCTTTCCATAAATGTGTTCAAAATGTGTAGTAAACTTATTGGGCAGCTATTTTTCCTTCCACCCCAGTGTGATATTACCAAAGTGAAAAATTCCCTCTGACTGAAACCATAAGTGAGATAGTACAGAGAACGGATGTTTGAAATAGAGCTGAGTCATCAGTAACATCAGTCACATTCAAAGCACATAAACACGGGTGCTCACAGTGCTGGGGAAGCCATTCTGCAAACAAATGGATTGGGGGAAAATCTCCATTTTATTTCATTCCAGAGCTCTCTGATCCTGCTCAGATGGCTGAGTAACGGCCGGCAACACCAGTGCTCACACAGACTGGTTTCATCAGCAAGTCACTGAATAAACAGAGCAGCTCAAGTACTGGGGGTTTTATGGAAGAAAGGTTAATAAAGACTAAGATAACCATGTGACTGGAAGATGAAAAGGCAGACGAGATAAGACAGTGGGATGGATGGAAACGACAGAAAGAGGGGGAAAAGATTGGCTGTGCGATCTGTGGGCGAATTTTGTTCTGTGTTAGTCACCCTGCTTCAGATGTAGGGCCCTTGTTACTAGAGGCGAATGAAGGCCTCATCTCTCACTCACAGTCAATTGGCCGGCAATCCAGTGTCACTGACAGGCCCACGGAATGGGAGCAATTTCAGAACATCCGCCTCTGGCAACAATGGTTCTCTGTTTTCTAAAGGCTAAATGCCTTCGCTTGCAGACATTGCATACACACACACAATTGAGCCTTCTATGTGTGAATGTTGCCAGCTCAGCGTAAAGAAATTTCATAATGAATGTGTTCTGACTCTGAATTCTTGAGCTCATCTGGTTAAGTCAGTAAGGTTGCCAGGTTGCTGTGAATAGACAGACTGGTGTTTTAGCGCCCACATTGTGGGTGTCTTGGGTTTTTAAACACATAGCAGCATGGACAGATATCAGAAACACCTCAGGTAATACCCTGTCCCTGGTGTAGCACATTTGGCTTTTGCTGAGACTTCCAGAGAGTTTGATCCAGCTCGTTGGTCATTTTCTAGGCTGGTCCTCTTTGCTGCTTCAAGATCCAGTGCGTAGGATTCAGTGGCATCTAGCAGTGTAATTGCAGATTGCACCTCTGTCGCTACGGTGGCCATGAAATGTGTGAAAAAAGCAAATGGCTTTACCTAGTGCTAGTGTTTGGTTTTTCCGCTCTGGGCTACTGTAGAGACATTGCTGCACATCTCCCTGACTGGGGCTGATGCAATACATATCACAATGCAAAGATACATATGAAGCAACTACCAATGTAGTACGATATGATTCACCCTTATTGCAGTGCGATTCAACACAATGCAATTCAACTTGATCCGAATAAGAAATAAGAATACGATGGTATGCAATTCAATATGGTAAAGATTGATTTTATTTCTTTGGTTCTTCTTAAGCAGCCTGAGAAAGAGAGGAGGAATCTATCTAAATATAAAATGATCGGTTAGATTAATAATAAAGGCATAGGGCCTCTACTTATAATTATATACAAAAAGTTTCAAAGATGTTAGAAACGATGCATCCAGAGTTCATCACAAATTGAATCTGCTATACTCTTTTAATCAGGGTGATCAAATCTTGAAATTCAGATGTCCGTCTCACACTTGTCTGATGTAATAGGCATGCTTAATCAATCCAGCTACACAAGCTTTAACCGTGCTATACATGCTTAAAAAGTGCCCTGAAGCATATTTTGTGCTTCAAGTCTGTTTTCTTAAGTATACACACAGACCAAGGACTGAAGCTGCTGCTGTTGCTCTGCTAACATGCTGCTCTGGCTACACAGGTTGAACTTTTCAGTTGAGAGGTTAAAGAAAGGTCAAGTCTTGAAGAAATCTACTGCAAGATTTAGAAGACGAACTTGTGTATACACTATGCCTAGAGTCTTCACCGACAACCAGCCTAAAGGCATGTTCATGTGCGTACATCTGAGCAGAAAAAGTGTAAAACTAAGGATTTTTAGCATTCAGTTTGATGTCAGCTTGTTTGATGTCAACTTGAAGTTCTCTGTGAAGTCCCAAATCAAAAGAGAATCAGCGTTGTAATTAGAACAACAGTCCTGCTGTAGCTTATTGGGAACTCTGTGTCAGATTTCAAATGGTTCCACAAGTCTCTAAAGTACTCTAAAAGGCAATTAACCATAATTCACAACTGCAGCTCCCTCAACTAATATTAGTAATTTACCCCCTATTAAGAGCTAAGTATTAAATTTGACAAGCTAACTTGCCTTAAGTGCTTTTGCCAAACTGAGGGATGGATAACTGCTGTGTGTATCTAGTGCTCTACAGAATTTCCATTCAAAAACATGCCATTGATTCTTTTAATCACTCTGAATAAATGCATCTGCTTTTCAAGTGGTCATTTCAAATAAAAACAAAACTATAATTTTGTGTACAGGCATGACAAGGAATTGATGTCTGTATTTGATATGTGAGTTTAGTCAACATTTAATTTGCAGAGTCTGGGTTTTCAGGGGACAAAATGTTGCTGAGTAGGCTGAAGTATAGCAAAGGAGATTATCAGAGCTGTCAGTGTAGAATATAGAAGAGCTGCTAATGTGCTGCAAGGCATGTTAATGGTTGGCATGCCAATTATGCTCCCTCTGGCGTGCAAATTTTAATGAAAGTACAGTATGGTACATTACAGGGATTAGTGGTGATAAACTGTGGTTTTATTTGAGATAGAAGTTGTGCAGGATAAAGAATGAAATAGTAAGGGGGTGATGGTATAACAAAGAGTTACTAAGGCAGGTAAGACAGCTAGCTATTGGTAGAAAAAGGTGGATAGAGATAAAGATGTCAATTTTTCACCCAGGTGCCGTTACTGCTGCTATATTACTGGTTATCTGATCAGCAGTGTGGGACAGGCTGTACAGGGGGAGACAAACCAACGTTTTTATCAGCACCAGCCGCCTGTGTGTGTGTGTGTGTGTGTGTGTGTGTGTGTGTGTGTGTGTGTGTGTGTGTGTGTGTGTGTGTGTGTGTGTGAGTGTGAGTGAATGCTGGGGCCACACTCTGAGGTAAAGGTGTATTCATAGGTCTCAGAGGCAGTATGGGCAGGACATTTCCCCCTAACAAGATCATTCAGACTTCTGATGAGTTCCAAAAAACGAAACTGGTCTAATCTCAACTTGGATTCTGTTTTATCTTAACCTGCACCCAAACTAATCAAGTGAAGTCTCCAAGATAGTTCGAGCAGTCAACTGGAATTGTAGTTGCCATACCTGCTGGCACACAGCTCACCTGGAAGCTATGCAGCTGCTGTTACTGCTGCCGGGGATGTTCATATTGCATGTCATAAATCCTATTGGCTCTAGAGTCTACACAGAAGGAAGTAACTATCGTAACCGTGACTTCCTGCTGGGCTGAACTTGTTGTTGTAGGGAGTGATTTTTCTTCTCTTTTTTTTTGTAGTTGTGTTTTTATTTATCATTTGAAGGTTACATGTCTTTGTTGTTGTCCTTGATGGGCACGATGAAGTCAAAGCCTAGATGCCAAACATCAATAATAATCATCCACTCTATGTGAGCTGGCTGACTGAACTACTGCACATCTTGAGCCCAGCCTGAAGTAAAACCAATTTTTTTTGCTATAACCCTAACATTAAATTTTAAAATATTAATATCTTTTTCATTGGAGCAACAACCATGTGCTAACTGAAAGTTCTAGATTTGTGCTCATTAATTACAGATGTGGAGATGGGATCAGCATAAAATTTTTATCAAGGCTAAAAGTCTAAAATCCCACCAGTGATGAACAACATTAGTGCAGACTTTCCTTTTCTATCAGTAAGGTGGATTAAATGTAAAGTTTCTCTTCAAGGTCACACTAGAAGAAGGCCCTTGTAGTCACTAAAATCAAAAGGGTTCATCCACTGGACAGCATGAATAAATTAAATTTTTGATTTGATCATTGTTATTTAAGAGTGGGAATTCTGGTCTGATGTTAGAGGAAAAGACAGAGATCAACAAAATGCGTAGGATTCATTATCAAAGTATTGTGAATATATAAAGCTATACTTCTAGAATGTCCAGCCATTAGTCTTTGACATACCTTGTTATGGACCAAGTGGAAATTTTGGCCTAATGGTGGAACTTCCCTAAGGAAAAGTCAGGAGGTTATGAATATCCATTTAAAAGTCTGGCCAATTGTTGTTGGGAAATCCGGACCAAGTGAAAGACAGGTGAACTAAAATGGCCAACAACAAGCTTAAATCAAAATATTAACACCTTACTAAATTGTTACGAATACCATGTTAGCAAACATTTACCAGCCACTAAGTGTGTCTGTCTGGTGTTTGGTCCTGGCAGGTACTTTTTCCTTGAAAATATTTCCTTGCTGCTCTTTGAAACAAGGTTGAGGAGACTGGAATTTGTGGGCTGGAAACCCAAAAACAATGAGCTAAAAGAAGCTAAACTGCTCTGTATCTAAACTATAGAGCTGGTGGTAATTCTCAGTGGATGCATCACCACAATCGACTGCTTCCACACTACACATTGTTATTTGATCCAGTGTTACTAAGAAAATATTGATTACTGGAGCTCTAACTGTACAAAGCTTGTGAAGTAGAGTAGAGGCTGACACAGGCCAAACCTGTCTGGCCAGATCCAAATGGCTTCAGGTTGAGAGTTAGACTGCACAACTCATGCTATAAATAGGTTGCTCTATAAACCAAAACACAGCTGTTGGTTATTTCCGTGCACTATAAAGTAGAATTACTCTAGCAAATGTTTGTTTTCCCTGACCATGTCTTCTGTCACCAGGGATAACATTAAAACTGTAAAGTAAGGTCCCTATAAAAATACTGTGTTCCAGATCATTAGCCCAGACACTGTCCAGCATTATCTTAGGGACTGGCAGTAGTCCCAGGCACTCATACTTACAAACTGAGCAGAAGTAATAAAACCCTTGCGTGTTGTGTGCCATCAACAATAATAATAACGCAGACAATGAGTTTCATTGACCTGCTTTGCCTATATTCTACTGACCTTAGGAGCAGAAATAAAGCTGTCACTGTGTGGTAGTTTTAATCAGAATCCGGGACCTTGAACTTTCCTTTTCTCACATTAGCTATTGTCCTTCTACTCGACTAGGGGCAAAAAACTTTGAGCTGGTTCAATTTGTCAGGCCGAGCTGGCAGGCCATTTAAATTGGTTGGATGTGGAGGCATATATCAGAGGTGACACCCAGAGAATAATAGCTGTGATTCATGCTACCAACTCTCTTCCCTCACATTCTCACTTTCTTTATCTCCGTTTCTCTGGCTCTCATCTCCGTGGCTTCCCTCTCTGGTCGCGCTCATTCGAGCCACTCTACCCTTCCTCTCGTTCTCAACCTCCCCCTCTTTAATGGCCCGAACAGAGATACTGGGTCATTAAGAGAGTGTAGATAGGGTCTGCTTGATGAGATTGTGAAGGTTGGCTGATTGGCTTGCTGGATTGTCGTGGAGACAGATTCTGCATTTGAGATTAGTGTCTCCTCTCTGTCGTATTGGTAGCACAATCAATTCCGATACAACACTTACATATGCATCCTCAACCAAAGGCAGACTCATGCCTACCTACCACCTTTGTAGTTCAGTCACACTCTGCAGTGTTTACTCCTTATACGTGAATAAGGACTAAGGAGACTGGGGCCCCCTCCTGGAGCCAGGCCTGGGAGGGGATCTCACTTGCGAGCACCTGGTAGCTAGGGCAATACCTCTGGTATGTCTGTTTGAACGTACACAATCAAATCCAAAAATGCAATGCTGTGTTTTTTTACCATTGAAAACAAAACCGAATACATGGTCACACCTCATGGTATGCATTGTACTGTACTTTCTTCATATAGATGTCAAATGTCTGACTGACTCCCTCTCTCTTTGTCTCTCTATGTCTCTCGCCCTGTGGCAGGCCAGCTCCTAAGGCTTCATCAGAGCAGGGCAGCAGCAGTGACAAGAAGGAACGTCCCATGAGCACCATGAGCGAGGCATCGAACTACACAGGGGGGTCAGACTACAGCACCTTCCCCGGCAGCCCAGCCACCACCGTCACTACCGCCACCACGACGTCCACTTCATCTACACGGGTCAGTCTCTATCTAAATATGCCTTAAATCTTAAGCATAGCCCTGGTGAGCGGTTTAATCACTGTACATCAGGACTTATGATAACATTACATTGATCAAGCATCGTTAGCAGACAGCCAAGCTGGATATAACAGGTTAGCATTAGGGAGTGATATATTTTTCATAGCATGGTTGTGAAAGAGTGACACTTTTTTTATTTACCCATGCAGGTGGTCTAGCACTAGGCATGGAAATGTCTGTCGGTAGGTCTACCACTTCCAGACTGAAATATCTGAGCAGCTATTGGATGGATTGTCATGAAATCTGCTAGATATTCATGTTCCCAACAGATGAACCCTAATTAGTGTATTGGTCCATTGACTTTTCATCTAGTGCCACCAACAGGTCAGAACAGCTACTCTGGTTTGGCAAAGAAATTGGTACACATTCGGGTTTCCCAGATGATAAATCCTATTGGTGATCATCTTTGACATGTCCAGTGTGTCATGGACTCAGAGTCTGTTTGTTTTGCGTATTGGAGAAAGGAATTGTTTGACATTTTGGGAAGTACGGTGGCAGCCATGACTTCCTAGAATCTCCATAGTAGTTGCTTACAGCCAGGGAATAGTCCAGCATCCAGTTTATAATCCACTGTAGCATGTTAATTAGTGCACTTTAGAGGTCTAGATTGAGCTTTTTGGAAGCTTTGTGCCCACTGTAGTCTCTTCTACACACTTGGTCCTTTAAGTGGTTAAAGCCAATATTAAACCATCAGTGCAGCCCCTAACACCCATGAAAGAGTTGTTTCCATAATTCTGTACTGGAGGTCACCCTCAGGCCATTTATAATGGTAACATGCTGAGTCATCACTGCCTCCCAGCTGTCCTGGAATGTGTCCATGTTGTGTCATTACCTCTCATTTGAGGCAGGAGAAGTGGGAGCATGAAGCAGGCTACCTCAGCTGTATTAACAGTGAGCGTGTCACCTGCACGGGTCACTGCACTGTTAGATTGAACAGCGTGTCCCTTTATAAACGCTCCGTAAACCCGCACAAACACACAGGAAATAAATATGCATGGGTAGATCAAATCAGAAGTTCTGTGCTTTCATGAATAAGTGATGCTTATACTATTATAACTTCTGCTTACACTGGCCAAAAGAAAGTCTAACACCGCATATCTTCATGTATTCATGAGAAAACATTATTTATAACTGAGCTGTAGGGGTCCTGCTCCGTGCCTCGCCTGAGAAACATTTTTAAAAAGAACAACACACAGGTTGCCTATAGAAAGAGAGGCATTTTAGGAAAAAGGTCAAGATGAGAAGAAGCTGGTAATATTTCTAGGAGATGTTGCAGTGTAAATGATGCAGTTGTACATACACACACAGTGTGAACATGCACAAACCTCTGCTAAAGTAAACAGATGACAGTGACAAAGATGTAGCCTTGGTTCCAGATAAACTTAATGCTAAAATGTTATTGTCAGACAATAGTCAGCTCACAGCTTTGTGGCAACAATTTGAGTAAGGCCCTTTTCTCAATATGAAATAAAACCAGCTTCTTAAAGAAATGATTTCCCCAGTTTGGTGTGGAAGAACTTGACAGGCCTGCACAGAGTCCTGACCACAGCACCATCCAACACCTTTGGAATTAACTGGAACGCAGACTGTGAGCCAGGCCTTCTCAGCTAACAGCAGTATTGGACCTCAGCAGTGCTCATGTGTCCAACATCTGATGGAAAGACTGAAACCAGAAGAGTGGAGGCTATAGCAGCAAATCAATGCCCATGGGTTTGAGTATAAATATGGATGTAATGTTAGTGTATGTAGACACCCAGCTTTTGTCCATATAGTGGAAGTTTACATTTGTCTATCCTCACTTCTAGTCTTCCAATATTACTAAGCTGTATTGTAAAATATACTGCACATAGGGTTTTCAGTTCGATACCTCAGTGTACCGTCAGAAGAGGCCGTCTGACAGCGAGGTAAAGTGGTGAAAAAAATACAGTACACCTTACCTGAGGTGTCTAAAACACGTTTTGTTGCTGCCCCTGGCAACAGCAGTACTTGGCTTCCGCACTGGTACTCCTGTCTACTTCTCCAAACTGCAGGCATGCGGCCCACAGTCTACTGTAGTTAATGCACTGACAATGGATAAGTACCTCATAGAACCCCACTTCAATAAACCCAAACTAACCCTTTATTTTTTAGGAGACAGTGTTGCCTGTGGTAAACTTTTAAGTCAGGTTAACCCCCTGCTCCATAATTATCTACGGTAAGTTTGATGGAAGTGTGGCCGTGAAACTTACTTCTGAACGCTGTGTAATGAAAAGATAAAACTGTAATCCAGTGGGGGGTAGTGGTTCTCAGCAGGCATTCAGATCTGATGGTGGTGCCAGATGAAAGGTCAGAGGGTCACCAAGAAATGTAAGAAACTTCACTCTAATAAGTATAACTTGGTAAATGGTTCCATAGTAATTTCATCCTATTGGTCTTAACTTTAGTCTTAATCAAGAACTCATTGTCTCTCTCTGCTATTGACTGACATAAAAGAGATTTTTATGCTGCAGTGCTGCATTTTTCAGTAAGTGAGCCATGATGTATGGGGGATGTGGAATATGCTTTGTTTAATGAGCTGAATACATCTGCCTCTGTTGTTGCTTTTTATAGCTGCTAGAGAAGCTGCTGTTTTAGTGTACGAGCCCCTTTACAACCAATGCACCAAACACATGTCATGTCAGATTGTTGTGTTGAGATCAGGGGATATTTTGGGCTATTTTTGTCTCTCTCCACATCTCTGGAGTTCTCCCAGTTGTGTTCTCTCTGTAGGAGATGCAAGATGGAAGCACAAGCCAAATGTGGGCTGTTTTTGTCTTTTGCATAGAAGTTTATGAATTATTTTTTGGGACTTAATTATTCAAAAATCTGTAATGTAAATGTTTCTTCCGTCAAGCTGAATATGTTGTGAATATATATCCCATTTTCCTTATTATGTGTTTTAACAGCCCTCTAGATCTTCTAAAAAAGTTCACAACTTTGGAAAGCGGTCCAACTCCATCAAGAGGAACCCCAATGCCCCTGTGGTCAAGAGCAACTGGCTTTACAAACAGGTAACGTCAGTCATCTTGATAATAGGATATGACTGAGTTAGAATGGGACTAAGAGTGGACAGAAAGAAGACAGGTGAGGGGATATGACCAGGCATGATGAACAGTAGATTCTGGTTTTATTTATTGGGAATCACCATAGATATAATTCAAGAAAGAATTTTTGGGGAAATATACTTACTTGCTTTCTTTTCAAGGTTAAGATGTTAAGAAGTTACTCCTCAGTCTCATGACAGTCCATTAACTACAGAGTCAGGACTTGGTTATCCTAGCTTAGCACACAGACAGGAGGTAAGGGGAAAAAGCTATAAGCCATGAGTTGACAATTGTTTTTGCTCAGTAACCCAAGTCACACATTCATCACATTATTGATTTATATTTCATACTTTTTTTCAGACTTTTGAAATGTGTTTTTTCTACCGACCCTATCAGACAGCAACAGGTTGCCTTTATTTGACTGAAGTATTCAAATCCGTTCACAGAGATTTAAAACCTACTGTACCTGTAGGGTAATGATGTAGTCTGCATAGTAACAATAACATATCTCAACCAAAAAATAAATGGCTCACTGTTATGGATTATGCAAGTATCATGTGTGAAGGGATGGTTTAGGGGTTGATTTAAATTCTGAAATGAAATGCTCGGAAGTTTGGGAAATAAATTCAATAATCTAATAAAAAGCCATGACCTTGGAAAATGAAAATGAAAATGAAATGTAAAATGTATAAATCTGTGGTGCATGCTGGTGCGGTCCTTCAAATCTTTGTCCTTTTAAACGAATGAGCCAGTAACCTCTGAATCAAATCTTGGAGTGGCACACCGGGGTTTAAAATATCAGCTAGAAGCATATTATGCATATAGTACTCATTACTCTGGCGCAAATTATGCATATGCCACTCTCAGTGGTGGTGGGGGATAACAGTGGGGGGCTGGTGCTGGAGGCAGCAATTGTATTTGCCCCCACCCCTGCTTTTTTTTTTTTGGCCTTTTGTTGGCTTTATTTTTTGGAGACAGAGGGACAGGAAAGGCCGGTGGTGAGAGGGGGGATGACATGCAGCAAAGGGCCGCAGGTCGGATTCGGGCCGCTGCAGCAACTCTGTATATGGGTCACCAGCTCTACCGACTGAGCTAACCGGGCGCCACACCTCTGCTTTTTCGAAGGCTAATTTGACTTTGTCCTTGCCCATTGACTTTGTAGCAACAAGGACATAATCTTCATACGTAGATAACTAGCTAGCTAAACACAGGTGTTACTAATAATGCTTATTAAGGTTCCGTTCCATTCAGGTTAAACAGGGTGCTGCTACTGTGCATGTTGGCTTACTGGAACTAAATGGAACTGAACCTTAATTAGTATCATTGGTAACAGCAGTGTTTACCCTACTATTTCATGTCAAAATGGCTGCTGTAAAAAAGGTCTGTTGAGCGCCAAAGTGCCTGTGGGACCTGAGGAAATGGGAGGATCCTGTTCCTGCCGCGGGGCCTTACTGGACGTTAGCTCGAGGCTCAGCTTGTTCTCTCATTACCTTTCCTCCCACTCGCTGCAAGTTGAGCAATTTTCTTGGCCCCACAGAGATCTATGGGTCAATATTTCAGCTGGTCTATGGACCTCTGACCACGGCGAGACTCCCTGAAGACAGCTTCATCAAGCACCATTCAACTCAGCTTTCAGCCCCCAGTTAGAGCCACTGTCAATAACCTCCATCTCAAACCTCGGCCCCTGCACCGCCGCTTACTGTGTTCACATGAGAGAATCAATTCACTTCACACCGGCAAAAAAAACACTGTCTCTTCCCCACAGACCTTTCAGGCAAAGTGCTCTCTCGCAGAAGAAATGTCATCTGTGTTTACCCAAAGCCCCTAACCTCAGGATCCATGGCCGAACGCTACACACTGCAAACAGCGCTAAAGACCCGAACGAGTCAATGGTCTCGAAAAACTTGTTATTGTCGCTGCAGTAATTACGGCACCAGGGAGAGAAGGAGGAAAAAAAGGAGGAGAGCAGCAGTGTAGAGAACAAAGCGCAGGCCCTCGCCCCGAGCACCACAGAGGCAAATTTGTCACTACGTTATGAAGAGATAAAACAGAGCAATTTGTCTCAGAGGAGGAGATAGAAGCTGGTTAATAGAAGCAGCCAGAGGGAGAGACAGCGAGGGTGTCAAGAGGAGGGAAGTGAGGGGAGATCAAAAGAGAAGAAAAACTGTGTGTGTGTGTGTGTGTGTGTGTGTGTGTGTGTGTGTGTGTGTCTGTGTGTGTCTGTGTGTGTGTGTGAGTGTGTGTGTGTGTGTGTGTGTGTGTGTGTGTGAGTGGAGAGAGAGAGAGAGAGAGAGAGAGAGTGTATTGTTCTCTGTAATAACTACACTTTGACTGACTGACTGATGGCCTGTGACCTTTGACCCCTGCAGGACAGCACAGGCATGAAGCTGTGGAAGAAGAGGTGGTTTGTTCTGTCCGACATGTGCCTCTTCTACTACCGCGGTGAGTGAACACACACACACACACACAGACACAGACACACGCACACACACACACACACACACACACACACACACACACACACGTGCAGGATGTTTAATTAAGTATGTTTGATTGTCTTGCTGTAGTTAAAAGTACATTTTCTGCACAGAAACATTGAACAAATTGATTTTTCTTTATTGGGTAGGTGACAGGGATATGTCTTAAATATTTTTTGGGGCTTTCATTGCCTTTAATGAATAGGGACAGCTGTAGAGTGACAGTAAAGGTTAAAGATTTCTAATATGCCAGGCTGAGTTTAAAGTAATTCCATACGAGGGGTTAAATTATAAAAACATTTGGTCATGTAGCCGTGCTTTGAGTTTGAAATATCTCCCATAGAAATTTCTGCCTCCGCCCCAGTGCACTGAACAGATTTTGTGGTGCTCACATCTTTGAAAAAGTACAGCGACCATTGTGCTGATCTCTTATAGCAGATAACTTACATGAGACACTGCCACTGTTTCCTGTTCTTATCGCTCAATCAAGAGCAGTGTGAAATGGAAGACCAAGAGGTCAAGTGTCCCTGCCAGTTAAAAGTAGTCGTCCTTGCTTTCACCCACACTGGTGACGCCCAAGCTGCAGGACCGCTAATTTAAAACTTCACATTCACGAAAGCTCGTCTGTGTTCCTCCTCCGTGTCTCCTAAACCCTTGAGGGAGATTTTTTCCATCTCCATAAATTGACAAATTAGCCGCTCCCAGAGCGCAATCAGCAGCCACTTTCATGACAAACCCAAGGGAAAATTGGATGTTTATTGGCTTAGCCAGCCGGGGACAAGAGAGAGGAGGCGTCCTCGGGAAGGACAATGACGTGCTCGGCTTTCCGATAATAACCTCTTCTTTTTCCATTTTTCTCCTGCTTGCTCTATCACTTTATTCTAAAGTACCTTCTGTCTCTCAGGTTGGTAGGTATTTGGAGAGTTTGGAGTTGGACTTAATTCTTTTTGTATGAGCAGGGACAATCAGCGTCCCTCCCACTGCAAATCTTGTCTAGATGAATTCATCCAGTGTGTTTACATGCACCCTAATAATTCCATTATTACCACAGTGAGGCAGGACACTGATGATTAAAGCTGTCATGTAAACATAATACATAAAGCACGTTATCTTGGTTATCACAGTGTGTGGCAGTACAGCTTGATAAGCAGATCTGGATTCATGGTCGGTGAGAATGAGGGTGGGAAGAAAGTACTTTCCTTAAAGATCCAGTGTGTAACATTGAGGAGGATCTATTGTCAGAAATGGAATATAATATTCATAGGTATCTTTTCAGGTGTTGAACAAATTATTACATGGTCCTTCTCTTTATATGTGTAAAGGGGAACAAAGAACACCTTTACAGTACAAAATAAAGTACTTTCACATGTCACATGTTTGTCTCCTAAGCCAGTTCAAGAGTATTGATTAGGGGCCAAACTGTCTTTTTGCACTTGAATATCAGTTATCTGATAGAAATTCAGTTAGCTCCGTAATGTTCCCAGTTTTCTCTATATTTGTACCCTGTTATTATTTGCACATTTATCTTTCATTTAAGTATTGCAACAAGATGCCCCAAAACTCATTCATGCATCAAGTAGATTAGACTACTACTAGACTAATGCTCTTTTTACCAGTCTACCATCCATTGATAAATTACGATTAATTCAGAACACTGCTGCCTGGCTTTTAACTAGCCCGGTTTTAGCCAACCTGCACTGAGTATCTTTTAGGGTTGACTAAGTTCTTTTACTGTTTTACAAGGCTATTAATGATATGGGGCCGGCCAACAGTACAAGTTCATTGTCAGTTTATAATCCTTCACAGCCTCTTAGATCTGCAGTGGTGAGTTTTTTTAAATACAAACTGTCACAAATATAAGAAAATCCATGGAATTCCAGTTAAAGTGCCCATCATTTACTTATTTTCTTGTCTCTTCTCTCCTTTGTAAAGCACTTTGAGTTACACCCTCTGTATGAAAGGTGCTATATAAATGAAAAAAGAAGTCTATCTATAATCTGATGGTCCCTACTGGGCTGCTGCACTTTTACAAGCAGAGATAAACAAGCACAAAGTTCATGAAAAACTAATGAAAACCACGGCAAAATAACATAAAAGAATTCTTCATAGCCTTCGCACTGCAAAAGAAACAGACTCCACTAGTATTATACTGCATGACACTGTCAGCATGAATGCCTTTCAACCTGTCCGTTCCGACCACAGAATGGGTTTCCGCCATATCCAACACTGCCCCTCACAGTCTCCAGCTACTGGATTCCAAATCACTAGAGCACACATATGATTATCTTGTTCAACAATGTTATCACCTTGTGGGGACAAGTTATTATCTTTAAATAACTTGTGTGAACAAAATATGGATCTAATGAAAAAATATCTTTCTTTTGAGGTTCCGTAGATGCCCAAGTCCAAGAATAAGTAGTAAGTTAATCTCAGTGTAATTAACCAGAATTATCATTTCATCAAACGTGTATCTTTATCTAAGCAATCACAATTACAGTATTTATGTAGACACACTGTTGGTGGTACTTAACTGAACCAACAGACAAACATCAGTGAACCTGCTGAAGAATCTTGAAATGTCAACCGTTCTGAAAAAGCTTTCTTAGAAGAAAACACCCACTCTGCTGCAGAGTATACCCACAGCATCTCTCTGCACGCCTGCTCACTCATTCCCTCTCTTTCTTTCTCATTTTTTGTGTGTTCTGTATCTCAATAATTCAGCAGTGGGGATGGGGCCGGAGGAGCTGCAGGGCTCACCGTGCGGGGCTCGTCTAAAGCAAACAGCAGTGCTGGCTGGAGGCTCTGTAGGTTTTTGCTGCAGCTGGAGCACCACACGTGTTTTCTGCCTTTAGTTTACAGCCTGGAAGCTCCCATCAAAGCTGCATCGCGCCGTACGGAGCACAGTCATTACCCTCCCAACATGGCTCAGCTCAGATTGTTGTTGCAAGGCTTTTTTTAAATGTGGCATCAGTAAATATTGACTCAGTTAGACGACTGTAATGCATTCATGACTGCGTTTCACATCTTTTGTGTTTTGCAGCTGTTTTGCCTCTGAAATGTGAAAGACAAAAATCAACAGAAAGCAGTGTTTGTGTGTGCTGCAGCCTGAGTCTGTCCTCAGCTGTGTGTCTGTGTGTGTTCCACACTGTTGACCACACACAGGGATGGAAACAGGATCGTAGTTCACATGGAAAGCTGGCCGAGCTCATAAGGATGCCCTATCTTCCCATTCTCTCTCTCTCTCTGTCTCTGTCTCGCCATGGTCTGATAAGCCTCAGTAGGTTTTGTTCCGTCATCCTCTGTTAGTCATTCATCACACAGTTGGCTAGATAATGCTAGACCTCCGTGTTCACAAAGTCAAAGGCAAGACTTGACAAAAATTTTCCAAATTCTTAGGACAAGTCTGGAGACCATGAACAAGAGCATAATTTTCATTGGGGATGGGGGAGAGGCATGTCGCCCTCACCTTGCAAAGTCCTATTTTATTCACCCTATGGAGCTTTTACGGCAAAATTCCACCAGGCATGGATTTATGACCTCATGTCTGCGATGCGGTTTGGCTCCATTATCTGCACGTGGAACAATGTCGATGTAGCGTGAAGTTCTAGCCAGTCTTTATTTTGAAAATTAAGCGCATTCTCTATAACGTTTCTGTGTCTGACCTCCTGCTATTCCGATCTGCTCTGTGCTGCTTGACACAGTTGACTCCCACCACAAGCGTGTCACAAGCTCTATTAGCTTTAATAAACAAAATAAACACACAAAATAAAAGTAATGAAAGTAAATATTATAACACTCATTATTGAACAAAAATATACAACCATACCTTCTAAATATATGTTTCTCTATATCACCAAATGAAGACTAGCTTCATTGCCTTGTTAAGTCATTGCTGTTTTCCCTCTCACTTGTTCTTTCGCTCATTGTGTGTACTGGGTCGCTCGTTCTTCTGACAAAAAATCTACCGGTGATGGACTCAACCTCATAGACGATGAATTCGTGCAATTGCCCAACTGTAATATCAAGCAACCCCCACGTTCAATTTGATATGTGATTTGTCCTCAATCAACCAAACTTAAATCAAACCAAAACTTAATATTCAGTGTATATACAGCCTAATGTGATACTGATGAATCCTCATTGATCCTGTGTCCACTTATCCTGCACCACATTCACTCAGTTCAGTGCAGGTCGATGTGGCAATGCAAATGTCCCGGTCTAATATGTTGACATATTTCTTCTTCTTCTTTCTTCTCTGGTGCAGATGAGAAAGAGGATAGCATCCTGGGAAGTATCCTGTTGCCCAGCTTTCACATCTCCATGTTGTCGGTGGATGACCACATCAGCAGGAAATACGCCTTCAAGGTAAAAGCTTAAAGGTCACTGCACTGTGTTTTTAACAGGTTCTTAATTAGTTGTGATGATGATCATAAAGGTGGTGCCTAACGCCTCTTATTTTCTATTGATTGTTTCCAAATACCAGCTCAGGATGAGAACGGTTTACTTGAAGGTGCAAACTAATTGAGACTACTCTCCACTCATCTTTGAATTCACACTCCAAAACCTCTGCTAACTGCTGTTAGTTAGCTCAGTTACTATGCTTTAGTAGATATCTTTGGCTACAACATAATACGTAGACGTCTTGGACATAACGTCAAAACTGTTTCTATTTCTTCAAATTCTGCTGATAAATTAAGTTTTAAACTCATATACCTTACACATTGCACCTTTAATGGCTCTGACTATATGACAAAAGCAGCTGCTTTAAAGGGCTGGTCCCGTTTCTACAAACATGTGGAAATCAAAAGTGTTTGAAGTTCTTCCAAAGGTGGAGTAAAAGGCTTTACTGGCGCTTTTATGCTCACACATTTGAGCACACGTTTCTCATTTGTTTAATAATATAGATGTAATAAATGTACACCAACATTTAACACTTTGTACACGAGCTGGAACTATTTAATGTGAGAGATCTCCAGCATTAGGGTCATTTGCCAAAGACAGTCAGCAAAGACAGGTTTTGATTTTGTTCTCTGTGCAGAAATAATGGTACCAAAACTGGCAACTCGCTGTGATAACAGCACTTTGGGATGGTATGCACATTCACTGTGCCAAAACTGACCCTAAACCCACAAATAGTTGTTTTTACATCTCTCTTATGTATGAGTTAAAGAAGAGAGATACACCTGGGTAATCGGTAAACTTTGAACAGTGTTAGGCTGCTTCCAGTCTTTGTGCTAAGCTAGGTTAGCCACGTCTACAGCTCTGTACTAAACACACAGACAGGAGATTTGATATCCATCTTCTCTTCTCACAATTGACCCTTCCTAAGTTCCGCCCCTTTTTGGTCTAGACTACAATAACCGTTGAGCAAGCCTCAGTCAACTTTCTCCTGTAGGCTACTTAGATATGCTCTGTGTTGAAAATACAACCAAATTTTGAACATTAACAGAAGGTAAAAGGGACGTATAGTCACATCTCTCGCTATTCTACACCAATCATTAGCTAGTTACGTCTGAAAGCTAATGTTAGCAAAATGCTAGGCAACTAGCTAGCTAATTTACATCAATCATTTTTTAGCTAGTGTTTTGCTAATGCTTTTATCTTTTAACCATAGCATAAACTATCATGTATTTCCAAATGATGTACAGATTTTTAGGCATCCTACTGACTCAGCTGGCTTGAGATGCATATAAACTACCGTACATGGGGGGGGGAAGTCTCCCCAGAGGAGCATGCCCCCGGGCGCACTTAAGCTAGTCTCAAATGTTTCAACAGTGTACAGGGGGTAGCACAGGGCAAAAGGGGGGCATAGGAATGGTCAATTGGAAAACACATATACCAGTAAGCAAATTTACACTACTTACAAGAAACGTATCTTATGAAAACTGAAGAGTAAGGATTTGATTATCACTATACAGAGCCTCATCAGGACACTGCACCTAATGTACACACACAGAACGCTGTTAGTTGGGCACCTCGGTGTCATCCTTATTTATGCAGCTTTACCTATGCCAAGATACACAGAAGAACACTGAAGGCTTTCACACTTGAGCTGAAACACTCACAAAGAGGCAGAGAGGGAGCACACACACAACCACACACTCCTCTGCCAACAGGAATGATGTACAGACTCCCTGCTGGTATCTCAAGGTCACCATCCAACGCTGTTTCTCACACTGCTGTTTTATCTCCTCCTCTCTCCCCCTCTCTGTCTATCTGTCTCCTCCTCCTCCTGCGCCTCCTATTTATCTCTCTCTCACTGTCAATATCTCCCCCCACCCTCCCTACACTGCCAGGCCACCCACCCCAACATGCGGACGTATTATTTCTGCACTGACACAGCCAAAGAGATGGAGTGCTGGATGAAAGTCATGACTGATGCTGCCCTCGTCCACTCTGAACCAGTCAGAAGGTCGGTACTCACCAAAGGCACACGGCCACATGGATACGATGGTTGTAAAATCAAATTTGGGGCACACAGTCACCATGGTGGAAAGGCACATTCATATTCTTCAGATTAGAGTGCTCTAATATTCTAATAATAATTTTATCGTATCTCTAGAGTCTTCCTAAATGCCTCTAAAGGTGCAGAGTTAAGAGATTCCTCTCATTCAGAACTTTTCAACCAAGAGACGCTGCAAAGTTGAGCTTGTTGTATCATGAAGGGAGCTTACCATATTCACAGTTAATTTGTTCTGTTGAGCAACAGAACCATAAACGGAAAAGCAATTGGGCCTAATTAAAAACAACCAAGAATCTCAGATGGAGCCAAGGACAGCTACCGTGTCTCAAGTTCTTCCTCAACTTTGTGGGTTTTTTTGTTTTTTAGTGGTTGTGTTTTTCACGTCATACATTCTGCCCAAGCAAATCCTAACGATTGAGAACAACAGATCATTGATGGACCAACCACACCACAATAAACAAACAATAAGTACTATGACTTGAAATACCTGTTGCCGCACCTGGAAAACTGAGGCCACGAAGGAAATAAGGGTTGGGGGGACAAAAGCCACTTACAATCAGTTATCTTTGAAATCTTTTAGAAAGCCCTTTCCTTTTCTCTCGGTCACATTCCTCTCTTTCTTTCATCCTAGACTCGACAAGTTGAAAGTGGACCAGCGGACTTCTCAGGAGCTGAACAACTTACTGAACCACAGAGTCCTAACCCGGCCCGAGATCCAGAACAATGAACGCAACCGTGAGCCTGTGCGACAACACTCCCTATCTCGAGCTGACGACAAACGGCAAAAAGACGCTGAGAAACACAACGGCCAGAGGGAGCGTGAGTACTACACCTTGCAGAGAGATGGGGAGAGGTACTCCCTGAAGAAAGATGGTGTGAGCTACACGCTTCAGAAGGACGGGGAGAGGTATCTCCTCCACAAGGATGGAGAGAAGTACCTGCTGCGAAAGGACGGGGAGAAACCCTTACTCCAGAAAGACGGAGAGGTGTGCGCCATTCACAGGGATCTGGAGAAGTACGCTGTTCAAAAAGTGGATGAAAAGTACACAGTGACAGCGACAGAGAACAAATACGCTCCGTCTAAAGATGGAGAGAAGTACCTGCTCACAAAGGATGGAGAAAAATATGCACTGCAGAAAGTCGGAGACAGGCACACGCTCCAGAAAGAAGTACAGAAATACGTTCCTCAAAAGGAAGTGAAGAGACAGCTGTCGTTAAAGGAGACAGAGAGATACAGCACAATGAGGGAGACTGAGAATAAATATGGTACCATACAAGTTGTGGACAAATACGGCACTGTGAAGGAAGTGAAGAAATACAGTACGCTACGTGAAGGTGATAAATACACTCTCAGAGATGTAGAGAAGTACGCTACGGTCCGTGGTGGGGACAGATATGGCTTCCAGAGAGACCCGAGTGCAGAGAGGTCTCTGACTAAAATCAGCAGCATCAAGCTGCAGCCAGCTCAGGCTGCTGCCATCGCAGCTGCAGTGTCTGCATCTCGCCAGGGTCAGGCCAACCTCAACGTCCAAAAGCCCGTGCAGGTCAACGACTCGGGGTCCGCGGTAGTGGAGAAGACTGGGGACTGCAGCCCAGCAGAGGTGGATGCCAGCCTGGCTGGAGGTCCTGGAAAGTCCCCTGCTCCTCCAGTGCAGGAGCCAGAGAGGGGCCTGTCCAGAACCAACTCCATGCAGCAGCTGGAGCACTGGGTCCGCACACACAGGACGAGAGGACCGGACGATGACACCAGGAGGTGAGACAGTATGGGCTGTGCTTTTATAATTGTTCTGTTCTTTTTGGAATCATTTGGGTTTTTTTACATTATGAGGTAATTTTGTCCAGTCATCTCTTCTTTAAGGGACTAGCCACAAGGGCCGGGACATCTAACTTATTATTCAGATTTATACTCAGCCATTAGGCTTTTAAATCAAATATAAAAATACTGCCAACAGAGTTTGATTATGACACTTGGTCAAAGTTCCCTTTCTTTTATTTGATGGGTATGTTATTTGATTCTGTATCTTCAAATGTTAGCCCACATACAAAACTGCTAAGATAGGATCGTCTTTTTTGTCACTCCATCCATTCAGTCTGACACTGCGTTATGTTTGGGAGATCAGGTTACCTCCACCAAGGAGGTTATGTTTTCAGTGCTAAATGTTGGTTTGTCTGTCTCTGTCAGCATGACTACGGCCTGATGTTTATGAAACCTGGTGGAAGGGTGCAGCATGGGAAGAACCTATTCAATTTTGGATTATTTTTCACTTTCGTTAACAGTGCGATTCAGTTCAATTCAATTTTATTTGTATAGCGCCAATTCATAACAGAAGTTATTTAGGTTTCCTTACTCAAGGAAAAAAATCTTCTAAACCTTCCTGTGTGGCGCTAATGTTATTATAACATAGGATGTTTACCAAAAAAAACACAAATACATGGCATTTCTGGAATTGAACCCCATATTGTGTAGAAAGATATTTCTGACAGACATTACAACCAGAACTAGTGTTATCTTTCTTCATGAAATGAAGCCATGCTTTTGATCTTTTCTTCCTCCTTTGACCCCTTGTTGCAAGTTTCTAGCAGTGTATTCAAAGGAGTTTGTCGTCATTGTTACTCGAAGGCATATGATTCCAATTGATTTTTCAAAAGGAGTCAGTGACATATCCATTCTGTGGATGTAATTTTCAGTTGACACAGAAGCTGCTGTTGCAGTTTTTCAAAAAGACCAAAAGAGGAGCAGAAGCAACATTGACTTATGCACAACTGATCAAAATATTATTAAAATCACAATATGGCCTAGTGCAATATGCAAATCACAGAAGCTGCAGTTTGTAAGAAAGATATAAGAAATGTAAGAAATCCTGTTTGTTTGGTACAACAAATGTCACATCATCATCATTTTTTTATATTTTTTTCAGTGAAAATGAAAATTGTGATGCAAAAATGATTGCAATTGTGATATCTGTTAGAATTATTGCAGTATGATTTTTTCACTACATCGTGCAGCTCTATTTATCATCACTGGTGTTTCCTCTATGTTGATGTTGGAGCGGCGGCCCGCCATTGTTAAATTTCTGCCGCCACGTATCAGGAATGGGGCAGACGCACAATGTAGTCACGGTTGCCTTTTAAATGATCCTGCCGACATAATGCACCCCCGTTGGCTGCCGCTCACATTGCAATTTAACAACAAGTAGAACTATTCAGAGGTTATTGGGGCTGTCCAGGTTAACTCCACATACTGTTGTGTTGATGTAGCTTATTGTCAAAACGTCTCTTCTTCTTCCAAGTCGACTATTAAACTAACAGCTCCACCAAAAACGTCACCGCGGACCTTGTCAGTTCTCGGCTCAACGTCCTGATATCAAACATCTGGAAACATTAAAACGGTGAATATATTTGTTTGTGTCGCAGCGAAGTGTCACTTCTGTTTCGAACGTAAAACGTTTGCCGGCGTGACGGGCCGGGGGGTGGGGGTGTTCGGACGGGCCTGCCCCCACTGCTAAAAAAAATCCTAGAGGAAACACTGCCGTTTAAATTAATAGTGAACACTATTTATACCAGTTCCAGCAGTTATGGAGAAGCATCATAGTTCATTCTGAGTCATGTTTGTGACTGTAACGTAGTTCTATATATAGAGTGGTTTATTTGCTGCTGAGCTATATGTACATAGACATAATGAGAACCATGACTTTTCAGTATACCACAAAAAAGGCCACAAAAATCCATATCTTCAAACGAACAAAAGCTAGTTGTGTCAGAACACTAGAAGCTGTCCCGGCTTTACTTTCAGAAAAGATTGCTTTTGCATAGTGAGTGAGCAGTGGCTTTATTTTGTGGTAGCAGAAACATCTTGATGTATGTATGCATGTATATTATGTTCTCTTTTTGACCCAAACAAAAGATGCACTTCACGGCACAAATTCCAACCCTATACACACTCATTCATGCACAATATGCACTTTCTTTCATTACTACAATGTAAGGGCGACCTCTCATCCCGACAGGTCTGCTCCTCCTTTTTTCAGCCCTGCTATTCCATCTTTCCCCCCTCGCTCCCCGTGTATCCTCCTACATCCTTGCTCTGACCTTGCAGGCCGGGGGGAGCTGAAAGCTTTTTGTGTCGCCACAGATGTGTATCTCATTTGGGAGCGCCGGCGTTTAGCTGGCATTTAGCTGGCTGTACGAAAGGAATGCAGTGGAACAGGAGTGCAGAGCGCCAGCGCTCCGCTTGCTCTCAGCGCTTCCCTCTCCTTCTGCTACCATGAATAAGTCATGGAAATGAGAACGTAATGAGAGCAGAGCAAGCTGAGCGCTGCCGAGTTACATTTGTCATCTTTATCAGCACTCGGTACAGAGGAGGGATATAGAGGAACTTTGTTCTAGGACTGATTGTTATTGTTGTTAACACCGAGCCCTGCTTCTGCTAACAGCCATATTATTTTAAGTGAGCAGAGTATTGCATAGTACAGTTGTGATTGAACTGATAGCAGCCATGTGCAGCACTGTTAGTGTGTGAGCATATGTGTATGCATGTGTCTCTGTTCATATGCTCCCAGATGTGTCTTCATTTATTTTTCCTTTTTGTTTCCTTTAGGATCCTCTAAAACTTAAACGTACAATATGTAATTTCTGCCACTAGGGTCTCTTACATTAAAACAATAACAAAAGACAACGTTTGGTGACGTCATGAAGTAGCGTGGGATTATGGGAGTTGTCATTGCAGTCAGCTTCTCCTGGGAGTCCAGTTATCCACAGAGGTCTCCTCCTCTCCAAAACAAACAGACCCGCTGATTAAAACCACTAAACACACTGAATAAAGCAGTTCCACCTTAACAATCACTGCTTCTCCCACGCTGTTGGACAGACAAAGGACGTCCCGGAGGGGCTGCGAGCCGGGCTGCTGCTAACGGTAACTCAGCATGATATGGCCCCATTGACAAGCGACCGGTGAAACGCAGCGTTACCTAAATAAAATGAACATTGTTGGAAACATTTGGGATAAAGGAAGTACACAACTACATGTGCACTGCTTCGTTGACAGAGATTCTGAGACTAAAAGTCTGTAGAGGTTTTGTATCCAAATTAGTCATTAGTAATTCCTGTGAATTAATTTATAATGTTGCTAACTCCAATGTTCTCCTTTGCCAAGTGTTCCCACAGACTTGGAAAGCATTCAGGCTGTTTCATTATTTTGGTATCAGCAAGAAAATCTTGTTTTTAGTGTATTTAGCATAAAGAAAGACTTGGATAGGAAAAAGAAAATCAATAAACTCCCCTGGAGCACAGAAGTGATGTATTTTGCAGTGTTGATGTCCCCTTCAAAGGCCTGAATAAGAGCAATGTTCCCCTGTGGCCGACTGGGTTAAGATACAGTATGTTTTTCTCTCCAACTGGTTATTTAAGTTCTACAAGCAGTGATCAGGATATCAAGTTGAGTATGATGATATGTCTCTTTCCCCATTTTACTAAGCAAGCAATACTTTAAAGGGTTTAATAATTTGAGTACTGAATAAAGGGTTTCTCATATCACAAGCCTATAGTGAAAAGGGTCACATTTGTTTGTTCATGTGAGTGCATGCTAGTGTTTCTTTTGGCTAACGTACTGCTGCCAACCCATCTTCTAATATGTTCTCCCAGCTCAATGGTTCTTCCAAGCCAGAGAATCCACCAGAGCTCTCATGTACTGGCCAAGGTTCAAGTGCTTCCTCACCCCCTCGCAACTACAGCAGAGCTCCACGGACAGAACAGGGAGACCCCACTGCTATTGATGTTGATTCAGCAACATCAGCTTCACAGCCTGTACTGAAATTGTACCTAATATGGGTATTTATACAGGTTCCGCCCGCGTTTAATCGCTTTCTGCCATGGCTACAATACTCTTTATAGCAAGACGCATGTTTTTCTCTGCCCTGTGGAAAATCTGAGGCAACCAATGATTAAGATGTGTTTACAGAATGAGGTTTTGCCAATTGGAGAAGGACAGGAGATTTAACCTTTCGCTGTAAATATTTAATTATTATAATAAAAAACTGACATTCACTTAAAATTTAGGGTAGTCAAACATATTCACGTATTCACATTCACTGAATGCAAAGGTTAAATTAGATGTACAAAGCTTGTGATACTCAACCCATCCAGTTGACGAATGATGATCGGCAGCCAGAGTGACAAGGACCATAATATATCTCCCTGTGGACTTCTAAGGTCAAAGCCACAGTCATAGAGAATCCAGGTGTCCATTTTATGATTAGCTGCTAATGGCAGTAACGATAACGAGCTCCTCATTATTACTTCATGTTTCCAGGTCAAAGCAAAAGTGAAAGTGAAGCAGAGTTCTGCTAAAATAAGTAGTTTGATAATTAAAGCCAGTGGAGCACACCATACATGTCAAGGGACACACGTACAGATAATGAAGCTGGTTCCTATTCAGTACACCCTGATTAAAGGCATCGATTCACTGACTGCTGGATACCAGTGAGTGCAGCTGTTGTGTGAAGATGTGGAATGTATGTAGTGGAATAGATGCCTTCCGTCCTGGTTCTTATCCAGTATTCTTTACTGCATTTGGTAAACAAGAGTGTGTGCTGCATTTAAATGAGTGAGGCGTAAATATCAAGCAACACCCTAATCAGACCCACACGGTTAATATCAGCTGCTGTTTTTGTTATAGCTCTGATTGGTCCAAAGGAAGTAAATGTCTTTCTTGCATAAAACAGAGACATATTTTACGCTGAGCTCCTCTCCTGCTCCTATAGAGGGTTGGGGTCGGGTCTGGCCCCTGCAAGAGTCATGAGTCACTGAATGCTGTAAAGAATGATTAATTCATTTATTCAGTTGTTTGCACATTTATTAGCGTCTACAAAGTTCAGCTGATTCATGCTGCTGTCTTCCTGCATAACAAAAGTCAGTCCTCTGCTAATTTGTGGTGGTACTTTCTTACCTGACCTGTATAAGATCGCAGGAACGTGGTCTGTTCTATGGCTCTTACCGCTCAATGTCTAATTATTGGTTGCTTTATATTTTTGTGATTTAGGAACTAAATCTTAAGTTTTGTTTCTTCTGCTTTGTAATGCGAGTGCAATTCAAACAGATCAACACTGCCCATGACATCAGGGACTCCCACAACGCCTTATAAAAGATTTATGAAAAGGATTAACAGTAGAGGGTCGGATTAAAAACCTTGATGCATCCTGAAAACAATTGGAGATTATTTGAGCTTTTAATACATTTTTAAAGTTTAGTTCCAGTTTGTTTTTGTTGAGTAATTTTTCCCACTTCCCCTTGTGGCATTCTATTGCCCCATTTTCACCAATCAGTTCAGTTCAGGTCAGTTTGTTACACATAAGAAGGGTTGTTTTTACCTTTCCATTGACAAAAGTTGTGGATGGTACCAATAGAACCACTCTATTGCATCCATCCATTTTTTCGTTACCCAGAAACACTGCAGATCTGGCATTAAATGTATAGGCTACAGTGTCAGATAAGAATTGCTGCAGCCTCCCAAGACCAATACAAATATTTGTGTTGTTTCCTAACTGCTGGAAAAGTGTGGTTAGCCCTGAACCCCCTGTAATGACCTTGCCTTCATTTAACAGTATTGTCTGCAGTGGGAACGCAAAACAGATCTTGGGGGGGGGTTAGGTATGGGTTTCTGGGGCACATAACTAATTCAGTATTGTATTTATGAAGACGATGAAGAATACAATCATCAAGGCATTTTGCTTGGTTAATGGTGAGTCTGTAAGTGGGTAATGCATGAAGGTCTATTTACTCATCCCAACCTATCCTTTTAAAGCGATAGGTTGTGGTAGAGGCTTAATCTGCTGCTGCACACATCAAAGATTACAGTGGGTGGCAAGGTGATCAAGTGTTTTAATGTAATGTCTGGATGGAAGAGTTTGGGGTCAACAAGCATCTGTCATGCTGAAGTATCCTTGAGCTTATTCTGTGTCAGATTCAGGCATATAACTCTGCCTGAACTCCACGGTTAAGCTGCCTAACTGAAAAAAAGTATCCAATATGGATATTGGATTTTCCCTGGATATGACTGCAGTCCAGACAGGCCATTATTTGTGGAAACGTAATTGAACTTCCTTAGGTGAAGCAGCATATTTTCCACTGTTTAACAGTGAATATATTGTTTCTTCCTAATATCTTTCCTCCTCACTTTAACAGTCTTCCACTCAGTTTCATAGAATTTGGAAGGACCATACACATTTAATTTAATTTAATTTCAGTCTGTTGTGGCGCATTCAACAGAAGCTCCAACATGCAACACTTCCGAGTCAGGTGCAACCTTTCTTGATGTGGAAAGCTCCTAAATATCTTCTTCTCTTATATTGTCCAGGCTGTGATTGTTTGTCTTCCGATTTTTTCACAATAGCCGTGCTTCCATCAACAGATACTGATGTGTATTTTTAGGTATCGCAATTTTGCAAAAATGTTTTTACGCTGGCTTGAGGTGGTTTGCCTTTTTATAAATGACTTAATGCACTTAATGAGAAATGGCAATCCTTTATCCAAATAAGTTCTAACATCACAAACATTTAACTCACATGACTGATGAGTTGTCCACGATCGCTGAACACAGATCTGATGGAACCTTCCTCACGTTAATACATGAAACAGAAATGTCATATTTCCATCATGTTTTCTGCGTTGTTTTTACCGTTTGAGCTCCAACTGGCACTCTTCAATTATGTCATCTTGTTGAGCCCTCTTTTCCTGGTTTCACCTATTGCTTATCTCAATGAACCAATTAATCACATAATGGTAGTGGATCAAAACTAGCATACATTTGCATTTTATTTTGCCGAATCCTTATTAAATTTCGTTACAATTATTATATATTATATATATATATATATATTATATTTTTATGGAAACACACAGTTTGGGTATTTTTCCTGATCTTGAAAGTGGAAAGGTGGGAGGAGAGCCACAAACAAGTGGGAGGTTCATTCAGATGAAGCAGCTCAAAAAGAGTTGCTGCCAACCTGATGATTTTGGCAACAATCGCAAACAGAGTACTTGAAGCAAACGTCCAGCAATAATGCAGTAAAGCCTAAAACAAAAATTTACTAATTCAATTATGAATGAGTGATTCTTACAGTATCTGTTGTTCACTGCTGCTTTATACTGTATGAAAGCTTCTCCTTCAGTTCATTAAATACCTGCAGCCATCTGAGAGCAACGGGACACATATGTTGATCAATCTGGAGCCTCTGATTGGAAAACTGCCACATCATTATGCACGACTCTCCATTGTGTTTACTTTCATAAAATTTTGTGCAAATGACACCAGGCTGCAACAGGATAACCACACACACCTTTACACACACACAAACTGGTCAGTTATAACTCAGTATTCTGCATGTGTACATGAGAGACATGGGATTACCGGAGCCCATTAATCCTATGCATCACAGCTTGCTTACCAATTTTCAGCAGTTCATGATTATTCTCATAAACGATGGCGCAAATTCTGCTGCCATATTTTAAGATATGCCTTAACCATTGTGTAACAACTATTATGAAAGAGAGTTATGACTGAAATAGTGTCAGATGAATTCCGCCATGTAAACTGCTTCACCAAACATTCATCTATCCATCCTTATCTACACCCGCTTATCCTTTGAAGGGTCGCAGGGGGTTGGAGCCGATACCAGTTGACAATGTACGAGAGTCGGTGTACACCCTGGACACAAAGAGACCACTTCACACTCACATTCACATCTATGGCCAATTCAGAGTTGTGAATTAAAAGGCCCCAGCCAGCCAGCGTGTTAGTACCTGGAACCTTCTTGCTGTGAGGCGACAGTACTGATTATTGCACCACCATGACATTATGTAGCTACCAAATAGAAATATTTATGCCATTTTTAGACGGTATGATTTAGAAGATGGAGAAGTCGATTCTTTATTTGTTGAGTTGTTGTTCCCATGCTTCGCTGTAACTGACTCAGCTGTTTCAGAGTAATGAAATCACTAATGTGACTGACTGAAAGTGTATTTGTTAATCACTATCTATATTAATCTGATTTATATAATACAAGACTTACCTCTTTGCACTTGTTGTACTTGCATCTTTAAAATAGGGCCCTTGATGTGGTTTGGCAATCAAGACCCAGATATCAGAGCACAGCACAAACAAATTCCATTTAAAACTGCCTAAATTGTCTTTTTTGTCTGTCCTAGTAAAGTGATCACAGGATCCAGATCCAGATCAAACTAACCTCTGACCCTCCCTGTAATGGGGGAAAAGAAAGTGCATTAGCGTGTACAAATTTCTGTCCGTTTTCTCTCCTAGTGTTACGTCCTACCAGACCTTGCCCAGGAACATGCCCAGCCACCGTGCTCAGATTGTGCCCCGCTACCCAGAGGGCTACCGCACTCTGCCCCGCAACAGCATGATGAGGCCCGACAGCATCTGCAGTGTGGCGGGTTCTGTTTACGACCGAGCCCTCCGCCCCGCCTCCACCACCACCGTTACCACGGCGGAGAAGAGGAGGTCGATGAGGGACGACACCATGTGGCAGCTGTATGAGTGGCAGCAGAGGCAGGCCTTCTCCAGGCAAAGTCTGGCTCAGCCTACAGGTACAGATACCAGATATAATACTACTTCCTGTCCTATGGTAAGAGCAATGACCGGGTAGTTTAGAGTTTTAGCTCAGAAAGCTACCCTTAGTTAAGTTATCCAATTAGTGCTAGTTAGGTGGCCTTGTTATTCTGTTGAGGTCGGGTCACAGCAGTCTCTGGGCTCCCGGAACTGGCTTGGGGAGTAATGGATTACATATGATGGAGTTATGTAATCAGGATACCAAAAAAGGTAACTAATACATGACAGTTACAGAAAAGAGAAATGTAATCAGATTAGAGTTTTGCTGGATTATTAGTAGGAATTAAATTTTAAAATAAATTTTAAAATAAAGAACGATGTACTACCACGCACATGTGCACACATTACAACACCCCTCTGGTCTCAAGTGAAACTCTAGCTAATCTTACAGTCACCAGTGTATTATTATGGCCTCTAGTCCATTATTTTTAGTTTCTCCCTTTCTCTTCAATGCAGAAAAGGGGTTTACATGCTTCTGCCTGAATTTACTTCCTGAAAATAAAGTATTTCTTTAAAAATAAGATGCTAAAAATTTTGGTTTGAATTTGTATTTTTTTGCTATCTCAGGACACTTTACAAACAGAGCAGGTCTAGACTTTACCATTTTCTTTTGTATGGTTGCATTGCTCTGTTCTGTCTTATTGACATTTCTTTTCTTTTGTCTTTATTTGCATATTTGGTGATCCAAGTAACAGAAAGTAATCAGGTTACATTACTTTAATATTGCGATACTTGGATTAGATTAATAACAACATTTTTCAACATGTAATTAGTAACTGTATTGGATTATATTTTAGAAGTAACCCTTCCAACTCTGACCCTGAACACCCTAAAACACCTGAAAACATCTAGATCCAGGGCTTAGCCCTGTAAAAAAGAATTAGAAAACTGGCAGCCCAAAAAGCATTTCCCCCCTAGACCACCATTATAAAAGAGACTTCTGTGAAACAGTCAATAGAACCTCTCTAACTGTAAACAAGGTCAATTATTGCTTTTTGTGTGTGAATTTTCAAACCATGAATGTTTCATTTTTATAACACATGCCCAAAGCAAACAAAAGCTATTTTTCTGTGTTGCATCATGTACGAGTAGGAAGAGAGAGAGACACACTAATATAACCTGTTCACATCATAGTGTTAGTTTAACTTAGTGTATGTGCAACCATTTTTCAACAAGGTAAACTTAGGTTTAACAAGGTACACAAATAAAGAATTACAGCCAGCGCAGTTAAATACATTCTTCTTTCTAATGGAAATGTCCATTTCTATTTCAGTACATTCAGTAAAGCACAAATCTTTTTCAGGACAGGTTTTATTTTCTCATCCATGTGCTAAAACACTACGTCTGTCTCTCATGTGACTTTACAATATGTTTATGTATTTCATACACTTGATGTTATCAGGGCACATCTTTTCACATTCCTGTGTAGTGAGTACTCAAATCTGAAGTTAAATATTTTTCATAAAAAAATCACAGAAAACAGATTCCACCAAGCTGCATCTCTCTATTCGATTTCTCTATTTTGAGATGTTCCTCCTCCAGGTACAGTTGTTGTTTGTTCTCATAAGACAAAGGATACATTTTCCTAATATGGTCTTGCAGTTCTGTTTGTACAGTTACCTTTCATGTCCCTAATATTTAGTTTGTTCAGTATATGTTGCTTTTGCAGGATGACCATTACTTGTATTAGTGTCTTGCAAATAATGTCAGCCCAATAAGTGTTATTAGGCATGTTTTTAGGCAGGCTAAGTGTTCCATAATAATGTCTTATGTCATCATTAACAAACAAAAAAAAATCTAATTTCTTAAAATGGACGATCTTTTGAAACATATCTCCAATTTCATGACCATCACAAACAATGGTTAAGTAAGGAGAACTTCTGACTCCACTGTGACTTCCCTCTGTTCTCTTGTTGTTTGTGCTTTCAGCTGTGGGTCATTACGGCACCCTGCCCAGTACAAAGACCATGGGCAACATCTCTGAACACACCATGGCGCACTCCATCCCCACCTCGCCGTCTCACGGCTCCCTGGCTCTCTACAGCACCTTCTCCCCTCCTCGCCAGCAGGTGGCTCACAACCCCAACAGCTCCCACTCTGAGGTCTCCTCACCCGTCTTCAGGGGGGACGTGACACTGGACCATCGGCACAAGGCACACCTAGCAAAGGTAGATTTAGAGACTCAATAATTATACACTTCTATTATAAAGCACATTTCAAAAATGACAATACAATGAAGAATGCAAAAAAAGGGAACATTACATTTATTATGAACCAATACAATGTTTCAATAACCAAAACCTCGGTTTTGTCCTTATTTAACTGGAGGAAATCTTGATAATGATCTTTAAAATCACTAATTTATGAAATGCACGATTGTGGACAGGGCTCAGATCATCAGAAAAAGCCTAAATGTAGAGTTGTGTGTCATCTGCATAACAATGGAGAGAGGTGCCATGTTTGCAGATTATAGAACCTAAAAGGTTGAGATAGACAGGAAAGGGAGTGAGGTGACATGCAGCAAAGGGCCGCAGGTTGAATCAAACCTGAGCCGCGCACTAAACACTTAGCAGTCATCCATGTGATTTTACAATGGTTTGCTATTATTGTGAAACAGGGGCAAACGGAAGTGAAGCCTTTGAATTATGGTAATTTAACACAGTAAATACAGGTGCAATGTGTCTGTTGGACAGCATTCAATTCTGTTTGGTAAAAATTCAACTGAAATGCTCTGCAAGATGGAACGTCATCAAGATCTAGGGGCTTGAATTAGAACATGTATAAATATAAAGCTTAAGCATGCAGCATCTCTAAAGTCTTGTACTTATAATGAAGTCTGACTCGAGGTATGCTGGAAAACAAGCATACTTCCTGAGATGAAGTGCTCTTTTAAATATCAGTTCATCCCTTCAATCATAAAGCTTGAATGTGGATAGAAAATAGCTGGAAATCACTATCTCTTTCCAGTCCTGCCATTTATCTTTCCATCCAGAGGACGAAAATTAGACAGAAAGCAGCTCTCTACTAAGAAATACTCTCTAATGTGCTTGGCATCCCATCCTCCATCAACTAAGGAAGTCCTTGTCAGATATGGAAACAGTCCTAGATCTGAAGAGTCCACAGATGTTCCTTATTTCCCCAAGAGAGTCGGGCAGGATGCAGAGTCGAGTTTGCAGTCAGCGGATGATTCTCACTTCTTCTTTCACAAGTCTAAAGCCCTGGTCCATTCCCCATCCCCGAGCTCTGAGGGGATGGGGTACAAACACCCTAGATCAAGTTTGTACTCTTGACTAGACAGTAATACACCAGGCAGCACACGTTCTGCTTTGCATTCACTGTCGGAGATAGGAGGAAGCCACTAAGTGCTTTAGTGTTTTATATTAGGGTTGTCATGATTGAATGAATATTGACGATAATACTACTGATAATACTGTGTTAATAATACATGTAAATCATGCTTTCAAAATCGAAATTTGAAATGCTTCAATGCTACCTGATGTCTGCCTTTTATTTTGACAGAAAAGCTTCCACAAATATCTGTTAAGTGACCAGTTTTGTAGGCCTTAGTTATGCAGTTATGATATTATGTTATGATATTCATAAGAATCAGCAGCACACAGTTGTGATGCTTATATTCAGTTTATGATTAGAGTAATGTGCTCTGATTGCAGGGATACAAATATGTGTATATTTATTGTTAAAAAGAGGTAATTTATATGTGTTTACTAGCTTATGTGAAAAAATACATTTGCTTGGTTTGTTTTCTGGTAGTGTATGGGTCGCAACTGAATGACCATGGCTAAGTGTGGGTCCCGAGGTGAGGCCAGTTAAGAACCACTGGTGTAAATAATCCAGAGCCTCTAAAATAATTTCAGTTTCCCTTCATTATCTCTTCGAAATAGTAGGTGGTGGTATTACACTTTAACTGTGGTTGACCCTGTTTATTCTCCGAAGACACAAAATACAAAAGTTAAGGATGAATTTGACTGATGTCATTTTTATTTTTTACATTTTCATTAATAGATATTGTAAAAATATTCAATTAATGAATCCATAAATTAAGGCTGAGGCCATGAAGCAGTTGTCTGCTAAATTAAGAGAGATGATTTTTTTCTTTTTGTCTTTTTTAGTTTAACAATGTTCTGCTTGAATACAATCCATTCCTTTTAGCCCAATGTAGCGTCCGAATTTAATTACAATGACATTAATTGAGTCCAGTCATTGTTCTGTGTTTGCTAACAAAGAAAGCAGATGTTGGCAAATAGATAGCAGGATGAAGCAATGACTGAATGTCTCCTATTGTTATCCTCTCATTTTAATAATGTTCCTCTTGGTTACATCAGTGATTGAATTCAGTTAAAGGGCAATACAAATGCTTCAGCTTGCATACACTAATTAACTACAAATTGTGTATATGTTACATTACTGACAGTCTCTTCTTACCATGATGCAGGATTAACTTAATATAAAGTCAATGCAAAGAGACAAGTGGATGCCCTGAAAATTCACTCAAATTGAGGCGTCCATAAAGTGAGTTCATAATCAAACAGCACCAAAAACATAACCTCATTCGTGGAGGAAATAATGGATGGTGTCAGTACATCTGACAAAAAGGTTGGAAACTAGTCCTTTAAGTCATTCCAAAAGAATTTAGCTGAATCAAGACCACCTGATCTTAAATCAGTGAAACTGAGATGTGCCTTCGGCATAAAGTCATTTCACTCTCGTCCTTCTGTCCCACAGTATGGCTACCCACCTGACCGACGATCCATAGCAGTCGGTGTCCCTCCTCAGACCATCACCCCACAGTCCTTGCAAGGCAAGACGGTAAGTGTTACAGTGCGCTCCCTCGCCTCCCATACACTCCATACTATGAAATTCAACTTCCTGCCCACGGCTTTCAGTTAACTCTTACAAAGAACAGAATTTTGAGAGCATTTACATAAATAAAAAAGCCTCATCACTGACATTCACCCACATTGACACACTCACTGACACACGTCTGTCTCAGTGATGTTTTGTTCTCAGCAACCTCTTATTGCTGTTTTTTCCACTTGTCTCAGCGGGACCAGTGTAATTATTGACAATGCCATTGTCCCTTAATGACAGTGCAAACACACAATGCGGCAGCACAAGTGAAATTGTCTTTGCTCTCAAATTGAAGCAGCGACAATCAAGAGCGAGGACTGATATTTCTGTTTGAAGCAAGCTGTGAATAATATTGTGATTGTTTGACTGCAGTCGAGTGCCTCGGCAGCTTGATGAGAGAAATGTGTCCAGTAATTTTCCACACAGCGTTTGCGCTGCGCTGTTTTGTCACTGTGGACGCGTTCCTTTATTTCACTGTGTCGCAACTGATGATATGCTGAGTGTGTGTGACTGTGGGTTAGTGTGGGTGAGTGTGTGTGACTGTGGGTGAGACCTGCATGTGCGCGTGTTTGTGTGCACCAGTCCATCCATAAATCTGTAATTGAAATCACTCGGCTGCTCTATATCCTCATCAAGTAGTTTTGTTTTAAACTGATGATAAAATTGAAGCTAGATGGTGGTAACACAACGATATGTTGACCCAGATTGCTGACATGTAATAAATCAAGCAGCTCGCAGACAGTGGCCGGTAGCAAAGTCACAAGGTCAATGAAAGGCTGCCACATTTTCAGGAACACTTCCTCCCTGGTTGACATGTTATATTGAATTTTCTCCAGGTGCAGTATATTTCCTAGATCACTTAGCCTCATGTCAAATGTAGGAACCTTTTTAGATTTGAATGATTGTAGCTGAAGCCTTCTGGGTAATGCTAGTGCAGACAGGGAAGTGGTCTGGGGTCTGAGTCCTATACCTGGTTCAACTAGTTATCAGAGCTACAGTAAAACACTTGTCAGTCTTGCAAAAGAGAGATCTCAATGAAAATTCCTGAATAAATAACACTTACCTAACTAACTAACTAACTAACTAAAAAGAAGAATGTGAGACTGGGAGCAGTTGAACAGAAGCAACATAGTCATCAGCGCTCATCAGACTGAGAATGTTGTTGTCCAAGTGTTGGTTTAAATGCTTCATCATATAATACAGGGTTAAAATAGCTTTTACTGGACAGTTAATCAACTGTGGAATAGTTCCTTTCCTCTTGAAAGTCATCAGAGTCACCTTCATCATGTTTCATTTAACCAATGGACGGGTGGTGTTGTTGATGTTGTCAGTGTGGCTCTTCTTCTCTCCTCTATGTGTTGCTCTGTGCAGCCGGAGGAGCTGACCCTGCTGCTGATCAAGCTCCGCCGGCAGCAGGCGGAGCTCAACAGCCTGCGGGAACACACAGTAGCTCAGCTAATGGCCCTGGGTATGGAGGGGCCCAACCCTAAGGTCAGCACTGAGTGTATACAGTATGTGTGTGTGCATGCACGCATTTGTGCTCTCCCAACAAAGCTGCCAAAATCTGTATTCCGTCTGTTAATGTGTGTCTGCGTGGGGAGGTTCCTTGCGTAAGGTAGTGTACTCCAACTGAAGGTGCTTTTGGTGTGTTCTGAAAGTTTCTGAAAGCTGAAGACATTCACTACAACTCAAACTCTTTTTTTGAATTTAAGTCGATAGTCCACTACTTTGATCCAGACTGAAATTTAACCTGAAATAGTACAGACGTTCATGGTCCCCAGGAGATGAATCCGAATGACTTGAGTCACTTTTCAAGCAAGCACTATCAGCAGGTTGAAGTTACCAGGTAACCATGTTGTGGTTCAGACATTAATGGTTCCCAGACATTGGAGCCTACTGACTTTGATGGTCCACTGAGTCCTATCTACTGCCCCCAGCAGGTTGACGTTTTCAGGTAAACTGCAATGAAATTTGGTGCATTTTACAAAAATAAACCTAAACAACTAACAGCATTGATGACAGCAAACCCAAACTCCAACTTTAACACTTCACACAATCACAAGTTTACAATTGTCATCAGGTTAGAAATACTATAGAGATCACAATATCATTGTGGTGTCCAACCTGTTATTTTTCTGTGCGCACACCCAAATTCAGTTTCATTTTGGAGTATTGTTCTGGCATCAGTGCAGGCTGGTGGAGGTGTAACTTTGTTGGGGATTGATGTGTGAATTTGTGGGTTTCCTTTTGCACCCATGTATGTATGTTTGAGCGTGTGTTTTTCCATGGGTGCTCTACTCCTGCCCATGCATGTCGGCTTGAGGTCTCTGTGTGGTTGAGAGCTTGGATGCATCGCAGCTGATGCATCAAACAACATGGCATCTTTTCAGCTTGATGTGATCATGTGTGATGGTTTGAAACCATCAGTGTTCTTTTATCTGCGTTCATCTTTGCATTAACCTGATCAGTTCCCAGATGGTTTAATTGGAAGAAAGTTATTTTATAATGCATGTACAGTAGGTGTGCAGCATGTCTGGTGTACCAGTTTCCAGAATTGTTATGCAGAATTGCAGTGCAGCATGTTGTCGTGTTTCAGAGTTTTGTAAATTGTATAGTTAATATTGCAGAATACACATGCTAACTAGTGAAGGCTTAACAATCTGGTTGTGTAAAGAGCTTATCAATGATATATATATATATATATATATATATAGATTATAAAACCATAAACTGATATGAGACTAGATACTGTGTTATTTGGGATTTTGGATATAGCATTTAAATACTGTTTTCTCAATTAACTAGACTGCCTCTATGGAGGACTGAAACTGCCTAAATCAAAAATAAATTACTCAATAAATAAATCAATATGCCATTAAACGCACCTAATAACATTAAAGTTAAAATAAATTCTGTTTTAATTTGCTTCCGTTTTTTACTTTTGTATAAATTCCCTATTTATTTACTTTCCCATTTAATTTGTTGTTTTATTTATTCATTTATTCCTTTTTAAATATATTTATTTTGTATTATTTTCCCTTTGCATTTCCCCCCTATTTATTTTCCCACTTATTTATTTCTGTGTTTTCATTTTACATTTCTATATGAATTTGTGCTTGAGGGGGCTGTCATTCAAAGTGTCATGCTAACTTTTCTCGTATTGGTTGATCAACATCAGAATGCAGTGGTCGACTTTACATTCCTTGGTCCTCCACCGAGACACTGTCGTACTGAGCAGCGGAGCTGTTGTAATGTTAAATTATTTTTTTAATTTAAATTCTAATATTTTTATTAGCGATTATTATCATGTCATTTTGGTGCATATAATGGCATAGATATACATTTTTATTGAGTCATTCACTAACTAACTACTGAGATTTTCTTAGCTGTCAGTATCTAATGAAAGTATAGCCCTCTATGTACCGTACTTGTTATGAACAAATTACGTCAGTAGGAACACAGACAGACTCCAGCTGCATCTTCTCAACAGTGCTGCATGACCCCTCATATTCTGCTGTTGTTGATGATCGTCAGGCACAGCTAATATGCAATGCTGGAAACACACTTTTTGCATCTTGTGTGACCACCGTGTTTAACCCTATCAGCAGGCAGAAGGTAGATACTGGAAGATTCTGCCAAACCTTGGATTTTTATACAATAATGTTTTACCATTCAGTTCCAACCCTTTAAAATTCTTTCTTTCTACGATCTGTTTCATGGCAATAGGCTATGGTTATAGTTAGAGAAAAGATTGGTTATTATAAATAGGCTATGGTTAATGTTAGGCAACTAAAACAAGTTCCTGAAGTTTTTTCTCACTGAAGAATATACAGAGATTACATAATTAAATATGCAGTACTGCCTTTTCCTGTCATCGCATTCTCTGCCTTCTCTTTTTATCTCTTCCTTCCTGCTGAAATGTGCCTTTGACTCCCTTTTTCTTCTTCCCTTCCTCCGTCCTCTCCCTCCGTCTCTGCCAAACACGGCATCTCTTTTCCTGCTTCTTCTCTTCCTTCTCCTGCGGCTCCTGCAGACTGATGTTCTTTCCCATCACCTCCAGAGGAACCTTATTTACCTGGACAGCCAGGTGAGGACTTCTGAGCTCACTTCTGTCCATCTCCACCTTCAGCTACTACTGAGTAGCTACTACTACTGAGTCCAAAATATAAAAGTTTAATAAAACATAACATTTAACCCTTAGTTTTCCTTTAGTGGAAGCTAACATCTATTAATGTTTCTTGACAGAATTCTACATTTCTGATAATCTCTTTTCTGGGCTTCTGTTTCTGTCTCTGTCTCTGTTTCTTTTTCTTCTTTTTTTCTTTACCTCTGCCTGTTTACTCAGAATCCTCTAATCTGAACAAACTAATGCTGACATTTCAAATTGCTCACAAAACCTCAAGCTACTCCTGAGCCTTAACACAGCAGGTTTAGTTCTTTTAGTTCTAAGATGCTTTTTTAAGTACTATATATAAAGTTATTATCTATATTCTTTACATATCCAGTCATGATAAAGGGCCATACTGGTGTTTTTTTTTTTTTGGTATTTCAGCCTCTTTTACTGCATTGCTGCTTAGAACCTTCCATTGCATACCATGCTTTTTTAGAGAAGCTAACCTGCGGGTACTTATTGGTTTCATTTGAGTGCAGTATGCCGTGAAAATCAATGTGCAGAAACTTGAATTTGCTTGCAGATCACAGATTGTGTTCATTTTTATTCATCAAAGAAATGTGACTGAATCTTTTTAATGAATTGTTGCATTCTTCCTGATAAGAAGATATGACATTGTTAGTCTGCTAATTGTCAGCAATGAAAATATTTAGTGTTAAAGAAATAAGTGTGGTTACCTTCAGAGCTGCCCCCTAAACGTAATTTCATTCAGTGCTGAGTGTTAGCAAAGACAGCTAACCATTTTTGAACCAACCGACTCTTTGGCTGACTGCACTGTCAGGAGAGACCCTCTGTAGTGTACTTTGTATGGCTTAAACGATGTGGAAATCAGATATTTTAATTTTTTGACTTTTTAAGACCCATTGTGAATACAATTTAAAACCTATTTCATGTCCAAAAGTGCAAAGGATATGAAGAAAAAATTGTATTGTTTCTATGTAGGTTTGGTTTTGGAGTTGTTACAGTCATCAATACAAATTTTTCCCCACAACAAATTTCAAAAGTGAGGAAAATACAACTTTACATAAGTAACATTTAGACCTGTGAAAATCATATTCAAGACATTTTAAGGCCTAAAATTTAGTTCATGGGAAGACTTTTTAAGACCCTGTGGACACCCTGTTCTCCACCCTACAGTAAAACCCTATTTTGCTGCCTGGTATTAAGGCTAGAAATCAGGTAAGATAAGATGTACCTTTATTGATCCCCTGTAGGAGAAAATCAATCACTGCTTTAGTTACTATGCAACACTAACGTACCTCTGTAACAGGTTATCTATTTCAAACAAGCTACACATTTCTGCAAGTTAATGTTCATAGGGCACTGAAATTAAATGAAACCTACCTGTCTGGAAGGTAAGAAATCAATAGAGAACCTTTGGCTGTGTTTTGGAATTTCACCAGTAAATGCAAAGCACGGCACCATAGCAAATTACCTACAATATGCATAAACATTGGTTAGCTCCTTGATGGATGGACAGTTAAATAGCTAACACATCACAACCTCTATAGATGCACACTGCTTGTAGCTCCATTAAACATCACTCACAGCCTTATTCGTATGTACCCAAGTGCAACAACACTCAACCTCTCTGATTGTTTGCAAATGTCAGCCTTGTACACTTAAGACAAGAACAGCTCAGACAACAAACTGAGGGAAGTCCCAGGAAGTAAATGTAAATGTCAAAAAATGAATATGAAACTAAGATAAGAGCAGGAACTCAGCTCAATATGTTGAAGTTGATTGTGGTGCACAGCCACTGGTAGTTATTTACTTGTGACAAGTATTTGCTGTCTGCCCCTACTCTTACTGACACTAATGTTCAAAATAATATGGATGTTTCTACTAGAATCTACTGCAGAATGCTCAGGCTGCCGGGCTAATTGCAAGAAAAACAGAACCTGTCGACATTTCACAGAGGCATACCCTGATTATAAAAGGCGAATAAATGGGCTGTGTATTTTTGGCCTGTAGGTTAGTACTCGCCTTTCCAAAGTTCCTGCATTATTGAATATGACTGCTCAGCTCTGAAAAGGTCATGTGCTTTAGGGAGAGACTAGCCTTGGACAGGCCGTGTAGGAGGGAGTGGCTAGCAGCTTTGATGCTAATTGAAAAAATAAAAAAGTGGTTTGGTTGCCACAAAAATGAACAAAGATTACAACACTTGACGAGCTGTTCCTCTTTCTCAAAAGGATCAGTCAGTTATCTGGGTTCATGTTCATCAAAAGGAGTGGAACAATCCATTCTCTTTTTTGCCTCTTTATTCCAAATCACATACAGTATACTGCCATATATCAAACACAACTTCCTGTCAGTCTTAAATTTACTTAAATAACTACTGTTTTGTTACATCTTTGGTCTTTTAAATCTGTTATACCACCATACAACACCATAGTCACCAAAATAACTGCTGAACATGGTCATCACTGAAAACAGGTCTGTCATGTCAAGAAACACTAGCAGTCACGCGATCATACAGGTTGTAAACATTTTTGTCCGGATTATTTATCTCTTTATTTGCAGATGAAACCAAAAGTTTCTCTTCTAAATAAATTTGACCAACCTGAGGATTTGTTTGCAGCTCGTCTGATCATCTGACTGTTGGTGTTTCTTGCCCCATTGGACCTTAACCAAGCAATCCAGGGCAATTAAGTTTCCCAGCTATTAGTGGCCGGTTTTTGTCCCAAATCAACATGGACCTTTTGGACCAACCTTCACAAATCACAACAAATGTCAAAATATGGTAAAACAACAAAAACCCCACCCAACCTATTTAAACTGAAAAAAATCTGGACCTGGACCAACTCGGTCCTTGGTCTTGTTTCATTTACTAGACACCAAGTCGATTGGTGAAGACCTGTATGTCATCATGAACTAGAATGAACTTAAACCAAAGAAGTATATTTGCTCCATATAAAATATAGGCATTTGTAATAAATTAGCTGTTGCACAAACACATTAATGGTCCTCAAATGTATGTTAAAATCTCTGCACTTAAATTAGTGTTGCCTTTCCAAGCTGGCTTCCTCTACTTGCTGCCAGCCACAAAGGTGAATTTCAATGGAAATGTTTGAAAAGCTTATACTTGACCACAGCTGTTTCAGAGAAGGTGGGGTCAGTCATTCTGAAGAAAGATAGTTCATTGTTGAGTCTTATTCCCAGGTTGTCGAATACCGTCGCTTTGGGTTATGGTAAATAGGAAACAAACGTGGCTCGGAACAAACCATACAACACAACAGGTGGTGTTCATGCTCAAAACCCTGGTATTTGACAACCTGGGAATGGGACTCCACAATCAACTATTTATTTTTATATATTTTTATCCAGAATGATTGATTCCACCTTCAAATCATATTTTTCAAGTTTACGGTCAGGCTTAAGGATAAGGGTTGATCAATAAGACAGAGAACAGTAGGTCGTCCTTTACAAAGTGATGTTTATCTTGGGTTTTCTACTGTTTAAAGAGAGGGAGGGTTCCAGCTAATGGATATCAGCCATTAAACAGTGTCTGATCCTTCGAGCAACACGTGCTGCTGTTTTATTACACCATTGTATCCTCTTTCTCCTTGGCGATCTGCTAGACGAAGGAAAATGAGCCGCTAATCTTCATGATTCACACTATGATCGAGAACTCGGCACCGAGGCCGCAACTCTACCAGCAAGTAAGGTCTTTGGCAGGTTCTGGCTTGAGTCGGTGTCAAGAGAATCCATCTGTCTCTTGACATGTTTGTTGTTGGGTCAAAACCTCACAGCGATCATGGAATTTTCAGTTCAACCATTGTCAAAGGTTTCCACAAGTAAAGCATCATGTTTGTAATCTTATATTATACTAAAACTTGAAAGCACCAAAATTTGAATTTCGTGGTTTTTGCTCAACATCAAGTACATTTCAGTGTACTTAGATTGAAGAGTTCAATCTCAAAGGAAAATGTCCAGTGTACATGAATGTAAATTAAAAACATAAATGTCAGGAAGCTTGGGGCTTGTTTTTCCCAAAATGGATGTCTTTATTGTTTCTAAATGAACTCTTTAATTTTAACTCAACTGAAGTGGACTCAAACCAGACCTTTGCCCTAGGCGCCCAGTGGTTGTGTATCCTCGTCTTCCCCTTCACCATCAACCTCTTGTTTTACCACTTTGGATGCAGTCAGTCCGTTCATCAACCAGTTGTTAATCAGCCAACATCCCCAGAAGTCATCACTGCATTATTTAAAGTGTATATGAAGTTGTTTTTGGTCCCAGCGCATCTCATATCATTGCTTTCTGCTTGATGCTGTTGGAAGTGACTTGAAGCGAGCATGGCTTATGGTGTAATGCTACATAGCCATGGATTTCCCCTCTCACTGTCTTTATACAGCACTGTTCATTGTGTATTATCCCTATGGAAATGCTTACACTATTAGGATGTGTTTGTCTTAGAGGTTCACTTTTTCAAATGTTCTGTGGAGAATAATGCTCCGAATGTTTTCTAATATGGCTCAACATTTTAGAAAATGCACATTAGGCCTTCTTTCTGATACTGACAGTGAGTCTACACATGGTTAGCCAAGGTTAGCATACAGACTGAAAACAGAGGGAAACAGCTAGCTAAAGTTGGAAAATATGGCCTGCAAATCTCACTAAGTAACACATCATATTTGAAACGGTCCACAAACAGAAATATGAAAATGACATTTGTTGTTTTAGGGGGAGTTGTGTGCTGTAACTGTTTCTAGATGAAACCTGTTTATTCTATAGTGCAGGTTGCTAGATATGGTGAGTAAGCCCTGGTTTTAGTGCAAGTGTCTGTACTCTGTACTTCCTTCAGTTTTCTCTGAGGTAAACGAGGGCTGCATTCAGTCTGAAACCATTTTGCAGCAGTTTGAAACATTCTCCAGTTGAATAATGTGGTTCCTTTTAACTGTGCTCAGTGCTTTGCAGCAGTTGCAGAAGCTCATGCTTGCTCCAGTTTTATTGCTGTGTCAACCAATATATCCACTGCAAAACTTCAATACAGCAGTGATACCCCACTAACTGGTCTGACTGAAAGGATTTCAGATATAATGTATCAAAGAGAGTCACGATCATTCAGGCGCCGCTGTGATGCACTGACTACATCAGTTTAAAACTGACTATTAAAAATAATGTTTCATAATGTGTCCAGTGAAGTCAAATAAAAAATTTAACCACATCTCATTAAACCTCTTTTGTCATTTCTGCATATAAATAGAAGAGAATTGGAACTCCTGTAATAGGGCCCCTGTAATGCATTTATTCATGACTTCTGAATTCTAGAAAACCTTGCAGTGGATTGAATAGTCTTCAAACAGTGCTTTTTGATAGCCCCACCTCTGGATTCCCTCTGTGTGGCTTTGTACCATCGTCTCTCAGCTGTATTTCCTGGAACAGAACATAATAATGTGCGCTGTAAAATTCAGTCGGGGGAATTGTCAGAGGATTTTATCACTTTACTCCAGACCGCCGAAAACCTGCTTCTGTCTGCTCTCATCTATCACCTCCAGTCTGAGCCAACAGACTTTCCTTTTCTTTATTTCTTTAGGAGGAAATGGCAGAAGGGCTCATCAGTCGCCCTAGAGTAGTTAATATGTTCATGCTATGTAAGAAAGCTGCTGTTACATAACACTACTGCTTTAAAGATAGTTTTTAGTGGAATTACTCTGTTGTAAAATAGTATAATATTTCTCTCTGGTTGCATTTTTTCCACTAAATTAGCTCTGGTTCTTGAACTGGTTCCATTCAACCGTTGAACCTTGTTCTTCAAACAACCCATAAAACAGGAAGAGAGGGTTAGAGATGTGGCCTTAATTTCTGTATTAACACAAATGATTTGTACTTTCATTGACAGATTGAGATAATGCTGTAACTACAAATCAGAAAAAGAAAAAAAGAATGTCATGTCTTTTTTTTATTATATAATAACACATTGTCACATGTTAATCAAAATATGAATTTAATAATTTTTTCTAAAAAAGGAGGGGGAGCAGTTTTTCACAAGGCAGCTTCTATGTGACCTTAGAGACAAAACACAGGGCAGAGAATTCACCATGCTCTTGTAGCTTAAAGATCCCCTCCAGACATCAGACATGTATTAAGACATGTATTAAGACATGTTTACAAATAGTTTGCTTGGAACAATAATGTGTGTCTGATACGTGTGGTTTTTTTTCTGCAAAAAGAAAAGTATAATATCCACGTTAAAATCCTTTCAGTCATCTACTTATTCTACCTTCTAGAGTCAAACTCTGCACATACATCATTCAAACAGCACACTGTAGGGACAAGAAGGTACACTGATTTTTAACTGGAGGGGTGCTTTAATATTGAGGGCAATGATGGTGAGCTTTTTGTTTCTGTCAGAGAACTGTGTTTACAGAGGTTTAATGAGTAAATCAGACTAAAACTTTGAAAACAGAGGGGACATGTCCTCTTAGTCACCAGCGGAAAATTACACTTTGATTAATGTATATAATAATAGTTTGGGGCTTAATTTGATATTAACGAGCATCTGCCCTCTCAGGCTACACCTCCCTCCGTCTTTCTCTGCGTTATAATATTCAGCCACAATATCCTCAGTAACACCTGGGTAAACCGCTTCGAGGGAAATGAAACAGGATTAGTGAATGTGCACGGAGCGCTCATCCCTTCATCCCCTCACTCCCTGCCTCTGGAATGAACAGCAGGAAGCACATGAAGAGTCTCTCTAAAATCTGTATCATTTGGGAGAAATGACTTAATAAAATACAATTTACATCACAAATATAATTCAATTGTGGTATTCTCTGAAAGATATCGCATTAGGCATCTCATTGGTTGACCTGCAGTTTGACAGACTGCATCCTCTATGCATGGAAAAGTAAAAAAAAATTGGTCATTCTTTTCCCCATCAAAATGCATAAAGTTGCATTTTTGAAGAGAACTCTTCATGGCTGGAGCTCTGGGCTCTCCATCCTAACAAATGTGTCGCTGTCGCCCCCTGCTGTCCGTCTCTGACTGTGCCTCCTCTTTCCAGATCAGCCCGGACGACTACAAAGACGGCTCCTTCGTCCAGCGCACAGAGGAGGCCGACATAGACGTAAGACGAGCACAGCTTGTAACTGAGATGGATAATACTTTTCAAAGAAAGTTTAGTTCATGTTTGTGTGTTTGTGTGTCAGACCAAGCTGAGCAGGCTGTGTGAGCAGGACAAGGCGGTGAGGATGCAGGAGGAGAAACTGCAGCAGCTTCACAGAGAGAAGGTACAGCTGGCACGGTGTGTAGTCATGTTTGTGTCTTTGTGTGTTGACTCTTATGTACAATAAGTATCTGTATCTGTTTGTGTGTGTGTGTGTGTGTGTGTGTGTGTGTGTGTGGTGGCAGCACACGCTGGAGACAGCCCTGCTGTCCGCCAGTCAGGAGCTGAGTGAACAGAGCGGCTCCAACCCTGCAGCCGTACAGAGCCTGGTCCAGCAGAGAGACGTGCTGCAGAACGGCCTGCTTAGCACCTGCAGAGAGCTGTCCAGAGTCAGCACTGTGAGCATACCCCGACACACACACACACACTCACTCACACACACATCAATACATGCTTCCACTCTGGAACCTATTTCTTGCAGCCTTTCGTCTAGAAAATGGTAATGTAAATGCTTTATTTGAATGCAAGTAGACCAAAAACTGCAGCTGGGACTGTATTTATCAAGCATCCCAGGGAAGGAAATCAATTCTATCTGTTCCTACTTATTTAGTGTTTATTTATCAGCCACAATGTACCAGATAAAGCTAAAAGCTCATTTCCATCTGTAGTCCCTGGGAGGAGGCTGCTAGTGATGTGCAGGTTACAGAGATAGGTGTACGAGTAAAAGCATATCATTACCTTTCTTAGAGGCTCTATTGTCAGAAATGGAATATAATATTCATAGGTATGTTTTTATTAGTGTATAATCACCCCACAAGCAGGGCCAGCAGACCGAGGCTAAAGTCGATGTTCGAATGTGCCATGATTGTGTGGATGCTTTCTTAGCCTGGGGCTAAGAAGGTCCTAAGAATGATTTTAGCCCTGGGCTAAGTGCAGTGTGAAAATCCCTTACATTTGAGCTACAATCAACTAATGGTATTCTTTAGAAACAAATGACAGACTCATCTTCAAGTTTTTCCTGCATCAGCCTGAGACATGAAGCCTCTTGTTTAAGTCTGGTTCTGTTAAGATGATGAAAGGCAGTTCTTGTTATGTTGGTGACATGGCTTTGGAAAGTAAGGACAGAATCAAGGATAACACCCTCTCAAGCTGCAGGTGGGTGTGGGAAATCTAGCTGTTGTCTCTAATGTGCCGAGGAAAACCCAAATAATTTCAGGTAATGTGTAATTTATCATAAGAGAAATGAGAAGAAGCCAGGTTGCAAGGGTTTTTTGGGAAGCAGTTGGAAACCTTTTTGGCACGTACATGCACGCACAAGTGAAGGGCACCCCCCCCACACACACACAACACACACACACACACACACACACACACACACACACACACACACTCACACAGTCCCATGATCCTTGTGTTGGCTGCTGTCCTGGTTTCAGGAGTTGGAGCGCTCCTGGAGGGAGTACGACAGGTTGGGGGCGGATGTCACTCTGGCCAAGTCCAACCTGCTGGAGCAGCTGGAGGCCCTGGGCAGCCCACAGGTAACACATACATACACACTCACACTCAAACACACTTTGTGGGGTGATCTAGCTTGTAACAGCATTTATGTGTGTCTGTGTGTCCTCAGACAGAGCCTCCAAGCCAGCGACACATCCAGATCCAGAAGGAGCTGTGGAGGATCCAGGACGTGATGGAGGCTCTGGCCAAAAACAAACCACAGCGGAGCACAGACAGCAGTGAGAGTCTCATTCTCCCATGAAGTTTATCTGATGTGATTTACACTAAGGAGGGTGGTTTCTTAACTATTCCCATACTTTGCTAAGACATTATGGAGAATGAAAAAATAATTTCTTGGAACAACATGTATTTATGTAATGGATCTGAAGTAAAAAGAAAAATGGTTTGAGTGCTTGTCTACAAATGCTTTTTCAGTAGTCCCATTCCTCTCCTCTCCATATTCTCTATGTTCAGCAGGTTTTCCTGGTTCCAAACCGCTCTCCAGTCTACAGAAGAACGAGGTAAGGCAGCACTCCAGCCTACACAGCACATACTGACATCCACTACTACACCACACTTACTCTTAGCTGTTTAATATTCGGTTCAACCTCTGGCTCCAAAGTAATGTCTGACTTAAAGCTTCCCAAAAGTGAAGCCAAAACATCGCCCTCTAGTGGCTGCCTGCAGTATGGGAAGGACCTCAGTACTGCAACCCCTGATCTCTACTGCGGAGACTCTGATTGCAGATGACTTCAAGATGGCAGTAGCTATATCCAGGATATTTTGGCTTAATTTTGGACAGTGACAGGATATGGAAATACATTGTCCATCTTTATATACACCAGGAACGTGTGGATGTTGTTTTCAGCACTGGATTAATGACTGGAACAAACACTAGTTGTGTATTTTTACACTATTGCAGACCAGTTGACAAAGCACACTTAGAGTGTTTAGATTGATGTCCCTCATACCAGGCAGCCACTGTTTTATTCACTTTACTATGAATGTCCACTTCCTGGACCTTGAAACTGACTTGCGGTAGCTAATCTATCACACTGACCATTTTTACTAAATTACACTGCAGGCAGTTGGTAATGCAGCTGTGAGCAGGTGATGATTAGACAATTCCTTGTTGGTGCATTCATGATTTCTGAGTTGTCTGTTTAACAGCAACCTTTTTATCCCAAGAAACAACCAAATTCATAATTTCCTTTTCAGGATGCCCATCATTGCTCATTCTGCTGTACAGAAGCAGACACAAGGTGTGTTCAGGCTGAACACAAAGCCAATTTCTGTCTTGCATTATTCATGCAAATTTGACCACCGCCTGGCTGATGTATTTTTGCAGTTTGTGTGTGTGTGGTACAGCCACTGGCATACAGACATTACAGACATTACAGACACCCACAGAAAATGATTCCCCTCAGCTCTACGAAGCCTTCTAGCATCTTTCAGCTCATTGTTTTGGTTTTAAAGACCACAACTTAACTGTTTTAGTTCACTCTCATGGTTCTCATCAGCCTCATTCCCAGCAGCAGCTGCAGCTGTTTTTAACAATACAGTCTCACTCCCAACTCATCATATACTGTGCTGTCGCTTGGTCAGTGGTCTTCTACTTAAAAATATTACACTGTTATAGAATATAAGAATAAATATGCAACATCCAGTTAGACTTTCAAAATATAGCCTGCGCAAACTACTTCCTTAGGTTTAAGAACATATTGTTAGTTACGCTATATACTCACATAATTTAAGAAGAAATTACTGGTTAGACTTTCAAAATAAAGCTTAATGCGAGATTTACGGTCTCAGTTTTGTTAGGTTTACGCACAAAGATCGTAAGTTACTTGACGTAACCTAGGTACATGAATAAAACATAACCTATGTAACTTGACGTAAAGTACGTTACATAAGTTAACATACATGCATCACTTAAGAAATTGTTTACTTTTGGTTCCACACGGGACACCAACAGAGGTTTCCTGGGTTAGACTTGTAGTCCTGTGTTTGTTTGAACCATCCATCCACCCCACCACCCCCATATGCAGACTTTCCAGCTCTTTATACTACATCACCTGGCTTTGACGTACATACAGCGTCTTACTTTGAAGCAGACTGCCACTGACCAAGCAGCAGTATTTGAGACTAGGTTGTTTATGATAAAGCCCCCTAAGCACCAAACAGCAGACACAGTTAGTGCCCTGCCTACTGCTCTTAACCAGCAGTACAGTCCAGTAACACAACATGATATATGAGACCAGCTGTGTTAACTGTCAACAGGCAGTGACGCTGCTGCCACTCAGTCCACTCAAGGAGGCCGATGGCGTGCCCCCCCCGCCCGCCCCTTCCACAGTACTACGACTCATCAGAGCGCCCCCCCACGTGCCCCCCCCACCACTCGCACCCCGGCATCCGCCTGCCTTCCCACGCGCACCGCCCCGAGGACCGCAAGGCCAGCTCCAGGAACGGAGCACACAGCGTAAGAGCCGCTGAAAAACCTTCATCCCCCTCCAATGTCTGCTCCTCCATCTGTGACCGCCACCCATCAGCAAACCTTCATTTCAAGAGATTCTGCGTGCTTCCAACCATTCTTATTTTCATTTTCATCATTGTCACTTCTCAACCTCCATCCTAAGGTCTGCATTAATATACACTGAAGAGACTCATTCCTCAGGGAGCCCCATTTTTGGATACATGTCATTCACTTCAGCGTGTTCTTTTTGTCTTCTTTACTCCTGCAATCCATCCAGTCGTCACCGTCACTCACCTACAGTGTCACATTCAGACCCATTCTGGTCCGTACATGGATTTATCTGTGGCATTCATTGTTGTGAGGCTGATGTTTTCGTTGTGTGGGTTTACACTTTTTGAGTGTGTTCTGCCTTCTACTTTACAGTCAAAATCCTCTTTGTAGCACCAGAGAACTCTATGCTGTACCACTTCAGTGCACATTTTGGTGCTTTAAAAGAGGTTCTCAGTGAACCATAAATGGTTCTACAAAAATGGTTTTGATGCTAAGAGCCATTTACTGTAAGATCACAGTGTGGCTGTTAGATGAAAACCTTGTGTCTCAAGCCTGCCTCTGTCTTCACTGCAACTCCTCTCATGTTTCTGTGTTGCCACTTAAAGTCTTGGACAGAAGAGTAGAAATTATTCTTGCTGATGGCAAGATGTCGTCTTAGCTTTGCCTCTATGTATGAGTGCCAATGTAAGGAAGCAACCTGAGATTTTGATAATAAAGTCATCATAATTTCAGAAAAAAGTAAATGTTAAAATTTGGTAATTTTGATCAAATGTTTAAAATAAAATTACAACTTTATTCTTCAAATATTACAACCTTTCCTATGAGTTTTTTCTCATATTAATGTATTTTTAATCAATGCAATAATTTTTTTTCCTGCAGTTTTTCTTAACTTAATCACAAAATATAATAACTTTTCCATGTAAAACTATAACTTTATCTTCTAATATTATGACTTGTTTGTCAAAAATATTTTCCCTTACAGCGGTCCTAACCTGCCAAACACCAATAATTCCTCAAACTCATTTCTCATGAAGGCCTGACTCCTCATTTTTGTTGATCCTGAAAAGTTGACGATACAAGTTTTCACCCAGAAACAGCAATTAGAAATCATCCAAGTGAACAGTGTTTGGAGGTTTACTTAAAAAAAAAGGCACATAGAAAGAAGTACTGCACAACTTTTTCTAAACGTACGTACCCGTACATATGTGTGGATGTGTGTGTGCCTGACTGCTGTACGGTGTGTATTCTGACCCTGAGCGATCTCTCCCCTCTCCCTTGCAGCAAGCTCCGGACTACCGACTGTATAAGAGTGAGCCTGAGCTGACCACAGTGAAGGAGGAAGTGGACGAGGCTAATGGGGAGGACAAGGACAAGACAGAGACCTCTGCTGAGAGTAAAGATGCTGCAGCCTCAAAAGGTACCCCTCGATTCAGTCAACATAGAGCTGTCACTGTTGGATGTTCCAGTTGTAAGAAAATATTGTATTGTGATATTTTGTTTTGCTTTGTTTAGTTTTGTGTATCAATTCTCAAAAACACTATCATTTTTTGTCAATTCATATTTTATTCATATGGTCTTGTGTTGTTTATACAAGTTTTCCTAAAATTAAATTTAAAAAAGGAATTTTCAATATATCACAATAACATTTCCATGGAAAACATCTTTTCTTTTTTTTCTTAATTAACTTTTTTTATTGGTTCCAATCAGCATTCTCCCATTAGCATTTAACATCTCACACATATGTTTTCCATGTACACAGAGAATACAGATACTTCACACCAGGGATCAAAAACATAAATAGACAAAAATTCACAATTAAACACAAAATTCAGTAGACTAGAAATGAGTACATTTTTCATTTCAATCCACATTTTCTTTCCCCTCTTGTAAAGACCTTTCTCACCTGGTGAAGGATAATGCCGAACACAATCTTATGAACATTGAACATCTGTAGCAAGAACCAAACACAATCATCCCAGTTATTCCAGAAATTCTTAAATTTATCTGATTCTAGTCTAATTGAGAAAGTCAACTTTTCCATCATGTAAATGTTGTGCATTACTTCGACCCAATCCTCCATTTTAGGTACCTCCATTTTCAGCCACATCCTGGTGATGGCTTTTTTACCTGCCACTAACATTACTCTGAATAAATATTTGTCCCCTGAATTTGTTATTCTCTGGTTCCCTTTTCCCAAGTACAAATCAAAAATGTAAATGGAAGTTCCACTTTCCAAATTTTCTCAATGCTTTTCTTTAATTCGAGCCAGTAAGGTATAATAGAGGGGCATTCCCAAAAGATATGAAAATGATTGGCTCTACTTTCTCCACATAGTCTCCAACATCTCGTATCCTGAGATTTCTGTTGTGCTGGTGTAATAAAATATCTCACTATGTTCTGCCAACCATGTTCTCTCCATGAGAGGGAGCATGTTGTCTTCCATTGTCGTTCATTGATCTCTTCCCATTCCTCCTTTGACAACATCCTTCCCACCTCCTTCTCCCGCTTTTCTTTTATATATACTGTATTATGACCTTTTAAATTTTCCACTTCTTTATATAATTTTGAGATTCATTTCTTGCCCAGATCTGATTCATATGCTAAAATAAATAATTTAATAATCCCCGACTCTAGGCAGGCTGGAGACACTAATCTAAACTGGACTTCTTTATAGTTTGCTCCATGTAATGTCTCATCTGTAATATCTGTATAAATCCTGATTTTTTTAAACCAAATTGATTCTTTAGATCTTGAAAACTTTAAAATTTCTTCTTCTTAAAGAGCTCCCAGAATATTGTTGGTCCCCCGCCCCATCTTCTGAATCTCCCATCTATTGTATTAGGTGTAAAATCTGATTCATGTGCAATCCACCGCAGTAACCTACTCTGCTCTGTAAGGCTATTCTTTGATATAATCTCAAACCAAATGTTAAGGGTTAAACCCAGCCATGGATTTAGCTCCTTGGAAAACATCTTGCCATTCTTTGCTCTTCTTTCAGTGTAGAAATACTCTCCAGTTCTGATAGAACTGATGCTAGCAGCATCTGAGCTAACCTCTTTAGCAGCCAGCTTTGTTATTTTAAAGCAAATAGTCACTTCTTACTCACATCGTCACAATCTGATTGGCCCTGAACACTGTGGCTGGACACAAACACATAGCTTGTAGTCTGGAAATATAGATTCTCACTTGATCGTGTGAGTCCAGCTGTCTAGCGAGGTTCATTCACAGGTGTTACCTGGTAGGATTCTGAACCTCTCACACTTACGCATTATTTATTCAACTTATTCCTCCATCTGGATCCTAACTGCCTTTGGGCTCCGTTTATCCCTTCCCCTGTATTTACTGTAGTGTTAAATGTATTAAACAATACAGACATTAAATACACATTTTAATTGTCAGTCAAAAAGCAGACTTAATTCATTAATGTATTATAAGTTTGTATTTGTAAAAGACTGGGGAAATAATGTTGATTTGTGCTGCTGAAATTGCACTGAAACAACAAACACTGTCCCTGAACGTCTCCTGTTTCTGTTAGCATTCTGTTCACATGTTTTGCATCTTTAGTGAAATGGAGCACGGTTGGATTTCCTGCCACAACGTGAGCAATTAGCCTGACTGCCGTGTTTGTTTGCTAATGTGTAAGCGTTTCCTGGCATGTCTCCGACAGCGCCCCCCTGCCCAGTTGGCATCGTCCCTCCCAGGACCAAATCTCCCATGAGCCCTCCCGAGTCCTCCACCATCGCCTCCTACGTCACCCTGAGGAAGACCAAGAAGCCTGAATCCAGATCAGTAGGTTTTGCCCTCGGCATCAACAGTCACAAACACTTGTTTAGATGAAATGAACCAATTCCAGCTCAGTGAATGTGCCACAATCAGCCCGAAGGATTGCTGTTTTGTTGTCACTGTGTTTGTGTGGGTGAACATTCCTTTGAGTCAGAGCTCAGTAGATACTTAATCTGCCCCGCCAACAAAGAAGTACATATCTTTTAATAATACATTTACAATGACATCTCACTTTACCTGACAGTCTCATTCAGAGCAAGCAGTGTATTCGCTCTACTAACCATTTTGGCACATGTCATATGTTTGCTGCCTGGCAGAAGAGTTTCCCATTTTCCCCTCAGGTTCACTGCCTGTTTTCACATGGCAGAGCAGAAAGCTCTGTCTCTGTTCTGGGTCAAACATACCGCCTTCTTTTTCTTATTCCTTTTTCAAAAAGGTTCTTTAATCTGTCGCTCTTTATCGCACATGTTGTGCTGGAGGTTGTCATGCTCTCCCTGGAATGGAGTCTTAATGAATGAGTGTGTGTGTGTGTGTGTGTGTGTGTGTGTGTGTGTGTGTGTGTGTGTGCGTGTGTGTGCGTGTGTGCGTGTGTTAATGTTGTTTGTGTGTGTGTGTGTGTGTGTTGATGTGATCAGTGTGCAAAATTATGAAATTATTTACAGATAATCATTAGTCAGGTTATAATAAACTAAATAGTTATAGGCCTGCCAACAAGGTTGACTGATATACAAAAATAATAATAACAATAACAACAATTTAAATAAATAAATACATTTAAAGAAATCAACAGAGAGTTGTTTCTCAGGTTCCACTGGTTGTCTTCAGGTCATTACAGGATCTGATACATTTTGCAGCAATGATCTCACATTAGGTCATTTCCCCAAGTATATATGACAGTTTCTCTATGTCTGTTTTCAGATTCTAGCTGTATTTTACAATATTAGGAAAAAGCCTGGTATTTGGGGCATGAGGCGAGGGAGTATAGCTGTGTCTCTACCTGTCCTCTGTCACACCGGGAGCGGGGTCTGTCCTCTTCCGGCAGCCGGCTCTGTTTATGGCATCCCTTCTCCACAGCGAGGCTGTGCTCGCTGACTCAGTCAAAGAAAAAATATCTCTCATTCTGCCACATCAAGGTTAAAAATATAAGCTGACTGTAACCACAGATGAAGCCTGGACACAGGATCTGATGTAACTATCCCTCGTGGCTGCAGCCTACACTCACCCACACTACACACCTACACTGCACCAACATACATCCTGACCGTCAACATTCACCCACAGATTTAAAAAGTCAAAAGCTCATACATGACGATTGTGCTAAGGAAGGAAAGGTCAGACATTCAGGACAGCTTTAGTATCCACAGCAAACTCACTTCCTGAGATTCCTTTGCTTTGGATGAAAGGCTGAGTGTTGTCCTGAACAGGACCGCCCCAGGAGTGCAGTGGATCAGACGGGTTTTGGGGAGCGAGAGGTGGGCAGAACGAGGATGAGCGTGGAGGAGCAGCTGGAGAGGATGAGGAGAAACCAGCAGGCCTCGTCGCTCCGAGAGAAGAAGAGAGAAACCCCGTCCCGCTCGCCCTCCTTCAACAAAGAAGTTGCTATCCTGCAGGTGATACCCCATCCCACACAACACACACTGCTAACTTTTTCCTTAGGTCTTGAAAACTTTTTTCAACCTTTGAGATAACATGTGTGCGTGTGTGCAGAGCCGGGTCCAGGCAGAGGGGGCCTGTGCAGACCCTGTGGAGCTGGAGGCGGCTCTGCAGCAGCTGAAGGTGGCTCACATGGAGCAGAGCAGGATGGTCGCCGAGGCTGCTGGGACTCGCACAGAAGCTGCACAACAGGTTCATGGGATATTTTTATAGTTCTTATCTATCGCAGTCAGAGCCACGTGTACTGAGTTGTGACCTTCACTGTGTCCTGGCAACCACTTAGAACATTATAATTTTACATTTTCATTTAAAACAAATACACATTTTAAGTAAAATACTAAAAAGAAATGTGTAGATCAATGTGATATATAACCTTTTATTCACTGAAAAAGCAGTAGTAAATGTACAGAGTACTAGTAATACAACTTTTCCTTCACTGATTTTCAGTTTTTTCTATATGTGTTAAAGGTTATATCATTCAGTGCTGGTAGATGTCGCCCTAGAGCACATTATCTCAGACCAAAACAATGGGCACTGCAGCCAACCAGACTCCATTGACAAAACCAGTCATTTTACCTTGCATATCATCGCAACATTTTAACTTCATAGCTCGCATAGCTAATAGTTGTTTGCTGCTGTATTAATGTTTTAGTCTCATATATATATATCCTTTAAGCTACAGTCAAATAAAGGGCTAGTTATATAACCTTTATACATGCACTGCTCATTTCTAATGACGACTGTGCAAGCTGTTCCTTACATGATTCTATTTCAATCTCCAGGAAGTGCAGAGAGAAGAAGAGGTGAAAAACGACAAGTGTGAGGAGGTACAGCAGGACGGGGACGTGACCCTGCAGAGTGTGAATGAGCCGCAGGCTGAGACCAACAGCATAGTCAGTGAGGTACTGTACAGAGTCCTGCACAGCCAGGGTGGGCGTATAGACTTGTTATAATTCAATCAGTCCCTGCTTTTCTTTCCCTCGAAAGATAAAAATGTCTTGACGTGTCATCAAAGGATGAGTCTGTATTTTTTAATAATACTAATTTCTGATCTGACTGAAAGAATAATCTCCTCAATGATTTAAAGCCCCCCTCCACTCACTCATTGAAAATCTGACTTTAAGGGGCGGGCCCTACCAGCATGGTTTGTGACATCATAAATTGAACCTGAAGCCACCAGTGCACATCCACTGAGAATGGACTTTACAGTGAAGGAGGAGACATCTTGTGTCCAGCAGGAAAACCTTAGAAATGAACAACATTTACATATTCAGAGATTCTGGAATTTATAATGAGGTAGAAGGAGGAGATGCAGTTGTAAGGATTTTAATGTGGAAATTATTCTTTTTTTTTTTTTTTTTTTTTCAGAAAAAACATATCAGACACACATTATTGTTCCAAGCAGACTATTAGTGTATACTGTATGTCTGCAGGGGATCTTTAAGTTGAGAGTGTTTTCTGAAAAACCCAGCTCATTCAGCGAGCCTCACTACAAAAATAAGTGTGGTGTAATGTAATTGTAAGTGGCTTGGGATTAAACATGTTAATGATGTCTAGGGGCAGTTTTTAGGTTGCTACTGCTGTTATGTGGTTGAAGTGGGATGATGTACCACGTTGTCAATATAATTGGTCATTAAGCCAAAGTAGTCATAATTGTCTCTACAAGAACCTGATGAGCAGCTCATGAACATCCCAAACAAATGTAAATAAGTACAAATTGGTAGGCGATAGATGCAAATTGAATCTGTCCACATGGACTTCTTTTCTTATCTTTCTTATCTTTATTTATTTATATTTTAAAAGTACTTTTAAAAGTACTTTTAAAAGTGATTTTTGTGTGATTTGTATATTTGTATATTGTATGCACCATTGCACCAAGACAAATTCCTTGTAGGTGTAAAAACTTACTTGGCAATAAATCTAATTCTGATTATGATTCTGGATGTTAGCTGATAAACTGATACAATGCAGGGCTGGAGGCTGCAGGGGCAGCAGGTGGAGGACAATCAAAGGAATTCTAACACACACTATACACAGCCCTCTCTCTGTTAAATTCAGCGTCTGTAATCCTGGCCGTGTCTGCCACGCAGCAGATAATCGGCCATTGTGGCCATAGCATCTCCGAGTGTAATCTGGGACAATAACAGAGGATTTGTGGGAACGTGGAAGAAGCCAGGTTGGCTTTAAGGGGTTTATCTCCTGGATTCAGCCAGGATTGCTAGCTGGGTCTGGGCTGCTCTCCAGTGGGATGCCACCCCAGAGCTCCACAGAGCCCTAGACTGTACACAGCAGCCCTCATTCCACAGCAGAGACAGAGAAACCCTCAGCGTTTTATTCAGTTCTTAAATTATGATTCTTTCTGTTTTGTTCATTCATTTCATTCTAAAGTGACCTATTCATTTGTATTTATTATGTACTCATTCACTTGCTCGGTGGTTATCTAAAATCTTTTGGAAGTTGAAACATGGGAAGAAATAAGGTTTGAATGTTGATTTATTGTACTTTATAGTGATCTTTATTGGATCGTTGATTGACTATTAAGACTTTATTATCTCTTGAAACCTAAAAACAAACTCAGAGGGGATTCTTCAGGGCAAGGTCCTCTCAAATTGGGGGTCCATGTGTCCTTGGTCTAAATGTGCATATTGTGAAGTCCTTGACATGAAAAAGTTTTGATTGTCCCGCCCCTTTTTACTCTGCAATAACATTTGAGCAAAATCAGAACTCGGTCAACTTTCTCCTTTCCTGTACTTAGATATGCTATATGCTAGGCTAATCTATGTTGAAAAGACAACTGCATTTTGAAGATGGTTTAAAGATAAAAGCAACATATATTCACATACATTCACACGTTAATGTTAGAAAAACTTTAGCTAGATAGATACTTTATTCATCCAGAGGGAAATTCAGGTATCCAGTAGCATACGAAACATACATACATTAAACATACATTAAACCTATATTAAAATTAAATTAAAAATTAAAATTAAATTCACTTATAACACAGTAGCCACAGTAAACAGTGCAAATGGAGGTAGAAATTGTCCATTGTCTGTTATCTGTTGTCCTCCCTGCCTTTACTGAGAGCTGTTGTACAGTCTGCTGTAAAGCTAACTGCTGATTCCTTTACATTCACTAGTTAGTTACTAGCGTTAGCGACATTAACATCTTAAGTTAGCTTATGATGTTAGAAAGCTAGCTAGCTAATGATTGATGTAAACTAGATAACTAACATTGATTCAGATCAGCTAGCTAGTTGACCAGTGTATTTAACATTAGCTAACCTAACAGGTGACTATATAGTTCTTTATCTTTTAACCATCTTCAAATTTTGGTTGTCTTTTCAGCATAGATTAGCCTAGCACATAGCATATCTAAGTAGGAAGGAGGAAGTGGACCGAGAGTTGCTCAACTGTTAATGGAGCCCAGAGGGACTTACTGAAGAGCCTACAGTTTATCTTGAATAAAAAGAACTGAACTAATTCCTGATACCATCACTGCTCTTTCTATGTAATTCCCAGCACATCACTAAAGTGTGTGTGTGTGTGTGTGTGTGTGTGTGTGTGTGTGTGTGTGTTCAGCTGTGTGAAAGCCAGAGGGTGGTGATTCTGGACCTGGGCACGGAGCCTCAGCATGTGGAGATTGTAAACCTTCAGCCTTTTGAGGATGACGAAAGCAGAGAGCAGGATCTGACCAGCTCGCCAACAAACACCACCACTGAAAACAGGTGTGTGTGTGTGTGTGTGTGGATACTACCTAAGATCTTTCTGCAGCTAGAAACTAATGTTCATTAGTGAAACTGCAGCCAAAAACTGGCTTCCACAACGTACGGCAATAACACACCCAAAATCCACATTTAGCTGTTCATTTTACTGCAGTGTCTGTTTGCATCTGTAGATTTCACCAAAGTTAGCATTACATAATGCCTCAGTCGCATATTTAAAGGTACAACTTCAGAGAACTTAATGTAAGTAATCAACAAAATCCCATGCTGATATCTATTAGTTAAATGCTGACCCTATTAACATGTTGTGTAGTTCTACAATACATATCTTTATAGACTGATTTCTCACACAAATCTCCCCTACAGCAGCACTTACATACACCAAACCTTCCAGTTAGCAGTATTCTGAAACTTTTTACAGAGGGCTTTGTTCATATGTTTGTCATAAGACTGACTCTATTTTCTGATTTATGGGGTGATAGAAAGAGATCCTCTATAAAGACTCAACACAATGAAACAAGGATTTTGAACCTGGCTTTATCCAATGTTCCGATTTATGAAATGTCTGCAAAATAGCGCATTGTTAATAAGATATAATAGAAAAAACGATTGTCTCAATGTAAGTAATCAACTGGGGAAGTTTAATGGTGATATCTATTAGTTAAAATGTTTACCCTATTCGCCTGTAGCATCTCCCTTTAAGTGTGTGGAACAAAGACATCTCGAGGATACAATGAAAACAGATGATACCCGTTCTCTTTATTGTCCTGTCAGTAGTGCTATCTTCTTGATTATAAGTCAGAGTGTGAGCTGTTCTGCCTCTGCCGATTGCAGCTTCCAGACTCCCGAGCCTGCCACACCGAGCCCGGAGCCGAGGGAGGAGGAAGCAGACGTGACGCGGCAAACCACCAGGGAGGAGCGGCTGGAGAGGAGCCTGGATTCTTCTAAGCAGCTGACGGCAGAAGACATGAAACATAGCAACAACAACAACAACATGCTGGCTGGTAAGTGAATCCATCACTGCTGCACATGTGACCTTCAGAGATGTAGCATCTGAGTGTGTCATTGAGGCCTTCTGTGAATGAATATGTCTGTGAATGGGGGAAGAGTTTACCTTTTCCGATTACACGTTGAGGTGGTAAGACAATTTTTTAGACTGAATTTCACAAAGTTTTAGGCAAAATATGAAACAAATTTGGTATTCTCCACCAGTCCATAATTTGACTTTTTATTTTTTTATTCGTACAGAGTTTGGTTGGTAGCTAGTCAAAACTTTATGTGAAACCTCAGTATTTCTGTCTACAGCCCTGCACATATCAGTGAATAGGCTTGATACCAGCATTTTTAGACTCATTGCCCTTAAATCTGACTGCTTTAGCCCAAGGATCATAAAAATAAGTACATATATAAAAGAAAATACAGTAACTGACGTATTTTCAGGGATTGCCTCTCCAGAATTGTATCCCTAGCGGAGTGGGACACACGCTGCTTCGAACTAAACATGAAAAAAGTTCAATGACTGAAGTAAAATCCAGCCTTATAGGAGATTTTCCAGATGAAAGATACAATGGAACTCCTTCTGTGACCTATAGAGGTGTCATTTTGAACTTTGAACAGAGCCGAGCTAGCTTAACCTGACAGTGTCCGATGTTTTTTTTTACACAGAATGGGAAAGGGTAAGCACTTTCAAAAATACTCAATAATTGGTATGAACCCATGATAGAGAGATGTTTCAGGGGCGAACTTCAACCAGTCAGATCAGTGAACCATATAACGTAGCCAAACATTCACTGAAGTCAGTCGGCAGAAGAGTGAAAAGATCTATTTTCTATCAATAAAAGCTTTCAGTGTCGTTCTTTGCTCTTCTTTCAGTGAAGAAATACTCCCCACTCCTTCTCCCCCTGCTTCCAGTCTTGATGCTAAGCTAGGCTAACCACATCCTCACTATAGCTCTGCACTGAGCACACAGACATGAGACTGAGATCATCTTCTCATCTCATGCTCAGAAAGAAAGTGAATGTTTCCCCAAATGTTAAACTATTCATTGAGCTCTCCTGCTAATTGTGATGCCTCTTTGTGGGCAGCAGCATCAATCATAGTCTTTGTGTGTGTGTCTTCCCCCTTTCACATCATGAACAAAGCTGACTGAAGTTTGAGGAGGTAAATCCCTGCTGCTTGCCTGCAGGGAGAATTCCCCTATTCTCTTTGTTCACCCACACGCAGCGGCTGCTCCCGAGGCTGCAGTTTAACATCACACACGTGTGTGAAGTTCACTTTAGACAAATCAGACGGATTCAACTCAATCATCTCAGCCTTTCCATGTTTAAATGACACTTCAGTCAGTCAGACATTTTTTTAGAATGTCTGTCTCTGAGGAATGCAGAGTTCATTTAAAGGAATGTATCTTCTGTGATATTTGTGAGCAGTTATTTTTTGGAATAATAAAAACTTCAAGACTGGAAAGCAAAGAAAAACAAACATAGGAAACATGATAATAAACTTAAGATTATATGCACCAACTTTTCCACAGACAGATAAATGTCAGCTCTGTATGTAAAAACAAAACATCTACTGTGTCTGACAGAACAAGTGTGTCTGCAGAGCCAAGCAGGCAGCACCCTCCAGTGGCTGAATAATGAAACTGCAACCTTTTTTAAAAATTGAATCTGGGAGCAGACATTCAGTGGTTACTGTGTATAGCCTTAATAATAAAGAGAGATTTAAGGACCTTGAATTCAAGCTTGAGCTCAAACTGAAGTGTGCTTTCTGTTGTTAACACATAATAGTCTTAGAGAACGTATTTGATGACCAAACTCTAGTTTAGTTTAGTCAGCAGGAGTGTAGAGTCATTCACGTACACCAGGGGTCTGCAACCTGCGGCTCCGGAGCTGCATGTGGCTCTTTGGCCCCTCTCCAGTGGCTCCCTGTGGCTTTGACAAGAGAAATTTTTGGAAATGAATAACTTTTTTACCTTTTTAATTCTATCATTGTTGTAATCCTAAAGTAATTCTTAAATTCTCCAATTGTAAAAATGTGTAGCCTATACACAAATAAAATAAATGTTTTCATTGACTAAAATGTGTGTGGAAACTGAACTGGCCACGTAACGGACAAAGGCTGCCGGGTGTCCAGGCTGAAAGGTCTGACAGCTGAGTCTGAGTCACCCATCAGAAGGCCATTCTCACTTAAACCTCAAATGATATTGAAAACCTCCCAAAAATGACAAAAGTGAAAAAATATTTATGGGTCATGAGAACGCAAATAAAACCAAAATGTCAAAAGCTTTCTTAATTGCTCTAGTTCTATAATTTTATATCAACAAAACATGATATTATAATCCTGAAGCGAAGAAGTGTCCTTGTTTACACCTATTAGCAATGTTGATAGGCTAATTTAGACTTAATAGCCAATATTATAAGGCTCAAATATGTTTGCGGCTCCAGTCAGATTATTATTATTAGTATTGTTATTTGGCCCAACTGGCTCTTTAAATAGTAATGGTTGCTGAACCCTGACACACACAGGCAAAGATTTGAGGCAGAAATGTAAATGGAACTGTGAGACTAGAACTGAGCAAGCTGTACCTTTGCTATATATATTCAAAGCTGCACGTGTTTCAACAGTTTGTATTAGCAGAACAAGGTTTATTAGATTGGTCTGGAATTTTAGTGCCATCCACCATCATCTTGTACCATCGGGTCAATTTCCAGTGGGCACCATCAGCTTTCTCACTGGCCTAGATCAGTTGTTCCCTTCTTTTTCCTTACGCAAGCCCTTTTCTATAATTAAGTAAACTGACCACCCCTGACTAACTGACATATTGTATGGATATTTCATATTATATTAAATAATAACAATAACAGTAGAGAAGAACTGACAAACTGTACAATGAACCCAAACAGGGAACACAATAACTGCTGGATGTTTGTGTAAAACCAGAGATAAAGATTTGAGCAGATTATTTCCTCTGAATATTGATCAAAGATGACTTTTTCTGATATCTTAGCAACTTTTCTCTCTGTGTATTATGTATTTTTATTTTATTTGATCAATCGTACTATCAGCTCTTTGGTTGTTGAACTTTTCTAATGCAGGAAGGCTGTTTATCAGAGAGTGAAGGCTCTGTGAATATAGCTTGTTGTCCAGGTCTTCAATGTGCCCTGTTTATATCTTAAGTAATAATCTAAACTTTAAAATTAACAGTTTCATTTAGTCTTCTTCACAGAAATGAAGGAAATGCTGAGGGCCTACAGCCCTTAAAATCAATAAGGCCTCACGACCCACCATGAAGTTTTGGTGACCCCTAGTGGGGGTGAGGACCCCCAAGTAGGGAACCTGTGGTCTAGAAGAGATCACCCATCAGGCTTTATAATTGTGTTGTATTTTGCTATTAAATTATTTAGTAAGCAGAACAGAAGTGCCTCTTTAAATCTCAGCTTAACACATAGGTAAGTGCCAAACATGCACTACGCCTGAAGGAAAGGTTTTGGAAATAGTTTTTTGTTTGTTCAATATCTGGGTGAGGTACAAAGTGAAAGTAAAAAAATACCAGTGTAACTATTTCTCATCCCTGTGGAATCTCTGAGTGACTCTTTATTTCCACCCTCCCTCTCTCCTCCTCCTCCTCCCTGCAGCGCAGACGTTCACCTTGGTGAGCAGCGACACGTGAGCGACGCCGACCTACACATGCACACCGGCGTCCCATAAAAAGCCCAAATGTAGCCAAGCCTGCACCGAGCATGCTCCACGGCTTCCTGCGTTTACAACTTTGATACTACTGTTACATGCCCGCGAGGAGACTGAGAGGACAGCAGCCCTGCTGAGAGCACAGACGGACTGCCAACACATCCAGACACAGAGACAGACCTTTAGCTCCTGTTAGATCTGTCCATACTGATATGTCCCTGAGCAAAACACCAACTCTATGGAGTCACATTTGTCCCAAAACATTTCTGCATAAAAATAACATTGTGAAATGGTTTAGTTGTCTTTAGTCTTGAGAGTTGTAAAATCTGTCACCATATAAGTCATAAAAATCACAATAAGGGGTTATGATTCAATATATTGCGATATATATATATATATAAAGCTGATAAATGAGGCATTTTAGGCCGGAACAATCCCAAAAAAAGCCTGTCAAATCCTGGAGTTACTGATAAAAAAGACACACCACAATATGCATAAAATCTGAGTTTTAAAAAAAGTTAACTTTTTTTATGCAACCAGAACAACACTGCTACAGAATGCAACAGATAATCCATATAATATCACAAAACAGAATATCGCGATACTGTGTATATTCTCTTACACCCCTATATATAAGATGAATTACTTTCTTGTTAGAATGACAACAAACCCTTTTCCTCTCCGGCTGTGCAGTAACACGCAGCCACACAAGGTCTATAAGTGAAGAGGAAGTGGTAGACCAAGGAGTGTCTAGCACAAGAGTCAAAAGATTTTTTCAAACTACTTGACCTACATGATAGTCTGTTGTAGGGCTGGTGTCTGTGTGTCTGTTTTGTGTCTTTTCAGAAAGGCAGAGCTTTTTAAAAGTGTTTTTAGAGTTTTTATTAGCTGTGTATCCAGTAGAGTTTTTAATCTTTACAGAGGGTTGGTTTCCTGAACACAGATGATGTTTGGAAGGAACACCAAGCTCCACATTCACACAAATGAACAACTGGTGGCTGCCCAGTACAACCAGTGTGATCTGTGGGCCACAGAGCAGCATAGTTAGGATGGAGCACAGGATGCATTCAGGCTCAGCATGGAGGGTAGAGCTCATGTCCTGACTCCATACCACCACCTCCCTGTCTTTGGTGTGTATTTGCAGTCAGAATTGAGCCTTTCTAAGCCCCGCCCCTTTTTGCTATGTGCTCCAGTAACAGTTGAGCAAGTCTCGGTCAGAACCTCGGTCAACTTTCTCCTTTACTTAGATACGCTCTGTAGTAGGCTAATCTATGTTGGAAAGACAGCTGCATTTTGAAGATGGTTGAAAGATAAAAGTGGAAGTCACATCTTATGTTAGCTAGCTAATTCACATCAATCATTAGCTATCTAGTTAGCTAGCATTTTACTAACATTAACAGCTGTAACTAGATTGATGCAGATTAGTTAAATAGCTAGCGACGTAGCTAGATCTGAACAAGAGGGGGCAATAATTTCAAGGCCCGAGCAGGGGGTGGGGGGCATATGCACTGAAACAGACGTATGCCTGTGTTACTGAAGGCGTAGTGAGTAACGATGCGTAATCATGCATGTGTGTTAGTTTTGCTAAGGCCGCCGTTTACTTCAACCAACTTTCCCACGTTGTGACATCGTTGATGAACAATGCATGGGATTATGTCAAATCGCAGCGCAGCAGCCGGCGGGAGTGTAGACGTTTTGAGAAGAAACGCATACAATTCCGGATTTTATTCATAAAAATAGAATATCGGACAGCAGAAGTTAACTGGGGTGGGACCCCCCTGCCATAAAATGCTGATCACAACATAGACTTTGATTAGCTTGCTGTCAAAAACTGTATTTATCAATTTATCCAGTCAGGGTGAATAGATGGAAAGGAACTCTGTCCTGTTCTGTCTTCCCCATCCTTGGGTCAGCTAGCGAACCACAGACCCTAATTAGGTCTCATGTATCTTCTCTTCTCTTCTTCTTTTGTTGTTGTTGCTGTAGTTCATATTTTGGTGGTATAAATATATCAAATCAAACCATTTCACAATCTTGACCGTATGTACAACTTGTTTTGGGGGTATAATTTAGCTCCATAGAAACGTGTTGCCAAATATACACACACACCAATATACAGACCTTTTGATACCTTACTAAGTATTACAGTCATCTTTAACATGATAATTATTAGAATATTCTACTGATCTGGAGGAGGGGGTATTAGCTGTTGCTGGAGGCGAGTGTACAGCTGTATATAGGAGCACCTGATGGGCTGAGCACCAAAACTCGACACACATGCAGTGCTTTACTTTAACCCCAAAGTGACCGCCAATGCTCTTGATTTTGATTCTTTGTGTTCAGACCGGAGGCTCCTTTATTGCTCTATTTTCACATCTTTTGCACCTGCAACATAACAGATTGTCCTTCATTGGATATATAGTATATATATATATATAAATAAATATATAAAAAGTATATATATGAACATAAAGCAGATTTTTACTTCAACAAGGTGCCACTTCATGCTGCTGTTTTCTCTCCTTTTTTTTGGGACAAGTATTTTGCAGGAGTTGTGATTATTTATGTGGAGCAGACTGTCTGAATCTCCTGATGACACAGTATGTGAGCGTTTTGGATTTTCCCGTCTGCTTTTTGTCCCTTTTTATTTGGTTTACATTACTTAGAGGCTATACAGTAAAGAGGCTGAGGATGCGACACGGATGAGACATTTTGCGTTTGACTCTGTCCTGTAGGTGGTGATGAATCGGAGAATAGCACACGTACGAAGCAATAAGTAGGACTTTGGAGCTCCAGGATATAAAAGACATTTAAAAGAGATGTATAAACTGTAAAAAAATAAAAATAAATCAAATAAAACAAGATAGCTTAATTTATGTACACACTGAAAAAAAGAGCGAATATTATAACTATAAGAGGTTATTATTAATATTATTAGGGTCAATATGCAAAAAGTTCATACCCCATCTGTTTTATATCATGTGAAATAAATGTTGATGTTCTTAAAATGTGCTTGTTGCTGTTTTTATTGTTGCCTGCATGTCAAATTAACTCTTTTCTTTTCAGGCTTAGCTCTATGACCGTTCTTTTTATTTATGTCTGCTTGTGATCAGAGGTTACGTACAGGTTAAGGGCTCATTCCTGAGGAGTTCAAAGTGTCCAGTATTTCACAAGAAAGAGAAAAGTCAGAAAACATCTTAATTTTGTTCCACAGATTTAGTTTTCTTCCTTTCTAGAGGCTTTAACCATTTGGTGACCAGTCAGGTTTATTTTGGGACCCCCTAGAAAGGCCCTGATCCCCAGGTTGGGAACCGATGGACTAAACAGCCGCACTAAGTCAGCACTTAGTGAAGGTTAAGCCCAAAGATAGGCTGTACAGGTCAGGTACAGGAACATAACAGTGCTGTAGTGCTGCAATGATTGCCTGACCTACAAATCTTGTTCTCCAGATGTAAGAAAACCCAACTAATGTCACATCATCAGGATTTGTGTTGTTTTTTCAGTGATAATGAAACTGCTGCAACAATGATCATTGCAACAAGCCAATTTTGCTATAAGCTGCAGCCCTAAACAGTCTTTGTATGTCTGATCACAGGATACAGGAAGGAAGGGGTCATATAAAATGGGTCAAAGTGCAACTGCTGCACCTACAGTCTGCCCCCTCCACTGATCTCCAGTGTCGGGCTAGTTACTCCAAAAATTTCATTTATTACTCATGTACTTATTACCTACCAAAGTGATTAGTTACACTACTACTCATATTACTTTTCCCACAAAATTGGCAATTTTTTCAATTTGTGACGTAATCTATCGGATTATAAAAACCAGTGTAATCCAATCTGAATAATTTTGGATTACTTCAAATATATTGTAATCATTAGTTGTACTAAAGAAATGGACACATTTTTGAAGTGGAAGTGATGTCCTTTTTTGGTGGAAGAAACCCCGAATGTGAGACCAGATGCACCTTTCAGACAACTGAAACAAAGTTCATAATTCTGAAACTGCCATATTTTAAAGACAATCAAAAATTTTACCAAGCAATCCTTACCAATGTAACTGGCACATTTTTCAATTATAATCTGGGCTGCTTGTAGTTACTTATTTTTTAGAATCCCGAATACATGTAATCAGTTACAACCTAACCCTGTTGATTGCCAAAACAGTTGCCTGTTGACCGACTAACTACAATCAGCCCAGATTATATTTTAAATATGTGCTATTAGATTCTATCCAGCTCTAAATGAAAGCTGTCTGGAAAAGGCTAGTAAGTGGGCCTTGAGTTGGGACCGTTTTGTCCACTTTCAAAAAGTTCCAGGGTCAATAATGCTACATTTTAATGCTTAATGTTTTAAGGAAACACATACAAAAAGTCCTAAAAGTGCTGGAGGATGAAATTATATGGCAACAGGACCATCTGATGAAGACCAAGCAATATGGCTGAAAGCTAACATCTTGAGATTGTTGCATGTGTGCCCGCAAAGAACATGCAGTTTACTATTATTAGTTATTCAGAGTCAGGTTTATTAGGTAGATTTTGACATACAAAGAACGTGCCTTGGTAGACTGGTGTGTAACAATAAAGAAAAGAAGAAAACTCTAAATAAAGATATCCTTACTATCTTACTATTAGTATTATTAATGATATGAGAAGTGGACTATTTTACAGCCTAATACAACTGAAACCTGCTCATTACAGAGGGCACTTTTTCTCCATCTCAGCACAGGCAGTGCAGAAGCAGGCCTTCATTACAATGCAACAAGTCGGCCACAGAGATCAGCTCGGTTCACAGTGTCCACAGACTGCAGTTTGAGACCAGAACGGCCGCGGTCCGGTCCTGAGGGCCCCGGCAGCCTAAAAGAGTGCTGGAGGCTGCAGGAATACGCACCTTTCTGAGATAAGAACGTGCCTTTTCAGCACTTTTTTAGTTGGATCGTTTTTCTGTTTGTCGGAACACGTGGAGCTGAGAGGCCACAATGCAGATCGTCTATGTCTGCGAAGATGACTCAATCGTTTTGTTTAAAAAAATAAATGTTCGCTCTGCTCCTCCTAGCGGTGCTATGTTGGTGCTACTTTTTGCAATAATAAAAATGTTCTATTATTTTGTGAGATGTTCTATCTTATGGAAGATCAAATGTGCTGAATATGAAATGAAAACAGTCCTGTGTCCTGAGATAACTTCTGTTATGAATTGGCGCTATACAAATCAAACTGAATTGAATTGAATTGCATTGAAAACAGTCAATTTCAAGGTAATGTTCTTGCTCAATAAGGATTAACTTTTACATTTTAGATTTTAATTTGCAAAATTGAACTTTATATATATATATATCTTCACATTACACTGATATAGAGCTGCAACTCAGTGCTATTGATTAGTATTAGTAATTGTTTTCTAGATTAATTGATTAATGGCTAATAGTAAAAAATGTCCACTGCAGTTTCTAGAAGTCCAAGGTGATGTGTTAATATGTCAAAACCCAAAGATATTCAGTTTAAAATGATATCAGACAGAGAAAAGCTGAAAATCTCCATATTTCAGACCAGTGGTTCCCAACCTTTTTCCTTAAGGGACCCCTTTTCTATCATTGAGTAAACTGATGGTGTGATTTGAATGAACTTTGGGCAAATTATTTCCTCTTTAGAGAACTTTTTGTATACTTCGCTGTCTGTATTATGTCATTTTTATCATTTTAATAATCGTACATACTTGCTAGGCTTCTTTTTTTGTCAAATTAAGTGGTTTCTTCTCCCTGATGCTTGGCCATTGTTCTGTTAGACAATTTACATTTTCTTTTCTTCACAGAAGTAAACCAAATGCTAAGATTATAGCTCTACTGGGTATATATTTTTAAGTTTTCTAACCCAACTAAAAAGAAAGAAAAATCAAGAAGGCCTCACCGACTCCCTGTGAAGTTTTGGTGACCTATTGTTATAGAGGCTGAAAACAGTAATGACCTACATTATTTCTGTTAATTCAGTATCAAAGTTGTTGCTGCTGATGTGGTGTTAAGGATTCAGCTATTATTACTATTTCTTCATTATTCATTAAACTTGTGTCATATACTGTAGCATAGATATAATTCTGTCTTCTATATTTATTCATATATTGTTTTATAATGTACATACGTCAGACTCCTATTATCTTTTTACTTTGTATATGTTTCTATATATGTGTTATATATATATATTGTTAGATATTGCAATATAATGCCTATTTTATTTTTTATTACTATTTCTCTAATGTCTTGTTTAGCACCCTGAGCAACTGTAACCAAACAGTTGCTCAAGGATCAATAAAGTATTTCTGATTCTGAAGTACGGAGTGAGACATCCTTCCCAAGAGGCGAGCTTTGCCCATGCGGAGCCCGACGTCACTGCAACCCCCTGCTGTGTTTTACGCTTGAAGCGGAGAGTGTGAGTGGAGGAAGAAGGGCAGCCCGGGGGCAACTTTTCGAGTGGAACATCACAAAAATAGCTTCTCGTGCTGTCGGAAAATGGCTCAAATAACGAGCGAAGGGGCCGAACAAGATTCTCAGCCGACGTCGGACCAAAACGGCACCGGTGAAACGGCGGAAACCGGCAAGGAGGGACAGGCCGTGCCGGACCCCAAACAGAAACCGGGCGACAACAACGAGAAGAGAACAGGAATGGACGTGAACAGTGGTCGCGGTGCGGCGGCGGAGCAGCACGGGGACAGCCCCTCTCCCGCCCCCGACTCCGACAAAGAAACAACGATACCGACTGAAAAAGCAGACGACGGCGAAGGGGAACCCGGCGGTGAACTCTCTGAACCGGGGAAAAGTCCCGTGCAGGGGAGTTTGGCGAGTAGCACTGATTCCGCACAAGAGGGCTCCCGGGTGCTGAAACAAGAACAAAGAGAGGGGGAGAACGTGTCCTCCTCGCCGCCCGCAGAGCGCACAAAGACCGCGGAGAAAGCCGAGCACGGCACCAAGAGGCGGGCCAGCGTGGAGCTGACCTCGTCGGATGGAGAGCCGCTGAGTCGGATGGATTCAGAGGACAGGTCTGTTGAAGTAGTAAACAGTATGAACAGGCCTTGTTTCTAGAACAGCCGCGAGGTGGTGTGAGGTCACGACACGACGCCAAGTTCACGGTTTTTTAAACATTAAAGCTGCAGTGGGTAACTTTTATTAAAATAACTTTCTGTCATATTTACTGAAACTTTCACAATATCCTGACAGTAGAACATGAGACAGATAATCTGTGAAACAATCAGGTTCCTCTGGCTCCTCCTAGTGCTCCTAATGGGATTTGCAAGAACCCACCGGGCCTGTATGAAAACAACCAATCAGAGCAGAGAAAGATAGATGATAGTTGAGTCTCTACCCCAGGTTGTCAAATATGGACCCTGGGAATGAGACTCAACAATCTATCTTCAAGCTATCAGTCCAAAGTGTCTTTCCAGCCATCTGAGCTCTGATTGGTTGTTTTCATTCTGTGCGTTCTTACATATGCTATTAGGCACTAGGAGGAGCCAGAGGAACCAGATGTTTTCACAGGTTATTTTTTAAAAGTTACCTACTGCAACGTTAAGGTAGCTAAGAAACTGTTTATTTACGAGGACATCCCAGTATTAGTAATAACCAATATCTCCTCGTGATTGTTGTTGACCAATTTGACCAAATTGACTAAAACTAAAAACATTTCCTGTCCTTTTTTATTTGACTGTAGCTTATAAGTTAACAGTATTGTTTCAGTTAAACATTTCATCTGAATTCTGGCCAAGATTTCCCAATTTTGTAGGATCAGGATCACATATCCTGTTTTGAAATACCCAATTTTGAGATGATCCTATCTTCTGATCTAGATTAAAGTTTTTTTGAAATACTGGGCCCAAGTGACCACCAACAGGTTTGGATCTACATATGTAATCCTCAGGGTTACTAACCTATTCCAAAGCAAAGGGACAGCACAGTAAAGTAGATATCAGCAGAAGACATATAATCATATACAGGCTGGTAAAGAAGAGCACCCCACTAGAAAGTAAATAAGCATCCACACACAGGGAGAAATGGACGTAACTGACTGACAAAACAAGGATAAATAAAATCAAATACAGAATCACCATCAATAAATATGGGACACACGTAAAGCACATATAAAAGAGCATATACAGCATCAGTTACAGATAAAACCATTAAAGGCCAGACAGTAAAAATGAAACTGCTTCAAAGAGGAAGTGAATTTTCTAGTCTAATTTTCTTTCTTTTTTAAACATGCTGTTAATACATTTTGACAGTTTACAGAACAATATCAAACATTAGCAGTACAGAACCCCAATATTAATCAATTAGTTCTCAACTGTTAAATTAATTGCAAACTGATAATCAAGTGTTTTGAAGAAAGAAAAATCTCTTATTTCAGCCTCTCAAATGTGAATATGTTCTGCTTTCTTTAGTCCTCTCTGACAGTAAACTGAATACCTTTGGGTTGTGGACAAAACAAGACATTTGGAGATTGAGCCATCCCTGACTGAGGTTTTTCCTAGTCGATTAGTAGTTGTTAGTTTAAGCCAATAGACTGGTTATCAAACCTTTTATATTAACTTAATTGTTTGATTCAATATATTTTAACAGGCGCCTGTGATATGGCAACAGAAAAAAGCAGTAATAAATGAGGGAATGTGAAACGGAATGTTGCAACAATCAGTGAGGAGGCTGAACATTTAGTTTGTTTGTTTCTAGCTAATGCAGCTCGTACAGTTAACACATGTAGCAGTGCACAATTAAATGACACCCTGTGTTACAAGAGAAAAGGTCAGTGTTGCAATAATCCTCTGATATCCCCGGCTGAGTTGGATGTTTTTTTTCTGCGACTAAGCAGACCTTTAGGGGACATCTCTACAGTTTGACCTTGGAAATGTCCACAGTAAAACCTGTGGAGGGGAAAGCTTACACTAACTTTTAGAATGAGAGCTCTATTGTGTGTCTCATCCTTCAGCTTCAGTCTTATGTAGCCTCGCCCAGACTCCAGTGCTAAATCAACAGATTTATGCGATGACGCCGCCAAAGAAAGACTTCAGCCCAAGAGAGACAGCTCGGACGGTCTGCCGGCCAGCCTGCACCAGTCTTCAGCTCGACTGAATTAAACAGAGCAAAATCAGTCATGAGAAACACCAGTTCAGCTGTAATGTACTGATGTTTCCGCTAGAATTTTCAGGTGTGGCGAATGGGGTTATGGTGGAAATTAGTGAACCAATGAAATATTGGTAACAATAACTGGAAACGGGCACTGGCAACCGCATGACTCAAATGTTGGTGGTTTGTTGGGTTTTTATTACCATATCCTGGCATGAGGACAACAACACTATTACATCAGACAAAGAGTTAAACCGGGTTGGTAAACACTGCAAGAATAAAGTAGATTTCATTCCATGTTTAACAGAGCATGATAAATTGTACATATATCATTACTGACAAACATTTAGGTACTGTGTGTATAATTATGCGGGCCAATGTACAATAACAGGTTCAGAGTGTTTGTCAGGTGTTTATCTGTTCACAGCAACAGTACCAACTGTGTGCTCTACACGTATTGGGCAAGTTAAACCTGCTGGTCTGTCTTTCATTAAGAGGTTTAAGCATTGTAACGATGCAATTTCATAAACCCCCTAGAACAATATAATTACAAATTGCAGAAGACTAGAATCCATGTTGTTGTATGAACATCCATTCAATGATAACACACTTGTCATTTAGTTCATAGTAGCACAAATGTTTGTAGGGAAGTGCTGTATTTGATCAAAACAGACAAACAAAATCATTATCGAATATGCATCTATTGTACTGTGGGAACCTTACCTCACAGTGCAATCTAGAGCTGTAGCGATTCATCAATTAGTTGTCAACTTTTTAATTCATTTCCAACTATTTGGATAATTTAGTCATTGTTGAAAGAAAAAATGTCCCAATTTTTCTTAGCTTCTCAAATTGTGGGTATGTTCTGCTTTCTTTAGTCATCTATGACAGTAAACTGAGTATCTTTGGGTTGTGGACAAAACATTTGAGGACATTGCTTTGGGAAACACTGATTAACATTTATCACCATTATCTGACATTTCACAGAGCAAATGACCAACTGATTAATTGAGAAAATGACCGACAGTTTAATCAATAATGAAAAGGATGGATACTGCTTTCCAAGACGACGCCCCGAAAAAGTCTCTTCAGTCTTCTTTACGCTTATAGATCCCCCCTCCCTCTTCATCGATATGTCTGCCGATAATGTCTGCTAACCAATATATCGGTTGGGCTCTTATCTGTATAATGCCCTCACCGTAGTTCATTTTTGACTTGGAGCAACTACAAGGAGCTTTCATTTTGTGTGGATTCTTGTGGCCCCTGTGGACAAAACGGTAGTGTTTCTACCACCTCGTTCCGTCTGATTTCAAGGAATCGCACCTGGTTGTAGGCATTAAGAATAACTATATATAAATAGCCAATCTGCTTTCTGATGTTGTTGTTTGTTTATGTAGGCCATATAGAGGCATCAGTATTGAACTAAGACTGTTGCATAACCAGTTAAAACTCCTTGTAGCACATTTAAGTCAATAATCATAATCTGGTTATTGAAAATAATGAGTTGAGGGTGTGAAAAGGGCTGTTTCTGTTCCCCCACCCCTTTTTTTAAATTTCGATTCATTAGAAAGTGAACTTCCCCCGCAGGCTCCTGTAACAGGCTGAAACTGTGAATCATTCAGAGTGTAGTTGTGATGCTGTGAGCTGAATCCTGAACCTTCGCCATAACTCATCTAACCACACTCAGTTTAGTTATTTCTCTCCTTGTTGGCACGACTGTTGTTTATGTATTGACACTGTTGTGAAACCGTGCACACCTACACTGCTGCTTATTAGCGGAATGAGTAACCGCACAGTTTTGTACGTCTGCTTTGGATCACTGGAGGCTCCACCGCTAGTCGACCCATTCTTACTGGAGTTTTCACTAGCTTCCGCTGTGTCCGTCAGCAAACACTGGAAAAGTGTGACAATTGTTATTTGAAGCATTAGTGGCAGTTGCTGTGAATGTTGAAGAAACGATAATGCTAAATGTCTGGAAGGAAATGTTCCAATCAGGCCTGTCCCCTCCGGTTGGAAATACCAGTTAAACCAAAAGCTTGACATGTGAAGCTTGACTCAGGTTTGATATCAGCTGTTGAGTCATTGCGCCTGAAAACTAGGCTGCCACCCACTATAAGCCTTTACCAGTGGAAGATACAGAGAGGCAGATTGCCCTGTGACTAAGATGAGTACATAGACCTCTGCTCCACATGTGCTACCTGTTGTTGACTTTCTGAGATTTTTGAAGTTTAACGTTGTTTTGCGTGCTCTGGCAGTAAGTAAAGAGGCAGAGGGGGACAAAATGACTAGTGTCAGAAGTGTAGAAAGGGACTGCTGTGAATGAGCAAATGGACCTGTACTTGTATAGTGCTTTTACACTACTTGCCACATTCACCCTTTCACACACATTCACTCAGTGATGGTAAAGCCCATCGAACAGAAACTAACATTCATACACATTCACACACCGATGCATGGCATGGAGAGCAATTTGGGGTTCAGTATCTCGCTCAAGGATACTTTGACATGGGCCGGGGATCGAACCCACTGACATCATCAGATGTGTACTCTTTGTTATTGTGCATCCTGAAATCCCATCAGGAGCCCTTCAGACCTATTTAAAGGTTATATATGAGATTTTCAACGTTAATATAGCAGCAAACCTCTATTGGCCATGTAAAGATACAGTGCAGTCAGGGTGTCCTGAGCAGAGAATGATGTCACACTCTGCCTGTGTTGGTATTGCAGCCTCTCACTTTTCATTCCAGTCTGCCACATGTGAATTTGAGTCCCTGCGTTTGCATCTGAGTAGAGGGACTGAAACTGCGTCTGTCTCATCTGCATCTGTGAATTAAGATTTATTGCAACCAAACCAGAGTTGAAGAGTTTTATTTTGTTTCTGTCCACTTTGAATGAAGTTATGATGTTACAATCATATGCAAGGTAAAATCACTGTTTTTGTCTGTGGAGGCTGGTGGAGAGTGATAGTGATATTCCAGCTGTTTCTGGTTACACAAAAGGTCTATCTCTGCAGGGATCCTTTCCATAATGCTGTCAGACACCAATCTGAGCCTGTTGGGAACAAAAATGAGCACTTTTAGTGGATGTACTTTGGCAAGTGAATTTGTCACAAGGATTAGCAAACGTTAAATGTCAGCCACGATGGCTATTTTCGTCTAGCTCAGTGAATTCATTAGAAATAGAAGTGATAGTGGTGTCCATCTTCTCATCTAACGTTCACAGTAAAAGGAAGTGCACATTTGCCAACTCCAACTATTTAATTTAATTTTCTGTCTCTTCTAACAGTGTTGACTGTTTACTGGTTCCATGCTTTAACGTCCACTGGAAGTATGCGACAGAAACATTTCAGTATTAATGTGACTGGTTGGACACGCTGTAGTTCCAGATGATTCCACATGAAGTGGATGAATCTGCTGTGCGTGTTCAACCAGTATATACAGATTCATATCTCACATTGCTCTCCTCGTCAGTTTTACAGGGAATATGAAACTCATCTCCAATGAAGCATATCTAAACTCTTTCATAATCATTTAACCAAGTGGGGATGGAAGTCCTACTCCTCAGCTCATGATGTGAAAGGCTGTAAACCTGAATGAACACACTAAACTGAGAGGCTTCATGCCACCTGTACACTGTTTTTTCATAAGTTAAATGATTTCACCAACCACTTTCTAACTGATTTCTTGACAATAGCTAGTTTTTGTTTAATTAAATAAAAAATAAAATGTATGTTAGTAAACAACTTAAATTCTCTACTACATTCTGGTTGACGTACTGTTGGCACCTGTTTGCAGGTTTTGAAATGCTGAACATAAATCAACAGCCCCCCCCAAAAAAAAAAAAAAAAAAAACTAAACACCATATTTGAAAAACAACTTATTTGCTCAGGATGTTTTTATCCACTGTGGCTGGTGGAGTCCACTTAGGCTATTTCATCAGACAGCCACACAGTGTTTGAGGCTTTAATTGGAGCGTTTGAACAGTGTTTAGTTAACTCACAGGAGAGGAACTCGGCAGTCTCATGAAAATGGAATAAAATCCGCTGCCTGGTTTAATGCCCACTTGGCTGCCTCCCAGCTTTTGGTAATCCTGCTGTTGTGGCAGCTGTAAGACTTCACTGTAACTTTTGTTCTCAATCAGAGCAGGTGGCGAGAGGGAGAGAGAGAGGGAGAGAGAGAGAGAGAGAGAGAGAGACTTTCAGAGGTGTTAGTGCTCTTGTAGGACGTGTAAGCACGGCCTCCATAGAGAGCCAGTATGGACATTGATCAGAGCAGATGGTCAGCTGGCTCAGCCCACACACACACTGCAGCACTATGCAAGCTGTGAAATCTGCTTATATCACACACAGTTTGAGCCACTTTTAGATGATGTGTTTTTTATGTTATTGCAGACACCTTTCAGATTAAGGTCAAAGAGTTTCCAGTTTATAGGCCCCTAACAGCCAGTTCTTTCACGTTACTTTACGCGCTTGAAAGCTGCCTGAAAGCACAGTTCTATCCATGACATTATTTGTAGTTATTAAGCTAAAACTACTCACACCGTGCCTCAAATTAGGGCTGCACAATGAATCACAATAGTATAGAAATCACAATACAAAACAGCAAACAGATAAACAGCATTATACTGTAGTTCTGCAGAGATGCCAGACCTACAAATCTTGATATAAGAAAACATGTTTGTGTGGTATCGACTCCAACAAATGTCACATCAGTTTTTAAAAATCAAATTTGTGATGCAAAAATGATCATTGTCACACTAATCGGGAATCCTAACGCAATATCTGTCAAAATAATCGCAATATGATGTTTTTACCGTATAATGCAGCCATGCTTTAAACCCAGCTATACCCCAACTGTTCTTCTGAGTACAGGTAAGTAGGTAGAAGTAACAATGACTGAGAACTCTGTCACTGTACCTTTACTTCATTAAATTGATGAGATTTGTTATGTTAAAGTGTAGAATGTCAGAGCTGCCTACAGCTGTGCTGTTGTAGTCCAATCGGCAGGATATTGCTTTTCTTTTTGTGTATGGTATGGTAAAAAAAAAAAATCCTATTGAGATTATTTTGATCGTTATTGCAATATGATTCACAATAAGTGTAGGAATGATAATTTTTGCATCACATATTTAATTTTCACTGAAAAAACGATGATGATTTGACATTTGGTAATGGTTAATGGTAAATGGCCCTATACTTGTATAGCGCCTCTCGTGACCACTCAAAGCGCTTTTACACTATGTGCCACATTCACCGTTTCACACAGTGATAGTAAACTCCATCAAACAGAAACTCATTCATGCACATTCACACACCGATGGGAGCAATTTGGGGTTCAGTATTTTGCTCAAGGATACTTGAGGAGCCGGGGCTCGAACCAACAACCTTCCGATTAGTGGACGACCTGCTCTGAGCCACAGCGCCCCATTTGTTGGGGTCTTTACCAAACAAACATGTTTTCTTACATCTGGAGAACCAGACTTGTAGGTCAGGACACCTCTGCAGCACTACAGTACTTCATTATAATGCTGCTAGTCACCTTTAACCTTTATCACAAACCTGCAGCTTCTGTGATTGAGATATTGCACTTGGACATATTGTGATTTCAATAATAAGATTAATTGTGCAGCCCTACTTGTTTTTGCCAGTTACCAATATTGATCATTTTGTCATACACTAGGTAAACAGGAATAGAGGCATGAGGAGTAGAATTTGTGGTTGCTGCTTGTAAACACACAACTCAAAGTTAGAGAGAGAGACAGCATAATATAACATTACTCACTTAGTTTACTGACAGGACAACAGGGCATGCCATAGGTCAAGCTGATAGTGGAGTGCCCTCTGCTGGATCACAAGGCGAACTACTTCAAACGCTCTGTTGTGCTTATACAGTGTTTCCTCTATGGTGATGTTGGAGCGGCGGCCCGCCATTGTTAAATTTCTGCCGCCACGGTATCAGGAATGGGGCAGACGCACAATGTAATCACGGTTGCCTTTTAAATGATCCTGCCGACATAATGCACCCCTGTTGGCTGCCGCTCACATTGCAATTTAACAACAAGTAGAACTATTCAGAGGTTATTGGGGCTGTCCAGTTGAACTCCACATACTGTTGTGTTGATGGAACTTATTGTCAAAACGTTCGTCAAACGTTGTTCCAAGTCGACTATTAAACTAACAGCTCCACCAAAAACGTCACCGCGGTGGGTCCGTTTTTAATTGGACAACGTTCAACTTGTCAGTTCTCAGCTCAACGTCCTGATGGGGGTGGGGGTGTTCGGACGGCCTGCCACCACTGCTAAAAAAAAATCCTAGAGGAAACACTTACAGACTGTACATTTTTAAATTAAAGATAACCACATTCAAATTAATTTTCAAAAAAAAGAAAAAGCCAGTGTGTGTAATCTCTCTGTCTCCTTTCTGTGTGTATTCTCCAGTATTGGCAGCACCCTGATGGACATGGAGAGCACGGCGTCCAGTGGCCGCTCCACCCCAGCCATGCTCAACGGTCACGGCGGGGGCGTGGTGGCGGGGAGCGGCTCGGCACCCGCAGGGGGCAAGTCTCTGAGCTACACGTGCTGCTGGGACCACTGCCAGCTCCTGTTTCCCAGCAGCCCCGACCTAGCAGAACACATCAGAGCAACGCATGTGGACGGACAGAGAGGAGGGGTGAGTGTCTCACTGTGTGTGTGTGTGTGTGTGTGTGTGTGTGTGTGTGTGTGTGTGTGTGTGTGTGTGTGTGTGTGTGTGTGTGTGTGTGTGTGTGTGAGCATCTGTGAGATTGTAATGTGAGTTTAATGGGAATGAATGGACAGACGTTACTGTGACATCTGATAGGCACTTTGGCTAATGCTGGAAAAAAGCTATTTTAAGTTGTGCGATCAGAGCCGACTGAAGGTTGTCTTCTTACTAGAGCTGCAACAATTAATTGATTTAATTATCTCAGCACACTTTTCAAATAGAGCAGGTCTAGACCGAACTCTTTAAAACATTATTTACAGAGACCCAACAGTACCACCATGAGCAAGCACTTGGCGACAAGGGCAAGGAAAAACTGCCTGTTAAAAGAGAAGACCCTTCGGCCCAAGGTGGGTGGTCTTCCGCCTTGACCAGTTTGGGGGGGGGGAGAGAGACAGAGACAGAGAGAGACGTCTTTGCTCACTACAGCCTAACCTTTCTTCCCATCATGTGGGTAAAAACTACAAGTTCTTACTTCTTTTTAAAATACAAAAATTGCTAAAGCGGAGCAGTCCAGGTATACGAGCCGAGTAAAGCCCAGTGTCCCATAAATGCTGACCACCACTGTGAGCAAATGGTAAATGGACCTGCACTTGTATAGCGCCTTTCTAGTCTTCGGACCACTCAAAGCGCTTTTACACTACGTGCCACATTCACCCTTTCACACACATTCACTCAGTGATGGCAAAGTCCATCGAACAGAAACTAACTCATTCATACACATTCACACACCAATGCACGGCATCGGAAGCAATTTGGTTCAGTTCTTGCTCAAGGATACTTCGACATGTGGCACCAGGACATGTGGAGCCGGGGATCGAACCCACAACCTTCCGATTAAGGAACGACCCGCTCTGCCTCTGAGCCACAGCCGCCCCAAGTGCTGCAAGCAAGTGACAGCAAGTGCTGTCCAGTGTCAAGAAAAAGCCCTGGAAAATGATTTCTTATAAACTCTGACGCTGGGGTGAGGGAGAGATCCCAGGTTACTGTGGACAGATGGACAAAAGAGATTTAGTCAGCTTAACTAAACATATTTTTTTATTAACCATTTACAATAGGAGTGTAAATAACTAATGCAGAAATCTCAATGGAACTTAAGTGGAATAATGGTCAAACTCTTTCCCTGCATAAATCCCATTCATTCAGCTTTCACTCTGTATTCTTACCCTGGCAGGGTTCCAGACAAACTTTTTGCATTGGTTGCACTGGTGCGCCTAACTTTTTTTTTTAGGTGCACCAGCACAAAATTTAGGTGCACCCAAATTTTTCATTGCGTCGCCTTTAACGCCATAAGGTCACCTTTTTATTGCTCTCCATAACTTTCATATAATGTGAATGATTTTAAAACAAGAATAAGGTGTAGAGAAATGCTTGTCTTTATTTGAAGCACAATTATATATAAAAAGAAAAATAAAGTGTTTAAAGTGCTTCACTGAGCTGAAATTGAACATTTCAAACTAAAACACTAAGCAAAATAAAACATTTCCAAATAAAAGTGCTTGTGCTTAAATTGCTTCACCGAACTGAAATTGAATATTTCAAACTCAAACATTTCAAGTAAAATAATTATTAATGATAATAATAATGATTACTACTACCTGCCGCTGAAATGCAGCTGGGAGAGGGGCCACTTTCTCTACACACTTGTCACGGCATATCGCGTGTTTTTTAGACATGTTGTGTTCGATATGAAACGTTGTTGACCCGCTCACGAATGCACTATTTCAGCCATATTCTGACCGCACTCCTGACAGTACACGCAGTGCATTGCGTTACGTCCTTTGTTGTACCTCAGCCAGGGAAATAGTTTCAGCCAGTCCTGTCTGAAGGAATATATTTTGGCCTTTTTAATTTGGGTCTTGGGGCCGGGCTCTATCCAGACTCGGTTGTCTCCTCCTCTGGTTCCGAGTCTGATGCTGTCGCTGAAGGACCGGGGCTTGGTATCTCACCAGGGACCGAGGGCTCCGTGTCTTGATGTGATGGACTCTCAGTAGTGGGGATGGATGGGATTATAGTAGTAGGGCTGGTTGTAGGCTTGGTTTTCTTAATGAAAAAACTTTCAATATTTCTGCCTCTCTTCAATTTCCCTCGTTTTGTCGCGTTTATTTTATTTTTCCGTTTCAGTTAGTCAGCTACTCTTGCGCTCAGGTCGCGCGCAATTTTTAAACACACACAACTTAGTGCAGTGAACAGGACCACAGCCAATCAGAAGCAAAGACCCGCCCGAGCTCTGTCTCTTATTGGTTTAGAACACGATATGCTCCTACCATGAGTGTGTGAGTTCGGTCACAGGAGAACACAGAGAGATGATGCGCTTGCGAAATAAATTGTGTTATGTTTTCACCCAGGCAGCGTCAGGTGCACCAGTGTGACCTAGAAAAATTATTAGTCGTACTCTTAAAAATTTTGGTCGCACTCTGGAGCCCTGCCTGGTCATCCACTGCCCCCCCGGCACCGGCTCTGCACCCCACAGTGTGGCAACCACTGAATCAGAGGAGCTAATCTCAGGAACTACACTAGGAAGTAAAAGTTCCTTCTGAACATTGTGCTTTGTGTTTCGAATGCTGTTGACACACATTAGACCCATGGGTTGAAACACACTTCTCACACATAGGGACACCGCACTGTCATGTGACTCTTGTGTTTGAATACATTTAATAAATGAAAAGGGCTAGTCTGAATGTAGTGCCCCCCCCACCCCCCCGAGACCAGCTGTTGGAAACTGGGGCTCACTTTCTGTGTTCAGACCACTACTGTAATCTCACCAGCACTCCTGTATGTGTGTGTTCCACTCAGGTGTTTGTGTGTCTGTGGAAGGGCTGCAAGGTGTACAACACCCCGTCCACCAGTCAGAGCTGGCTGCAGAGACACATGCTGACCCACAGCGGGGACAAGCCATTCAAGGTGACCACACACACACACACACATATCCATCAAAGTCTCCTGACACACTGCTCACCACTGACCACCTGTAATCCTCTCTGTGCTCCTGCAGTGCGTGGTGGGAGGCTGCAATGCCACATTTGCCTCTCAGGGGGGGCTCGCCCGTCACGTTCCCACTCACTTCAGCTCACAGGGTTCATCCAAACTGTCCAATCAGGGCAAAGTAAAGGAGGAGTCTCCATCCAAGGCCGGCCTCAACAAGAGGAGGAAACTCAAGAACAAACACAGACGCTCCCTCCGTATGTTCAACACACACACACACACACACACACACACACACACACACACACACGCTCCTTTCTATCTGAATATATTCCTGTTTTATAGATACAAACTCCACATCAGGTCCCTCACACACATTGTGTTTGTTTTGTTTATTTCCAGCCCGACCTCACGACTTCTTCGACGCTCAGACCATGGACGCCATCCGCCATCGAGCCATCTGCCTCAACCTGGCAACACACATCGAGAGCCTGGGCAACGGACACAGCGTGGTGTTCCACAGCACGGTGGGTTCTCTACACACACACACACACACACACACACACACACACACACACACACACACACACACAAGCCAGCCAGTATATGTTATTCTGTGCAGCAGAGCATTAGCTTATTTTCATGCCTGTGTCTGTGTGTTCAGGTAATAGCCAGGCGGACAGAGGACTCTGGGAAAGTGAAGGTCTTGTTGCACTGGACACCTGAAGACATGTAAGTCCAGATCCTCTATTTTCACCTCCTCCACCTGAAGACATGTAAGTCCAGCTCCTCTATTTTCACCTCCTCCTCCTGCTGTGGACGGGGGCAGCAACAGAATGTATTTTAGCCACATTAAAAAAATAATATCAGTTTAAGTGTACACTATATTTAGAATATTTCCACTGCTTTATGTTGCTGTCAGGCAGTCCTTTCCTTTGACAATAAACGGTAAGTACCTTGCAGAACACAGTTGTTGCTGGTCTATGAACCGCAGTGCAGCTGAATGCAACCATTGTAATCAAATACACTATTTATCAGGCAGTGATTATGGAAACATAAAATGTGTGCGTATAGACACCAGGGATAGAAGTAACACATTCAAACTACTCACATCACTGGAATTAAGATGGTTTTGGGGTACTTTTTCAAGCCTGTAACTATATTCTTCAGTATACATTACACTATATAATCTACCTCACTACTGAGTAGGTCAACAATTTAAATCCACACTTTTCATCAGCATTTATGTAGCTAAATGCTGCCCGCCCATGTTAACATATTGGGCTGTTCAAAAGAGCACATTGTGCTGTGCAGCTCTGCAGCCAGTGGAGAAACAGATGCTGCTGCAGGCTCAGGTTGGGAGAGGTCCGTGGAGGACTCAGGCTGTTTGAGGGGCACCATCGAGCAGAAAGTTGTGACCCATTTATGGTGAAACAGCTTAGTCACAATTAGGATTATCACGCCCTACGGGGGCTCTTTATCTACTGTAGGGCATCCCAGAGGGCACTTCTGCTGGGTGCTTTGGAGGGGGCACTGAAGAAATGTGCTTTGTTGAAAAAAGATTTTTGTTACATGGATCTCCCCTATTGATAATACATTAAACATTATCGGTTAAAAAGTAACTAATACTCTGTGTAGTTTTTGAAGAATACATTTAAGTTATTTTAACAGCAGTAGTTTTACCTGTAGTTGATACATTTTTAAGTAATGTAACAGTACTTCTGCTTGAGTACAGATATTCAGTGATCTTTCCACCACTGTGAGACACTGACAGGAGTTTCGTTAAGCTGCTGCTATTAAAGGGTTCCACAACATGAGATACATCCACTCAATTTTTCTAATTCAGCGTTGGGTGCCACCTAGGCAAAGTCTGGTCCTGGTTAAAAAGCAGCTCACCACTGCTGACACTGACAAATAAACCCCAGTATGTCATGTGTGAGGAGAAACAAGGTGAGTGTGATCTTGGGATCCACGGTGCAGATGTGTACAGTAACTGTATTCTTCACTGTGTCAGACTGCCAGATGTGTGGGTGAATGAGAGCGACAGACTGCAGCAGAAAACCAAGGTGGTTCATCTGTCCAAGCTACCCACAGACACAGCTGTACTCCTGGACCCCAACATCTACAGGTGTGTGTGTGTGTGGGTGGGTGGGTGGGTGGTTGTTGATGGTTGTTGATGTTGGTAAAAACAGTACAATATATCTGAACGTTTTCTCTCCCTCAGGATGTTCTTCTAACCATCTCCAGAGGAACTCCACTGTCACTTCCTGCTAATCCAACCTCGAGGAGGAGGATCGTCTTCATCTCTGCGTTCCTCTTTTCCTCTCCTCCCTCTCCCAGAGGATGCTGGGAGTTTAGTGACTTACTTGTCATGGCTGTCTGAGGCCTCCAGTGTTCATTAGGTGCTGAGTTTACTGAGGACATGTAGGGGGAGATGTTGCTTGTTTTAGGTAACAACCATAGTGAGAACTAACTGACAGAAGTGTAACTGTAGACAGTTAGACACACGTGTAGAGAGACGCTGTCTTTGTAAATACTTGAGATTTGTAATATATTTTTATACTTTGAATTTTTTTACTGGACTGTAGATAGATGTCTTTTTTCAGCCAAACATTTTTAAAATAGATGTTTTAAAAACTGATAATGATGGTCATGTGAATATAGCTGGCATTGCTCTGGTTTAATGTCATTAAACTTTTCCAACCACTCAGCCTCAAGTCTTTACCTGCTAGCTGGAATGTATGGAGGTCGATGGATGTCAATATCATTGTAATAGCAGACCATGAGGCAGAAATATATTTTACATTTTGTAAACACAATCTACCAATAGAAAACAAGAATTTGACTCTGCATGGGTCATACTCTTTTTGTATTTGTTTTCAGAATTTTGACTTTAAAAATGTATAATTTACTCAATTCAATTAATTTCTACAAATGCTCTCTTCACAATTTGCAAACAAACACAGTACAGCTGTGTGCGAATGAGTTTGACTCCGGTGTGAATACGATACAAAATGTACAAATATGTGAAGATGAATCCTGATATCAATCGTGGTACCAAGGTTTGTTTCACTTCATAAAAATAAATCAGCATTGTTTTGTACAGTTTATACCCTACCTCAGAAATAAAGATTCTAGTTGTACTTTGTTTTGGTTCTCATGAGACGATACTGTGAACCCAGTATGTTCAGTTGTATTGAACTGAGTGTTGAGAATATCATTACATTCTTAGTTCTTGTTTATTACAGCAACAACCAGGGCTGATTCCTGTCCCCTGTAAACGTATCTGACATTGTAAGAATGCAAATCAAATTTAAATTTCCACAAGGTCTCAGTGTTCTACCATAAAAGTGAAGTGTGCTACAGATTGAGACCAGCGGTGTCTGTGGGCTATAATGTAGATCAACATTTTTAAATATATGTATAATGGGTAAAATGAATATTGGGGCCCCTGGTTAGCTCAGTGGGTAGAGCTGGCGACCCATGTATTGAGGTTAGTCCCTACTGCAGCGGCCCAGGGTTTGAATCCGACCAGCGGCCCTGTGCTGCGTGTCATCCCGTCTGTCTGCCCCCCTTTCCTGTCTGTCTTCAGCTGTCTCTATCATAAAGGCAATAAAAACCCCTTAAAATACATAACAAAAAAACTTAAAAATATTGAAGGGGCCTAACTGGGGCCCCTGACAGTGGACGGGACAGCACAGGGAGCTGTGTGTGTGTGTGTGTGTGTGTGTGTGTGTGTAAACTGGTTTGTGAATCCTGAAGTGATGAAATCAATCTTCATCATCTAGCAAATGTTTATTATTGACTGTGAGTAAGACACTGAACAACAGATCTGAATCATCTATTAATGTCTCATGTCAGTATCTCTATGGAAACCCGTTGACGTCACGGACATTGTATCAAGGCTGTATCCTGCTCGTGTCGCTACACTAACCGCTGACGTCATATTGAGTGGCCGGATATCGAGCTGTCCGCTGAGGAGAATGGCTGCGCTGCTGAAGAAGGTACGAGTAAAGGTCACCTTTAGTTTTAATGAAAGAAGAAAACATTAATATTCTAATAATAATAACATTAACTAGCATTAATGGAGGCTGTAGGCAGCGCACTGTGCGACGGTTGGTGAGCTAATAGCTGTAATGCTAACTCAGCTATAGGTATGTTAGCTGTGTGCTGTAGCTACAGGCTGTGTACGCCGCAGTGTTATGGCGTCACATTATACAACGATAACGTTTACTTGATCAAATGTTCTTACCGTCAGAACGGTAACGGTCTTACCGTTAGAACGGTAACGTTAACGTTAGAACGGTAACGGTCTTACCGTTAGAACGGTAACGGTAACGTTACATCACTAAACACTGTTATTCCCTTCACTTAGGTAGCTCATTAGCTATTAGCAAATTGTTTAATTGCATCTGAGGAAAATGAAACTCAAAAGTCTTTAAACCGGTCGGTTCTGTTCGGTTCTATCCGGTTCTATCCGGTTCTGTTCGGTTCTGTACTGTTCTGTACTGTGAGCATTATCGTTGTTTCACGGCGAACATATTGAACTATCAGAGCAGCTGTAGCTAATAACACGGTTGTATTCATCTGTGTGAACCATCAGTCCGTCAGTCCATCAGTGTCCGTCAGTCCGTCAGTGTCCGTCAGTGTCCGTCAGTCCGTCAGTGTCCGTCAGTGTCCGTCAGTCCGTCAGTGTCCATCAGTGTCCGTCAGTCCCCGTCAGTCCCCGTCAGTGTCCATCAGTGTCCGTCAGTGTCCGTCAGTGTCCGTCAGTCCGTCAGTGTCCGTCAGTCCATCAGTGTCCGTCAGTCCATCAGTGTCCGTCAGTGTCCGTCAGTCCCCGTCAGTGTCCGTCAGTCCCCGTCAGTCCGTCAGTCCCCGTCAGTCCGTCAGTGTCCATCAGTCCCCGTCAGTCCCCGTCAGTGTCCGTCAGTGTCCGTCAGTCCGTCAGTGTCCGTCAGTGTCCGTCAGTCCGTCAGTCCCCGTCAGTCCCCGTCAGTCCGTCAGTGTCCGTCAGTCCATCAGTGTCCGTCAGTGTCCGTCAGTCCATCAGTGTCCGTCAGTCCCCGTCAGTCCCCGTCAGTGTCCGTCAGTGTCCGTCAGTGTCCGTCAGTCCATCAGTGTCCGTCAGTGTCCGTCAGTCCCCGTCAGTGTCCGTCAGTCCCCGTCAGTGTCCGTCAGTCCGTCAGTGTCTGTCAGTGTCCGTCAGTCCATGTCAGTGTCCATCAGTCCGTCAGTGTCCATCAGTGTCCGTCAGTGTCCGTCAGTGTCCGTCCAGTCCCCGTCCAGTGTCCATCAGTGTCCGTCAGTGTCCGTCAGTCCATCAGTCCCCGTCAGTCCGTCAGTGTCCGTCAGTGTCCGTCAGTGTCCGTCCAGTGTCCGTCAGTGTCCGTCAGTCCCCGTCCCCGCCAGTGTCCGTCAGTGTCCGTCAGTGTCCGTCAGTCCCATCAGTGTCCCCAGTCCATCAGTCCCCGTCAGTGTCTGTCAGTGTCCGTCAGTCCATCAGTGTCCATCAGTCCCCGTCAGTCTGTCAGTGTCCGTCAGTCCGTCAGTGTCCATCAGTCCCCGTCAGTGTCTGTCAGTGTCCGTCAGTCCGTCAGTGTCCATCAGTCCCCGTCAGTGTCTGTCAGTGTCCGTCAGTCCGTCAGTGTCCATCAGTCCCCGTCAGTGTCTGTCAGTGTCCGTCAGTGTCCGTCAGTCCATCAGTCCCCGTCAGTGTCCGTCAGTGTCCGTCAGTGCCTGTCAGTCCATCAGTGTCCGTCAGTCCATCAGTGTCCATCAGTCCATCAGTGTCCATCAGTGTCCGTCAGTCCATCAGAGTCCATCAGTGTCCGTCAGTCCATCAGAGTCCATCAGTGTCCGTCAGTCCATCAGTGTCCGTCAGTCCGTCAGTGTCCATCAGTGTCCGTCAGTCCGTCAGTGTCCGCACTTTCTGCTCAGCGTCTCTCTCCTGTGAGCCAGTGGTTGAGCTCTCTCTGTCGGACAGACCTGTATCTTCTGTACCAATCTATCAGCTTTTCTTCCAGTAGCTCCAAATCAATGGCAGATTCTTTTATTACTCTACACTAAATGTAATGGCTTTCAGTTTGTATTGTAATCTATAGTAATGTTTATTCATATTTATTCATATTTATATCTACAAATAAGTTTAGGTTTGTTTTGTCTTCCATGTCATGTGACCCAGGGATTCATAACGATGCCCAATTATATTACTACCATTGGCGGTATATATTTATATATACATATATAATGGGCCTGTGAAGTGATGCCAATGCTGAAGTATCTTAAACCTGCATTCTTTCTAATGGCCAGCAGGGGGCAGCAAAAAGATTTCCAATAGTATTGAGTCTTGTAGGAAATGACCAGACGTCTGATTTGAATTATTAACAAAGGGAACAGTTTCCTGATGAGTTTATGTTCTCAGTGTCTAGTTCCAGTCTTCTTCCATACAGCATGATGTTCTTTTAGTCAATGATGGTTCCATTTAGAGTAGAATAGACCATAAAGCAGGGTATGCTTTAGGGCGTTGTCTGGTGTAGTAATATAATTTGGCATTGATTTTGAATCCCTGGGTCACATGACATAGATGCTATTGAAAAATGTCCCAATTTTCATAAAAATAATAGAAACCTGAATCCACCAGTGCTCATCCACTGAGAATGGACTTTACAGTGAAGGAGACATCTTGTGTCCAGCAGGAGAACTTTAGAAATGAACAACATTTACATATTCAGAGATTCTGGAGGTTTTACATTTTAAAGACCTAATGAGGTAAAGATATAATACCTTTTCTACAGGAAACAATCCCACACACAGACATTACTGTTTGTATGGGTGGTAATCTTTAATGTAATTGGTTTTGTCTGACTGAAGAAAGCTCTGTTCTTGAGCTTTTTAAAGTGTGTGCACTGTTAAAAGTGGTTGTAACTGCTGGAAGTCTTTCTACATTTGAAGGTTTCAGAAACAAGTTGAACCCAAATCCAGAGCTTTAAAGTACATTCATATGAAGTCTCACACACACAGCCTCTGTATTCTGGCTATTGTACTGCTGAAAGAAGACTCATGTTAGGTAAGCTGTGTAATGGTACCACTGCAGAAACCACTTGACCTCGTGTGTGTGTGTGTGTGTGTGTGTGTGTAATCATATAAAGTGATGTATTCAGGCCTTGAACTGTTGCAGTAGCGGAGTGTTTACGGCAGTGAGTGAACAGTGTGATGTACGTATTGATCAGGATGAAGTGTGAGGTTGGTGAAGGATAATCTGAAGTGTCTCTCCTGATGTTCTTTTCCAGACGACGGGCCTGGTCGGCCTGGCAGTGTGCCACACTCCACATGAGGTGAGCTGCAGACAGTGAATGCATCACACACAAATGCCAGCGATTATTTCATTATTGATTCATCTGTTCATCATTTTATCCATTAGTTTTTGGGTCTGTAAAAGTCCTCAAGTGTGAAACCACAAATTCTATAATTCTGACTAATAATAAATATAATATGATTGATAGTGATAAGAGCCATGATCATGAATAAAATGTTGATAATCACTTATTATTATTATTATTATTATTATTATTAATATTTAGTGATAATTGATGAACTGACTGATGGCAGGGGTTAGTAGGCGTTGTTCATTCAGCAGCTAACCTGCTCTGGTCCTCCCTCAGCGTCTGAGGATTCTGTACTCCAAGATCCTGACATTGGTGCAGACCATGCCGCAGGACGCAGCCTACAGGAAGTACACAGAGCAGCTGGTCAACGAGAGGTTCAGTCACGTCACAACGGTGAGTGAGGAAACGGCGAGGAATAGCTCTCTGTGGTTCTCTTCAAGCTGTGTTAGGATGGATGACTGCCTCCATGAAGTACCGTGGTCATACTCACAGGAGTGGAGTTAGTGAGGAGATGAACCTGTGACAAATAATCCCACATATCTGTAGATGGAAATGGTTTTAAATAACAACCAAATATAAGTTAGGTTTCAACCAGTTCAGTTTGTGCTCAGTGTTTTGTCCACAACCCAAAGATATTCCGTTCACTGTCACAGAGGACTAAAGAAAGCAGAACATATGCACATCTGAGAAACTTGAAAAAAATAAAAAAAATATGAATAAGAATGAATGAACTATCCAGGAATTAGAATTTAGTAACTTTCATAAGAATAAGAAGAAGCAGCATAAGAAAGAAACAGTTTTACTATTTGCATATTTTACTGACTGTTGCCCCGGTGAAGCTGTAACAGTGAGAATGAATGCGTTAACAGTTGGACTATAAAATCATTAGTCACATGATAAACAGCGGTTTGTCAAATGTCTAGGAACCCTGATTAATAGTTGGCAATTAATTCAGTAGTTGAGTAATTGTTGCAGCTCTGCACTGATACTATAAAGTTAGTGTGTGCATTTTATTATGTTTTGTAAAACTCATTAGTAAAATGAATTTAAAAAGAAGAGAGACTCAACACATAGCCATGCTGCCTCTGTTCACAGGAGCCTGATGTGGAGAAGCTGGAGCAGAAGATAAACTGTGGGCAGATTGAAGAAGTCATTTTCCAGGTAGGTTACGTAATGACCGTGACCTGTTTGTCTTCATGATGGTCACATTACAACTGTTGGGCTAATTATCCTCATACTTCTGGCATCTATTGAATAGTCCACATGCAGGTCATTCAATAATGGAACAGAGACATTGACATATTGGTAATAAACATGATTTTTATTTGAACAAATGCATCAAAATTCCAATCAAACATTTGCATCTGACATTGAAGCTGCAGTAGGCAACCTTTAGTGATACTGTATCCTGACAGTAGTAGGATGCTCCTTAAGGTATTTGCAAGAATCCACCGTATGTAAACAAAAACAACCAATCAGAGCTGAGAGAAACCTAACACAGGCCTTTTTCACAGAAACAAAGATGAGTTCCCCGGACATCATACAGCTGTTTTGGGACCCTGACTCAGTCAGCTATCTTTCTTGGCTCTGATTGGTTGTTTCTGTAAAGGTCACCTACTGCAGCTTCAAACACATTCCCGGGAAGTTAAAGCATTACAGTTGTAGTTCAGCAGATGTGTTCAGGTGAAGCACACAGTTATCCTAGGCTATAGACCTGTTCTGTTCCTTCATTAGTATCAATGTCACACCTGTGTTCACCATTTCCTGTCAAAATGGCTGCTTTCAGAACGTTCTTATACAGAGCCACAGTAAGCAGGGGGAACAGCGAGCCTGGTTGTGTTGTTTGTGTTCATCCAGTCCCGGGATGATGAGTGTTAATGAACTGTGTGCTCCTGTGTGCAGGCGGAGTGTGAGCTGGCTCTGTCCAGGAAGATGTCAGAGTGGAAACCATGGGAGCCGCTGGTGGAGGAACCTCCACCCAACCAATGGAAGTGGCCCATCTGAATGCACCTGTCTATACTGTCATACTCTGCTTCTAATGAAGTGCTGTACAAATATTAAAGTCCTGCAGATATTTCCCCATTTCTTCTCTGACTCATCAATGATCAGACACATAACTCTGTGTGTGTGTGTGTGTGCGTGTGTGTGTGTGTGTGTGTACAGTGTCCTGTGTGTGTGCGTGTGCGTACACTGTTACATTTCTACTGCTGTGTCTGCAGAAAGCGGACCCAGACGGAAGAGGATGTGGGGCACGTGAAAAATGTATTGGTTTCCTGAGAATAAAGTCATAACTGTGACCTTAAGCCCAGTATTCTGTCTTCACATTTTCTCACGTGGCCCAAATCCTCTTACATAGAATCCAAATTGAATTGAACTGGACTGTTGTCAGATACTCCACTGATTTGGATTCAGCTTCCCACAAACATCATAACTAACCCACATGAAAATATTTAATTTGAGTTGTGAGTTCAAAGTCAGAATTCTCAGAACTCAAATCTTTCACATACATTCCCTTGATTGAGCCAAATAGTACAAATAAGACCGATCAGTTCCATTTAGCTGCTCTAGTTATAAATAATAAAGGTGGCATGTAGTGTGCATAGAGCTAAACCTGATCCTCTGCAGTCAGACACGTATTACAGCCGTGTGGTCATCCTCAGGCTCTGACCTACTGTGAGCCGCTGGTTGCTCTCTGTAACAGCTGGAGCATGATGGGATAGATGGGAGAAAACTCCTTCCCCTGCCGAGCCCTCACTGACTGCACGTAGGCCTCCAGAGCGCCCCTTAGAGAACAGAGAGGAAACAGTTCCATTACACCCCACAATGATATGAACAGGATCTGTCCTGATGATGGCGCTATGTGTGGAAGTGCTCAGTTACAGTAAACAACCAGCTCAAAACCTTCAGACACATATATAATGAGTGAATGTGAGCAATTAATGATCAAATCTAATGTCTTTTTACAACAGTTGACATCTTCAACTGACATAGTTGAAGTATTGACATCAAACTAGCAATACCTAATGTTAGGTAGTTCAGTCTGTGGCAGTGCATCATGTTTTATAAGCTGATAGTGTTCTTTCAATAGAAAATCTTTACCTGAAAAATACCATAACTACAGCAGTTAAAGGACCAGTGTGTCCAGTTGATTACAGCTCATCTTCCAAGCATGTAAGAGAAACTACGGTGGCTGTGAAAAACGCACAAAGCTGTGGTGCAGAGCGGGTCGTCCCCTAATCGGAAGGTTGTTCGATCCCCGGCTCCTCCAGCCACATGTCAAATTATCATTGAGCAAGATACTGAACCCAATGTGCATCACTGAGTGAATGTGTGTGAAAGGGTGAATGTGGCATGTAGTGTAAAAGCGCTTTGAGTGGTCGGACTGCTACTACTGTAGAAACACGGTGGACTACATAGAGGAGGAGCTGCTCATTCTAAAGTAAAATTGTTACTTTACTGGGGCGGCTGTGGCTCAGAGGCAGAGCGGGTCGTTCCTAAATCGGAAGGTTGTGGGTTCGATCCCCAGCCCCTGGTGCCACATGTCGAAGTATCCTTGAGCAAAATACTGAACCCCAAATTGCTCCCGATGCCGTGCATCAGTGTGTGAATGTGTATGCATGTTAGTTTCTGTTCGATGGACTTTGCCATCACTGTGTGAAAGGGTGAATGTGGCACGTAGTGTAAAAGCACTTTGAGTGGTCAGAAGACTAGAAAGGCACTATACAAGTACAGGTCCATTTACTTTCTGGTGATTATACACTAATGAAAACAAAGGTATGAATATTATATTCCATTTCCATTCCATTTGACAACAGATCACATAAATGTTACACACTGAAGTGAAAGCAGTGGAATATTTCCCTCTGCAGGAATAAAACAACTGAAAATTAAAATAGATGTGGAAGTAAACGTACTCACTGTCATGGAAGTTATGTTGTTGTGTGGTCATGTGCACTTTCTATTGTTATTACCTCACAGCAATCACTAACTGTGACTAAAAATATAAATCAACTACACGTTCACTGTGAGCAGCTATCAACACACAGCGAGCTTCCACTCTCTGCAAGTCCATCATCATACTGCCTGCGGGGAAGCAAACAGCTGACTGAGAACAGAAATCATCTGTATTTACAACCCACAGTTGACCACTAGAGGCTGATCACTGAGCACAGTTAGAATCACGTTGGTGGGACTGATTTCCTACATGTGGTCTGAGCCTTGGAGCTGCGTGTAACCTGTGATGACCTGCAGAAGGAAGAAGGTGGTCACCTGAGGAGAGTGAGTCTGTCTCTCTCAGAGGGGTGATCATCCAGCCACTGGGAGTAACGGGCGATGGACCACTCTGCTCTCTGTGGGGGGAGAACATTCTTTAAGTTGTTACAGTGATACGCACTGCAGACAGTCCAATCAATGATGCTGATGGGTTTAACAGTCTGTTCATACACAGACCAACTGTACATTACTGTGTGTGTACGGACCTGATGAGGGGACTTGAGCTCAGACGGTGCTCTGGTGAGGAGGAAGTGGAGCAGGGTGCTATAGGGGATCAGGTCACCCACAGCTGGACTGCTGGCTATCAGCTCACTGGTCTGAAACAGCAGCGGCCTGGAACACAGAGCACACAGTGGAATAATGTACTGGACACAGTGGGGCTGAAAGGGCTGTACTGGTTTACCCCATCAGCTGCACATCGTGTAGAATTTACTGCTGCTAACCATTTCCCACAACATCACTGTTTAGATTGGGTTCCTGCCTTCCACACAGCCACTGGTTAATGAAAATCACCTTCTAGAGACCTACCTGAGATTCAGCACACCATTTGGTCACCTTTAATACTCGAATAATTGCTGATTAAATCACTGTGTGGTAATTCAGCTGCAAGCAAGGATCATTTTCAGACCTCTAGTCTCAGATGACAAGAGCTTCCTGGAACACCAGCAAGTTCTTCAAATAATGTGTGGCGCTCTCTCAGTGCAGATATCGGGCTGATAAATGGGTCAATCTTTAGCACCATTGCTTGCACCCAATGCAATGGGGGTGAAGGGTTTTTGCGTTTGTTGTGCTCAAGCACGATAAAAGAAAAACTCAGCAGAAACTATATTCCTTTATATATTTCTTTTTAATTTTATGATATACTTTTTATTTCACTCAACATGTGTTCTGTCTTATTATCAGCTTGTCAGTCATCTGTGAAGCACTTTGAACTGCACTCACCTTTATGAAAGCTGCTACATAAATCAAGTTTGACTGATCCTCAGAACACTCAGCAGAGTGGCACAAACTGCTGTTTTTCTGCTATAATGTGAATTTATTTGGGTGAAGTGAACCTTAAATCCTCACTGGTTCTAGTTGAAAGATGATGTTGATGAAAACTCCTGTTCTTTACAATAAGAGCAGAGCGTAGAAATGATTACGATGAGCATACACACCTGAAGGAGCGCAGCATTCTGTAAGGTTTCCCCAAATCAGACACTCTCCTGCAGAGAGGAGCCACTGCCATCTCCATCTGACACACACACACAGTAAACACAAACAAACAAACAAACAGACATACACGTTAGTCTAGTGAGTGACCTCTGCGTTGTTGAATCATCTGTAAACTATTGTGGAGGCAAGGGTCGGCCCAGGATCAGCCTGGGGAGCAGTCTGAAAAGATCCACCTCACCTGAGCGAAGTCGGCAGCCAGTCTCATCTTGCCGCCCTCCCCTAGTGGGCGCAGCAGGCTGGCGTGGCGGACGAACAGCTCAATGGCCCTCTGGGCGATGGACTCTGTGCTCTCGTAGATGAAGTCCACGCACTGGAAGTGTCGGAAGTAGTCCGCCATCACTCTGGAGATGAAGCCCTGCAGCTCTTTCATGTAGAGGGAGCACGGAACGTCAGGCTTATCGGGGCTGGACAGAGGCCTGCAACACGCAAAATTACAGTGAAGTACAGAAAATGTATCTCTTATCCATTTACAAAAGACTGATGGTACCTGGCTAAATTACACTAATAACAGGCTCTGATACAGCCTGTTCATCCTGCTGCTGTACCACCAGACATAAAGACAGCTGAATTCATCCTCAGCACTCCATTATTTAAAAGCTTATTTTTCATGACTTATTAATACGTTTTTTGTTTTTACGTGGAAGAATAAAGGAAACTACAAGCTTTCATTATCTAGGAATGAAAAAAATGTATTTATAATAAATTATACAATGACAAAAATGACAAAATACCTTGTATCCTTGTAAATCACACACAATGTCTATTTCTTTTGTTTCTATAAAACATTCTTCCCTCTTCTGTTTGGATAATGAAACCCTAATAACAGGGAGTGGGTTTTAACTGATGGTCACTAACAGTGAGCAAAAATACATCTGAGGAGAGCACATTCATACAATGATAACCACATTTACAGTTGATCATCACACAGAGCAATGGAAGTGAGCTAAACTGGAGCTGCAGGGTATTTTTTATAGATGACATCAAGTGTTGACACAACTTGATTCTCCCCCCAGCAGCTTCCAGCAGAGGCTCAGCTCGTCTGTCTGAAACCAACTGTGTGTTCAGATGGTATGAAGGTCCAAGACTGCAGCTTTGACAACAGTCTATTAATGACTACACCAGTCTAAAAATGTTGGTTAGTTTTATGAACCAAATTGAGATTAATAATAAAAATAGGTTGTTATAATGTAGCAGGCACCTGAATACATGCATGGAAATACTGAAATGCACTTTTAATTAGAAAAGGTTGACTGTGGAATTGTTTTATTTTCCGGTTTGGCTCTCTGCTCAATGGAAGAAACTGTGCCAATAATCAATGGAGAACACATCACTGAGAGGTTGAGAGCTGAGTATCATTTAAAATGTTTAAATGCTCAGTCTTGATACTGATCCCAAATAACACCTAAATAACGTTTTTATTAAAAAAAAATATGTTCTAATGTAACAAAATAAGCTTCTCAAAGGTTGTCTTCGCACAAGCAGAAATACAACAGGATTTGAAATTTCAAAACTGTTACTTGATAAAAATCTGTGTCTGTCTGTCTGTAAGCAGCACTTGTTTGATAAATCAGCTTATTGCAGATATATTGGTAAAACTTCACTCGCAGTCGCATAGCATGTTTGTAACATTACAGTGGTGTAATGTCAGGAAACAGTAGTTAAATCTCAACTAATAAGCTGCTGAAATGTTACAAATACTCGGGGGGGGGACTATCCTAATAAAGAGCGACGCAGAAATGCCACGGTACGTCTGAGTAAGTTTAGAGTTTCAGTCAGTCTGTCCACCAGAGAGTACTGACAAGTTGATTTTCACACTGTGAAACATCCAGCTCAGTATATATCTGTCGACAATTCAAAATAAAAAAACAATCTAAGGGATGGATCTGTTTACGTTGTGTTCATCTACCATTAATGAAATTCCTTTCCTCACAAATATCAATATTGGTATCTGCCTCAAAAATCCAGTATTGGTCGGCCTTTAATGAAAAGGATTATGAGACTGAGCTCTCCAGGTACATCTCCATGTGGGTCTTCATTATGCCTGATATACCTTGTTTTGTATGACCCTTTGGAAATCAATACAACAGTTCCAGGAACTATAGAATCTGAAGAACAAATCTAGGAACAAAAAGTGTCTTGTGTTTGATTATTTGCTGAAGAACTGTGAAGTTCAGGCAATATTTGAATTATTAGGTCCTAATTTTGATTCTGGTTGCACCCAAGGCTGATTCCAGTGTGAATGAAGCTGTACACAAGTTGCAGCAGCCTGAGGTTTGTGTTTGATCAGTTTGCATCAGTCTGCACAGATCCACCTCCATACTTCCTGCCTCCTGGGCCACTGGAAAGTGTGAGGACTTTTTGGGGAACAGGTACTGAATTCAGTCACTGGTCCCTTCAGTCAAAATACAGGTTCCTGATATGGTTCCCTGGAGAACACAGGCTAAATGTTGCTTACCCTGAAAAGTCCTCTTGGTGTAGCGTGATGATGATGGCCTCTATGGAGTCGCTGACTGACTGCAGGAGAGGCTGTACCGCACTGCTCATCAGGGCCTGCACTCCCTGAATCAGAACAGAGGGAAACAAACAAACTGGGTCTCTGATGTAACATTCTGTAAGGAAGGCACAGTGCAAACAGGAGCACAGAAAAAGAGCAAAATCCAGACCTAACAACAACAGCTACTGGGCCTCCACAGACCAAAGCACATGAAATTTACTTGTGTCTTAGGGGCTCCCTGTTGCCATAGCAACTTGTGTAGTCATGTGAGCAGAAGGTATATATGAGGTTGGATGAGTGATTGACATTTGAAATATTGGCATGTTATCAGCTGTGTGGATTGTGTGTGTGTGTGATGAAGCTGTTCAATAAACACACATCAACTGTGCATGCACAGCAGCACACTTGTACAGACCAGTGTTCATTTTGTCAATGAAAGAAATACCCAGATGAAAGCGAGAATAAAAATAAAAAATAACTTCTTAAAACAAAAATTAAGTCTTTTACTATTGTCAACGTGGAATAAAAGCTAAATGATGATGTGAAAGATGGACAAATTAACTAATTAAAACCTTAATGTTCCTGACTAGCCAAACATCCAACACCTAAAACTTATTGCATTTGAGTAACATGTCTCTGCCAGGGCTGCATAATATTGCGATTGCAATATGATTCACCATAAGTAGGAATGATCTTTTTTGTTCATTGTCACTGAAACAAATGTTTTTTTTACATCTGAAGAACAAGGTGTGTAGACCAAGATATCTCTGCAGCACTACAGTACTTCATTATAATGCTTTATTGCCATTTGAATACTATTTTGATTAATTGTGCAGCCCCAGTCTCTGCCTGTAGTCTGACATTACTGGTTCTTTATGATACTGAATCCATCTGTAATCCTACAGAAATCTACACAAGAAAACAGCAAATAAACAGATAAACTACAACATAAGGGCTAGCACACTGGCATATAACTGTAGCCTAGTGAAAGAGTGAGAGAGGTCTGTATGCTGTATCACTGGAGAGTGTGAACCACAACAGTCACAAAGCACCTTTATTACCATTACATTTGAGCTAAGCATTGATCTTTTTGAAAAACACCCAGAGATCTTTAGAAAACCCAGACAGGTCGTTTAATGCCACTTGCTGCCGTTCACAAGATATTTTACAGAATCTTCAAGGACTCTTCTGATGCTTTTTAACTGGTTCTTAAGTTTCAACTCTGTTTTGTAATCCTAACATGACATATATTCATACTCAATTTGTATGAAAACTAGAGCCCGACCAATACGGGATATTTGAGACTGATTTTAGAGGGAAAATTACCAATATGGCAGAATAAAAACAGACCTTTTCTATGTGGATTGTGCACTGATATGACTCTGTAAAGGTACTCAGATGGCTGCTTTCTTAAACAAATAACTTTATTAAAGAATATTTAAGTTAACCAGTTCTACATTGATGAGAGCTGCTCCTACTCTCTTAATCTGTGCTGTTTGCCACAGTATTGTAAATCACAGCACATGCTGCTGGAGAAACTTTGCAGTGACACTAATGTATTACCACAAGCATTTTCTTCTGCATTATATATCAGAAATTGATGCATACTGGATAACATATACGCTGATACCCATATGATACTAATATGTCTTCAAAAAGTAAATATTAGCCCAACTCTTTCAGAACTGTCCTACATGTTGTCAAACGACTGTTTTAAAAAATAAATGTACTCAATTTTTCAGAAAAATGAATGCTTAGCTATGTGACATGACTGTATTGGAACATAAGAGGAACAAACCAGGGCTAAATACCCGATATAGAAAAACAATACCTTCAAAGAAGACAGCTGTAGCTTCAGAGGGCTTAGCACACAAACACTTGCACTACAAATGTCTGAATAATGACAAAAAACAAATAAGGTGCACAGAGGAACAGATGCTGCTTAAATCTAAAAAAATAGGTCTTGCACACTTAATATTAGGCTCCAAGAGAATCAACTGTGCAGGTCCTAGTCTTCTAATTCACACTTATGATGAAAGGATGTGAGCATCATGTCTTTTGTAAATTGAGAAAGAGCTCCATTATAATAATATACTCAACGGGCCTTGTCCCACTGTCAGCACAGGAGCTTAGGAAGCTTTACCCAAACACAGCATTCATGATGAGTACAAAAAAAAAAATCACCAACTATATATATATAAATGAACTATAAATAAAAAAGCAGTTTGCTGTGATACCTCCAGAGAAGAAGAGAGGACCTCTTCAGCAGCCGCTGGACACGACCCCAATCCTGAAATAATCTGCAAATGCAAAATACAGGAAGTCTAAGGTTAACCGAAGAAGAAAAAATACAATTTTATTTAGAATTTTTTAAGCACCTTTCATAGAAAAAAAACATACACAAACATACAAAATACAGCTCAATCTTATGGGCCGGCCACAGTTTTGGTTGATAGTAACAAAAGGTTGCCTCTCCATACTTGTGTCATATTAATGCTGTAGAGCTCCATGATGATATCGATATAGAGATATAGATATATATCTATATATATGAAAAAAAACTTACATTCAAATTTCCAACAAAGATCATTTTACTGCTTAAAGAACATTACAGTCAACAATTCAAACTGTTGATTAGGTATGGAATTTTATGCCATGTTGTTGTATATTTTGGCAGCATGTATAATGAAAAAAGGATGTAACACTGTGTAACATCATTTGGTAGTCAAAATGTGCTCTATGTCCTTGTTACACAGGTAAGGAAGCTCTTTACTACGGATATAGAGCTTTCATCAGGATCTGCTGTGAAACACATCTACAGTTATTCAGACAGATAGGAAGGAGAGGTCTGACTAATGCTAAATAATACAAAAACATCCTGCGCTCCATGTATCTGGATTTGTTTTCGCATCCACCCCTATATCCTATTTATTTCACAACCTGTCTGTCCCTCCGCCTGCCTGCAATAAATTCTCACTCTGTTTTCACACGGTAAAATTTGAAAGGCTCGAGGTTAAATATTTAATGCTGGTGTAATCTGTTTTTTTTATGCTATTAATCAGCCGGGCTGCTGTGTCAGGACACGCCATACATCTTTAATGGAGCAAGCTGAGAGAACACACTGCTCCCTGACTGCTTTCCCTTTTATCCCCCTTTAATTTCCTTTAGATTCCTTCCACATGTGTGTGGCGTTTGTGTGTCTAGGTGACATCTCTATGCATTTTAAAGGTAATAGTCCAATCCCACGCACAGCTAGAGAACTGTGTGCTATTGTGTCACTGTCATGCCTGTGGACAAATACAAGGAATAAAAATGTAGTTAACTAATCTACCAGTTACTATTTTTACACTGGAAACAAGTAATGGATAAGATACAGCAAAGCTACCATTGACAGAAAAGTGGCATTTAATTTAAAGCAATGTTTTAAAGCTTTTCTCACTGAGAACGTAGCAAGTTAGAACTTTGCAATACAAGCTCCAGGAAATGTAACCACAGACACACATGCAAAATCCCTCTTCTGTAATTCAGTTAAACAGATTAAACAAGATGAAATAAGCCACTGATATCCTGCAACCTGCTCACTTATATTATATTCCCTTTTGTGTCTGTGTCTTTTTAAAATAGCAAGTTGTTGATATTCTAACCTCCTCTCTGGTCTGTCCAGCTGAGAAACCTCAAATATCCTTTTGCATAAATACCATTAGTGCATTCAGAGATTTCTAAAGCCCCTCAGAAAGGAGGGCTATGTAAATATGAGGGCAATTTAACATGTTGGTCTCATGTCTCTACCAGTCCACCAAGTTTCAATAGATCCTAAATGTTGCACACTGGACCTTTAACAGACTATAGAGCAGTTCAAATAAATCATGAAATGGAGAGAGCCAGTGTCCCTCAGGCTCACTATGTTCATTAATTAAGGCTTTAACTGCAAAATAATGAATAATAAAATAATAATAAAAAATACGTTTTAAAATTCATCACTAATGCTGGCTGTGAGAAAACAGAAGCTTTTTCTTTCTTGATACAATCCCAAGCGGAAAAAGCCAGATGAAGTCATACATAGAACACATGTTATGCATTTCATGTCTTTAAGGGGAATCAGTTTTACACATCAGCCTGTGTTTACAGGTGTTCGCGAGTACTACTGCATATGTGTAGAAAAGCTGTATAAAGCCTTTTGTGGCTCCAGGGGGAGCTGTGTGAAGCTGGATAAATGTCCTCGAGTGAATCTCCGGACTGAACTGTTGTCAGTCGAGTTGCACTGTGGGTAACATAGGCTCCAGGGTTTGACAAGGAAGGAGATATCGCTGGTTCTGCTGGATCGATTTTGAACCTTTTTACACAGGCTTTCTGAAGGTTTCAACAAGTTAAATTTAAGACTTTTTAATACCTTAAGACCATTATGAATACAATTTAAGACCTATTTTAATGTCCATACTGGTAAAAAAAAAAAAAAAAAAACCTGTAGATGTTACAGCATGATCAACAATTTTTTCCCCAAAACACATTTGCAAGCGAGACCAAATAATGCAACTTCATGCAGGTAACATTAACTTAATCAATCCAATAATTTTTTAAGCCCAAATCAGAAACATTCAAGACATATTGGCTGTGTTCAGACTGCAGGCCAAAATGACCCAAACCTCATTGTTTTTTGCTTATACGTGTTATATGATGGTTTGAACAGCACAAATCACATCTGATCTTTTAAATTCTGATTTAGGCCACTTTTAGACATGGTCCAAATCAGATACAGGTCCCCTCAGTGTGAACAGTCATATCAGAATTCATGTGACTTTCACATTACTCTAGACCAACATTCGCCATGCTGATCACTTCAGGACTGTGACCTGTTCACACTGGAATCTGATCAGGGCCACATTTAACAAATAATGTGAAAAGACAAACAAAAGAAAAAAGAACTGAGCAATGAGCAATTTGAAGCTGTAGGAGAGATGGTAGTATTGTACTGGTAAAGGCAGTATAGGTTTGTCTGGAGGCTACTGGATCTTGTATATTTAGCTATGATCAAGGTTTTATCTTTAGGACGATCATAAGCATGTAAATGACATTGTTGCTCTGTGTTATCAGCATTATGTAAAAGAAACTTACCAACCAAAATTAATGTCACGTGCCTTAGAAATATAGAATTATTATGGCAATATTTTTTGACCTATTGATAAATATGACCACACCATTGTAGGTAAACAATTTCTTTGTTGTTGTTATTATTATTATTATTTAGTTTTATTTCATAATGATTTTCTATTTATACATTTTAATCTTCTTTCTTTTTATTACTCAGTTTACTTTGTGTATTATTATTATTGTATTATTTTAATGTGTGAAGCGCTTTGCGCTTCATTTTGCTTGTATGAAAAGTGCTATATAAATAAAGTGTGACTGACTGATTATAGACGGCTAGATGTTTTATTCTTTAAGCAAAGTACATCCATACAGATGTATTATTAACAGCTTGGTTAAGAGCAGGAAATAGACGGTATCGGGTTGGTATCGGACATGAAAAAGTGGTATGGAGCCATCACTATAGTGACAATTCTCTATAGGTGTGATCTGTGACATTACTGCATTATTGACTTCAGGTCTAAATGTGCAGGTGTATTTGTTGAGCAGAAAGTATTTAGTGTAGCCTCCTACCTTGGCGACGGCCTGCTGCAGACGGTAGAGGGAGTTGACCACGGCAACGTTCCTCCTCTGACCCTCCGTTAATGGACCGATCACCTGACTGGCATCACCCTGAGTACACAGCTGCAGACAGAGGGAGGTGCGATTTACTGATTTACTGAAAAGTGAAGCTATAGAGAGACACACAGGGAGCCAGTGTATGGTATATAGACAGACACAATAGAACAATGAGTAATAAATCACTGTTGTGTTTGTTATACTGTAAATGTATTTAAACATTCTAAACTGTAATCTAAACTGTAATCTTTTAAATGCAGAATTTCAGACACACAGACGCACAGACACACAGACACAGACACACACACACACACACACACACACACACACACACACACAGAGGACACTGTACACACCAGCTGTTCAGACTTGACACAGAAGAGCTGGACGGTCTTGGCAGCATTCTTTGCCACAGCCAGAGACAGGTTTGGATCTACTGATGCTACATTCAGCTCACTGCAAACAAATACACAAATTAATAAATAAGACAGATTTTACATTGCATTCAAATAATGTAACCTGGCTAATTATCCAGCTATGCAGTATGTTTGTAGTTAAACAGTAGCTTGGGTGCAACATATTTTTATGAATAATGATTCATCTAATATGTTCTGATATATTTGGTACTATGATATGAGTACCAAATATGCGGTTTAGGGAAGACTGGTAATGTCTTTTAGCCTAGCATTTTTGCACGTCCTGTTCCCTCTCCTTGGAGCCAATCTGTTTTTGGTCAGATGCCTAAAATAATGTCTGTGGTTAACTCAAGCTTAAAAGATTTTCACGTTTTGTACCATGACATAAAATACGACAGTATATAAGGAGTAGAGGGTGTCCGTGACATTAAAACACAGAGACTTTTACTATCTACTCCCTAGTCCGCCTTTACAGTAAGGCAGCTCAATTAATCGAAATTTTATCATGATTACGATTTTGGGGCCAAGCGATCTCAAAACTAATAAAATCGGGGGGAAATGATTGTTTTTTTCATTTTCTGTTGTGCAACGTTGTATAGAAAAAAGCTGTTTCCCAATTCAGGGGCTGACATAGCCACAGTCTGCGTATTTCGCGCATGCGTATTTCCGTCCCTCCCCCACAGCATGCACAGCACGAGTCATGCACTCTGTATACTCGCCGTTCCCAACCTGTCGTGCGACAATGTGAAGTCACGGGAGCGCTGTAACTATTTATACCTGGTGGTCGCGACACTAGTTGCAGTCTTCTCCTGTCACGTTGTTTTCGTTTGAACAGGTAACGAGGAGACTTACAAATGTTTATGGGGAAAGGAAAGTGAAACTGAGGACTTCCTTGCAAAGTGTTTTTGACAAATGTCCAATAAATGCAGCATGTTTCTGAAGTTTAAATAAATAATCGTTTGAATAATCGTGATTTAAATTTTGACCCAAATAATCGTGATTAGGATTTTTTCCATAATCGAGCAGCCCTACTTTACAGCCTCGTTGTGTTTATGCAAATTACTCAAACTTTACAACCTGTAGATTTTAATTAAAAGATTTAATTACATGTTGAAAGTGTAATGCAACAGTTATCTTAATTATCTTGCTGAACAAAACTTGTTTAGCAGTAATCCAAAGGAAAAATCCAAATTTGCTTTTTGTTGTAGGAACCAGGGTGAAACTAACTTCTGGGTTGGACTACAAGAATACGTAATTCCTGCACAGCTCTATGAAAAAGATCAAAATTAACTGCTGATACTATAATATAGTTATTAATAAGTAGTAATTGGTGAAGAAAACATTATCCTAAGAAACAACACTATGTTTTGAATAGACGGAAGTGTCACTATACTGTACTGTGTCATTATCTGGGTTTGACATTTGCTAGTGAGTGCTTCTATTTTAGTGTAAGATAAAGTTAGTTAACTCAACCATGGTTGACATTTTAACCGAGACTATAAAACCGGATCAGTGAGGAGAAACGGAAGCTGTAGCAGTAACTGTGTCACACGAGCTGTGTATAACCAATGACATTACACAAGTGTTTATTACTGGTCCTAGGCAGCAAAACCATGGAAACCCTACCTTATTAAATACTACTGCACATACATCTATTAAAATGAAAGATATAACACCCACACAACAATAGTTAGATCATTAAGGAATAGTTCAGTCAGAAAGGGAGTTTGAGTTTGCTGCGTCCACCAATTTTTGTTAACTTTCCAAAACTGTCAGCCTGACAATTACTGCCTACAATTGTCCAGGAGTACAGGAGTACAGTGTATGAAAGCGGTCAGGGTTTAAACTTCTCTTTCAAGCTCTCTTTTTTAAATTCTTCACACAACTGCTGTCACTTTTGTGCGTACAACCAAAAGTAAATATAATACTTTCAAGGAGACTTTCCAGAAGTTTGTACTGTTATCCACATTTATCCAATTGAATGCATCTCACCCCTCTTTACAGTGTGGCCATTCTGCGACAGCTATGAACAGTTTCACCTTTAGATGTGGTTGAATTATCAAACTAGTACATATTATGAACGCAACAACATATCATCTCCTTTCAAGTGGTTTATCTCCACCTGTAAGTCCATGTTCACTCTCTTTTAACTCTGGTCTTTTTTTTTGGTCTCCACCAACTCCTGATTGAAATATCTGGCTCTTTAGCTGCTAAATGCTCAACACTATATTTGCTAGTCTCTAACTGTGTCTGTCTGCTGTTTGTTGCTAAGCAGGTACCGTAGTAGGTTTTTACAGCTTTTTGTTTGAAAACAGCTGCAGCTGAAAACAAGTAAATTTGTGGGTCACACAGCTAAATAATGAGCTTACAAGCACAGTAAAGCTTAGTAAAGAAAGCTGCAGATTAGGCTGATAATTCTCTGTAGGTTCCTCACAACCAGAGACACATTTCACATTGTCATTTAATACATTGTTATAGAAATATTGATTATAGCTGCTTTAAGAGTGTCGATGTGGTCTGCCAAAGAAGTGACAAAGTCTTGTTATGGTGAACATCCAATGTGCCAAAGTAATGTTTTGCCTCACCTGGCCGTGGCAAGTTTTCAATTAGTTTTCATTTCAGTCAGGAGGCGAGGAACAACTATCTTTGATTTGATGTGGTTTATTTTCTGTGTTCCTTTAGGCCTGCCTGACATAGATTTTCCGACCTTAAAAGTTGCTAAGAGGGCTGTCTATTATTTTATAACTGCTTGAGCAACCGATAGGCCTCGTAGGACAAAGCCTTCAAATGTGTCAACACACTGTCAAACAACAAGAAGCTGCAGAGGCAGCATTGACTGATTTCGGCCCTTCCAGTGGGTCTTTGCTCTAAAGCAGCCAAACTGGCATGTGTTGTACTTGCCTGCTGATGGTCTTGATGATGCTGTCCAGCTCATCGTTGGAGGGCGGGTTGCGGCCGCCCATGGGAAACACAAGGTTGATGGGATCAAACAGGCGAGAGAGGGACTTGGAGAGGTAGGCTGCCTCGTACGGCTGCAGAGAGTCCTTCAGAGCCTTCTCCGGGCTGCACACACACACAAAGAGATGGACATAAAATCAAAAAAGACTGACTGCACATACATAATTGATGTCATTGGAAGATATCTACAGACAAGAAATGTTTAGGGAACCATTCTTAGTAACATGGATATTCTCTCAGCCACAATACAATCAGGAAATAGCAGCACTTTACTGTAAGCTAGCCTTTAAAAATTCAACATTTCAAATCCATCATGATACTATGATAGCCACAATCTATTTACTGTCTCATATTGACATATAATATCCTCTAATTGGCTAAAATATCAGTGCTGACATTTTTAATGGAGCACTTTAACTGCAGACACAAATGGGAGCAAAATGCCACTGTGTCTCATCCTATTACTATTCAGCGCAGACATGCTACTAGAGGTAGCATGTGTGTGCACTGTATTCATCATCATTATCTAATGACCTCATATCACTGTGATAGAGGAAAAGCAGGGGAAATCGTCCAGTGTAGAGTAGTGAAGTAAAATGGGAATAAGTCTTTGAATTTGTGCTTGGTGAGGCTGAAATGTGTTTGTGTACCGGAAACTAGCCTGTTATCTAATGTGTGCGTGTGTGCGTGCACTTACAAGCATCTGTGCACGTGTTGCTGTCATAAGTGCTCATACAAGATAGGACTTTTTTTCTGTCATGTCTTCACTCCCTCTCCATCCACCTGTTACATCATTCCTTTGTTTCTCTCCTTCCTCCGTGCTCCTGCAATCCTTCATTTCACCATTCTCTCCCTCCCACCTTCTTTTCATATGCTGTCTCTGCTACAAGAGATACACCAATCCCATTTGTTCTCTCCTGATAGCTGAACTTAATACGGTTTCTGCAGATTACCGAGACATAATCAGATACAAGTGATTGTTTTTTTGGAACTGATTGTTCTTTATGTAACTGCACATCACTTCATAATAAAACAGTAAGTGGTGTTCCTACACCAACGTTCTGTTTAGGCTTGTGCAAATGTAATTATATTGTTCTAGAAGCTTTACAAATTAGTAACAACTTTAATGACTCTGACTAAGAAACAGGATTTAGCCCATTAATGACTAACGTCTATATTCAGTATGTTAAGGAAAGCCTCACAGATTTTTGGTGGATTTCACATCTTTATCGTGCCTTAATAGGTAGTCAAATTGATTTTCTTTTAACAAAAAAACATTCATCAGATTTACAAAGCACATGTAATTGAAACTGAAGTTGTTCTGAATCCATTGGTAGCCTTTGATATAACTCCTTGTAGTTTTAGTTTGTGAGTAAAGTAATTCCTGTAACATACTATATTTAGTAATTAGTCACTAGGGGTTGCTCACTTTTTCCCATAGGAATACATTATAACATGTCTTGTACAATGGAAAAAGCAACAGCTTATCATTTTTATTCCTGAATTTATATTGTAACAGTCCAGAATGTGTGTATCAAGAATCACTAAGATCAAAAATATATTTTTCATATTTTGACCAATCTGAGAAAATTCAATGGATTTGTGTTCAGCACAGCTAGTACTTTAAGTGTTGTAAAGGATAATATAAAATGACACTGTGGATATTGATGGCAGATCAGTCTTGTCTGATCCATTTGATAAGCTCATGTGTACTGGATCGGTGCATCCTTTTCTCCAGCTCTCCAGGTTGTTGGTCTCTCTAATAAAGTCACCCAGTAGGAAGGAAAGCTCTTGGGTATGAATGTATATATTTGTACAACTTGCATATTCTACTAAGAGGAACATGCTAAACAATCAAACAACTAATCTGCATCAGTCTTAATTTTGTTTAATTTTAGATGATAATTATCATCAGCTCCATTTTTTCAATAATGGAAATTAGATAACTAAATAAAAACAAATGTATGAATAAAAAATAAATATAAATGAGAAGAAAATGTTAGTGAGGACGATATCCAATCACAGCTAATCTCTTTGTGTGGTAGGGAGGTTAGATGCACACAGCTGGATAGAACTGATCTACAAATGCACTTGCTGCAAAAACTGTACAGAAATGTCAACGCTGGGAGAAAGAGAAGAACGGGCCAATGGATACATTTCACATTTGATGATCAAGGAAACCAAGACCCGTGGCATTTTAGTTAAAATAGTATGAATAAAATCAGAATTAGCACTGATCTACCATACTGACAATTACAACTCACAGGAAATTAGGAAAATTATTGAAACTGTGTTAAACTGCAACTATTAACAACCAAAAATCTAAATTTCTTCAACTGTTTTCCCCCACTGTGTAGTGCCAGGCTGTGTTAAAAAAAATATTCAACCACTGCCTACTTCCCATGTAACAGAAGTGACCCTATTGAGAGTGCATTGTGGTATTGTTAGAAGAAAGTAATCTACATGCAACGGACACTATTTTATTTATATTTTTTTCAATTGTGGGAATTTTTAAGGATACTGATACAGACCATAATATTTACACTCAGAATTCACACACTCAAATGAAAAGGCAGATGTTATATTACACTACATAGTAAATAGAGGGTGATTTCAGACGCAGAATGTGAGCGACTCCTACTTAGGGGTTGGGTCTGTACAGACACCTCTAGACGTTAAGTTACAATGAGGATCGGACAAACCAGTCCCCGATGCTCAGTTATAGGGACTGATGCTGGATGTGTTCCCATTCAATGGTTCCAATATTTCCAGCTTGGCCAGGACCAAAACTCTGCTTGTGATTGAGAGAGCCTTTACAAGATCTGAAGCTTGTTCACTCAGTGTGTTCCAAAATAAATTTTTCCACCCTGGTTCACACCAAACAAAAAAGCACCTAGGTGTGATCACACCCTGAAGTGGCTGATTATGTTGCTGTCTTTGTGTCTGCTCACTTGTAGTCCTGTTTGCCGTGTGTGAAGAGGTCCTGACTGTCTGCCTCAGTGGCCGTGATGTCCAGAGATGCGTCCATCCCTCCACCGCTTGTTAGCGCCCCCTGCAGGCTGGCGCTGTACTGCTGCAGGCGGCGCCACAGCTCGTTGTAAAGTCGCAACAGCTTTGGATACTCACCTTCAAATGCCTGCTTCAGGAAGGACGAGGCTAAAGAGAAAAAAAAGACACAGGCTGAGGCACTGAGGAAACGGGTGGGCAAAGCCAAAAATAAAAACTCAGTTCAGGGTTTTAGGACTCATTCCTGCAGCACTCTATAATGGTCAGGGACTTAGAAAAAAAGGGCTGCCTTGACTCCAGTCTCTATTAGTGAGGTAACATGCATACTATACTTTCTTTTCTTATGAATGAGCTAGTTTTAGGACCTATACTCATTTTTTTCAATTGTTGCAGCTTTGTTGGTTTTATCAGTCTTTCATTTAATGCAGGCTGTTCGCTCAGCTTCTTCTGCTTAATTATTATAAATCTAATTTTTAAAATGGTATCAAGAAAACGGTACAGTATGGGCGCACTGGGAGGGGAGAAACATGGCTGGAAATAAGTGAGAAGTGGACAGAACATTTCTTCCCAGAAGATCTGACAGTACATTCTACAGTGATGGAGATAGAGAAAGGTGAGAAAGAGAAAAGGAAAGACGTTTGCTTTAGCTTTTTTGGTTCTACCACACGCTTCTTATTGTATATAATAACTTTCTAACCTATAATAAATTATTGATCTCTGACTGCTGTGGTGACACTTTTATTTCCTCATGTAGGTTCAATGACATGTAACCTATCCTATAATAGGTGGGGATATAATAAAGACTAGAGGAATAAAGGCAAGTGAAGCTAGAGGAGGTTGGCATGAGAAAGACTGACAGACAGACAGACACACAGACAGACACACAGACAGAAAGGGAATAATGATATCATTATATCCACATCCAGCAGCAAGGGAAGATGGAGGAGCTAGAAAGAGGAAAAAGGTAACAAGGGGAGCTTTGATATAAGGCGATGACGAGTCAGAGAGCAGGCTTGATGTTGGAAGCAAACCTTCATAGTCACTCGGCAAGTGGTCATTATACATAAAAACAGAACACCTCCCTTACATGCGTGGGCTACAGAAAAATGCCACCTAGAAGTAATTCCTCCTCCTTTCAGGAAAAATGTCATTCTCATTGTGTATTCTCATGTATAAAATTAGGACAGAGGCTATTCTGTGTTTTTCTTACAGTCAACAAATCCCATGATAAGACCAAAACCAGCAATGTGTTAGCCTTTTTAATGGGGAACTCCACCATACATTAAACATTTAGTAAATGATGGTCCCATTGAGAAGAAAACAGACAATAAAGCATGATGTGTTTTAGGGCGTGGCTACCTTGTGATTGACAGGTCATTCTCAGTGAGTCCATCCAGCTCAACGCTCCAAACTCCGATCAAACGGTCAAACTAGGCAGTGCTGATCAAATATGGATCAAGATTCTGTTATTGTGTTGACCGTTTCTCCCTTCCCTTGTGAAATATTTTCATATTTAGTGTACTGATATGAGACGTGTGTTACCAGGTGAGTCGTCATTTTAGCCAGCTTAAAAACGGAGTGACAACCAACTTGCAGTAACCACCAGTAGTAGTATCACCCACCAGCTCCACGCTCTCATCCAGTTATGGCGACAGCTATATTGCCGAACTTGAGGCTTCAAAATGGTTGTCCACAAACCAATGAGTGGCATCACAGTGGGTTTACACTTGGCTGAGGAGTACTACTGCATATGTAAAGAAAACTGTATAAAACCCTTAGTGTCTCCTGAGGGAGCTGTGTGAAGTCTGATAGATGTCCTCAAGTGATGTCACTTGAGTCAGCGTCGGTTGGGGCCAAAAACTACACTAGCTTGTGGCTAGCCACGACACACCTGCTGAATCTCTGACCATGATAGAGATGCATTGTGGGCAATGTAGAAGCCAGGTTTCTGCTGTATCAATCTTGATCCTTTTTTGATCCTCCAGTGTAACAGGAGTACAATGCTAAACTGGTGGAGCACCCATTGCCTATTCGGGATGTAAATCATATAAAAATGGCTCATGAATACATACTTTCATTATTTTAAAAAGGCTTAAAAAAAACCCATTACTAAAGCAGTGTGAAATAGTGCATTTGTAGCAGACTATTTTTAGCAGCAGTTTAATCTAGTTCGTATTTGAAGCCGTAGGTGTGTGGGACTGAGACAAAATAAACTACAGTGTGTGTGTTAATTGTAATGATGTCAACAAGTGCAACAGTGTGGCTCATTCATGTGTTTCTAACAGTTTTTGGACAACAATGGAGCTCTATGGCACAGAGGAATAAGATATATCAGGCTTTGGATACACACAGTACTAGTTAGCAGATACATTTAGTGTTCTAATATCATCAGCCTCATCATTTAATCTACCATAACAAAGAATGAAAAGAAAAGCGGGAGAACAACAAGAAAAGGGAAACTAAGGCTTATACAAACGTGCCTCCATATTACTCATTAACAAGCACCTCACTCCTCCTTATTTATTTTTGTTCCAGAATATCTTCTCACACACACACGCACGCACGCACACGAGAGAAACTGCAGGTTTTTCAGTAAAGTGCGAGTGTGAAGCCAAGTATGTTAGAGAGGAGCCAAATCCGCCTCTCCTGTTCTCACTTTGTTATTCCCTGTAATCAGACAACTCTCTACTGAAACGCCTCCATGTGATCTCCATGTGTATGTGTGTGTGAGGTGTTATTGTTAGAATAATTAAGCTTTTTTTTTTTTTTTTTGAGTCCTTTCATTTCATTTATTGCTTTATTTCACAACTGACTACATACAGAAAGACTCTGGTGAGGAGAGGAACAAGAGAGAGATGATAAGGGAGGTGAAACAACAATCAGCTCCCATTTACAACCAGGTCCAAAATTTTCAATTCCTGAGAAACACTTGAAAAGGATCAATTCCTCTTATTGATGCTTGTGTACTGCAATCACTGACAAAACCTTGAACTGAATACACTCCACGTTTGTTTGCATGTTGGACTTCATAGCAGAAAGGAGAAAGATGTTGGAATGCGTGGATGCAAAATCACCAATATCTCTCAACAACTGTATCTCTCCAAGGCAGTGCAAGAGCCTCTATGAGCTCCCCTTAGATTCACACAGGCAGCCTCAGCAGATACTTTCATTTTGTGAGTAGGAAGACGTATAAATACTCTTCAGTTTAATCTATTTTAGATCCTTATTAATCAGACTTAGTTAGCTCCAGGGCTTCAGTTATTTGTGGTCAATATTGGCATTTTTAAAAATATTTTTATATATATATTTATTTTTTTGTTCTCATTAAAATCAACTATTTAAACTTGAGATGTTTCCTATATGTATTTAAAAGTGTATTCTTTTTGTTAAATAAGACTAGATTAGTAGTTCTCAACCAGGCATCCATACCATCATCACAGGGTGTGGGAGAACATTACTGAAATGAACATTTGTGTACATACATTATTTCTCATTGGCCCCGTTTATATGGCATACCATGAGTCTTGGGTGGTCTGATCACAAGTTGAAAGTTCTACCTACGTCAGTTCACATCGGGCATTAGAATGCGTCTCTACATCGTTCTAGAGTTCCCAGGTCTATATGCAAATAAACACGGACATAATTTCCTTTGCAAAGACCAACTGTATTGTTGTTTTAACCCCCGGCCAAACAGTAATAGCCAAGTTCCTCCTCACTCAACAACTTTTAAAATTATGCATTTTTCTTAAGGGAGCCTGGGCTTATTAGTTTAATGGTGAAAACAGCAGAAACAACTCACAAACAGTTGCTTATCTTGGTAGCACGCAATTTGCATTACAATGGACCAAATGGAAATCAGACAGCGTGTTTAACCCTAACCCTAACCAATCAGTTGAGAAGCCCAGGACATATTCACATACACACTGTTAAAAGACACATTTGAGACAACTGAAGAACTCAACTATAACAGTGGTAAACTCAACACAGCTATTCAGCATTTCTTCACTAAAGTTCCAAAATCCATTAAAATAATCTCACAAATACCACATCTTCAAACAGCCTCTATCTCAGCAGCCACATTTTGTGATATTTTGTTCATCTGATTTCAGCCTCACCCATTCCGAGTGCAGATACGAATACAGACAATGAAGTTGGTTGGTAATCGGTAATCAGGTAAATTACACTAAAATCAAGTATTGGAGGAAGAAATATGAAAAAAGCAGATTGACCGAGCTATGGAATCGTACATGCCTGACAGTTATTATTATTAATGACTTTATCATGAACAGTCCTGAGTTTAAAGAGTGTGGGGATCCTGTGAGGAGACTAGCTATAACCTGCCAGAGTTTTTTTAGGTGGAGAAATTGTTGCTAACAACATATCAAACATTGTGAAAGCAGCTGACTGGGGCTCGGTGTTGAACAGGTTATATCAGGCTACGTCACGCTACAGGTGTAACTTTGCCAGCGAGCTGGTCTTGCAAGATTAGGAAATCATGCAACAATCCATCTTGCCAAGCTTCAAGCTTCGCACTTGTTATATGGTTACAAGTATATGACTAAGTTATATGGTGTGTTGATCTGATTGGTTGAAGTTCGCCGTGATAGACAGATAGTTGATCCAATCACCTGCCAAGTATATTTCAAAACATCTAGCGCAGTCTGGTTAGGTGAGCTGTGTATTAGTTTCAGTTTTTATCATTTTTTAAATACACACTGGAAAACATTGTCTTCTAAACAACTAGTAACTAAAAACGACTTGGCTGATTATTCTTAAATTTAGTGTTCCAATGATCATGGCATGTTGATGCAATTGCAAGCAGTGACTTAATACAAAGCAAGGTTGTACCACCGGCATACGCTGATTCAGTGCTCCATGAACAACAGGCTGTTTATTACTTGCAGCCCCATTGATTCCCTGCTGTTAACTGTGCTCTTGTTACAGCCCGATGATTATGGCTCACTAAATGAAGCCTCCCACTAGTCGGTAGTGCTGCTGGTGGTGAAGCAGCTAGCTTTAGATTTATGCTCTTTGAGTAATTCATTTTTGCCCTGAATGAGCAGTTCTCATAATTAAACTGGCAGTTGTCGTGGAGACCAAGGGGAAGGAAAAGGATCCGGCTCACCTTCAGTTGCTCTGTGAAACTCCTCACTAAGTGTGTTGGTTACGTCATTCCAGAAGGTGTAGAGGATATCAGGCTGACCATCCTGTCATCAAGTGGAAAGAAGAGAAACACACTGATTAGTGGATGTTCTTCAAACACCTTCTCACTCTTACCACCTTTTTCCTGATCAGCCATTGCTAATTGTCTGATTGCCTATTTAAGTTTCTAAAATTACACTGCAAGTTGTCCTGATGATGGCTCTGAACATTCACTTTTTCGTTTCACACCTTTAACCTTTTGAAAATGTAAACTGATCCTGTTTGTTCCTGTTCTTGTATGTTCCGATGTGATGAGGCTGTTTACCCATCTGTTGGATACACACACCTGTTAGTACTGCTTGAGAATCCTCATATTCACATATTGACAAGAGACTTGAGCGTGGCCTAATTTCCTCCATTCTGTGCGGACGCTGAAGTCCTACTGTCTTTCAGAGGTTGTAGCAGTTGTAGCATGGTTGTAGCAGTAACTATGTAAAGGGTGTTGGGATGGAGGCTAAATAACAAAAAAAAGTTAGGATACATTTTGGCGATGGAAAAACTAGCATGGCTATTCTCAAAGGAGTCCCTTGACCTCTGACCTTAAGCTATCTGAATTAAAATTATTTTAGTGGGTACCCATGAGTCTCCCCTTCACAGCCTTTACGCTAATGTCATGGAGTTTTTGGCAACTGTTTTCCCTAATGTACTTGAGTATTTCTGTATACTGGGGTCCACAAACAGTATTAGAATTGCATAAATTGGGTATGACCGGAAAGCTGCTTCTCTTGTGGAGTTGTCAGTGCCCATAATAGCCATTTTATTGGAGTGAGACCATTTCATTGTATAAAATGACCTATTGTGAATGCTAGGATAATCATAGCCTCATGAAACTGTACAACCAGAAACTACAGATCAAAAGCATCCAGAGGATATGTGACAAGCTTAGGTATATTGACAATAAGGTGCTTTCTGGGCAATTTCCAGAACAGAAGTGCTCACCATCCAACCGAAAAAAAATGCAATTGGTGTTCCTCAAGGTCTTGGTGTCCTTATGTGGTATTTTGGGGGATTTTATGACTTTTTTAAAATCACTTTTTGACTTATGACACATAATTGAGCATAGAAATGGCTATCATATACTTTATCATAATGCTCTAAGCCCTTATATACCATACACACCCCTCCCCAACCCAAAGAAAATGGGATTACTGTTGGGAGGGGTGGAGTGGAAGAGGTTATTACTCAAGACTGAATGAACTACAGAGATATGGATGAGTTAAGTTAAGATAGCCGTATCAGCAGAGAAGCCTAGTCTTTTGGTGTTATTGTTTGAAACAATTCTGTTGTAAAATAAACTGAAGGCTCAAGGTGGTAGCTGCACTCCAAAGCAACAAAGAAATTATTTATTATTTGACTATAATACAGCAATAATAGCTAGAGTGAACTGGAGCAAAACTGTTCTGTGTAACTAGTAATAATGGAGGAAAAGAGCAGTAAGTGCTGTCACACTGGCAAGGACACCAATACACACTCACAGTTCAACACACAGGCCCTGACTAAGGAAAGTGCTTTAATTATCTAATGGGATTGGACATGCGTGTCTGTATAGTCTCCCCTAATCCTCCATTAGAGAAGCCTGGTGCAGGTCTGCTGTCCAGCTGTCTGGCCTCTCCTCCCCACTTCCTCCACTTTGTGCACCTTCACTGTTACCTTTGTCTCTCAGTTCTTCTTTCTTAATGAACCAACTGCATGTGAGTAGAACAGAAGAAGAACAGAAATAGCAGATACTGTATACTAGCTTGGTCTGTGACCCTTAGCTTCCAGTGAAGGGAACTCATAGTCCTAGAGTATATAATGACATTTTAGACAACAGTGTGCTTCTAACTGTGTGGCAGCAGTCTGTGTTTTTCCCTTTCCTGTTTCAACATGACAATGCCCACGTTGGCACAAAACCAGCTACATAAAGAAATTGTTTTCCCAGTTTGGTGTGAAAGAATTTGACACACCTAGACAGAGCCCTCCACCCAATCCAACACCTTTAGGATGAACTGGAACGCCGACTGCGAGCCAAACCCTATCACCCAAGTGTTCAGTGTTGGACCTCACAAATGCTCTTCTGGCTGAATGGAAGCAAATCCATGCAATCACACTGCCTTTGTTTGCAGGGAGTGTGCGTGGCGAAACGTCTTGCTTTTTATTTGGACGCCCATGTTAACATATTACATCAGCCACACTGCCTGCACGAGCTGTGTGTCGCAGCTGCAGCAGCGCTTCACTACAGTGTCCAGTTCTCCTTTTTTTCCGCGAGCTGTTGCAAATACAGACAATGAAAAGGGTCTGTTCATAGTAATTTTGACATTATACCAACAACATACACACTTTTCACTACAGTTTTAATTAGTAAAGCTAATAGAACGAGATGCTTCAATCCCTTTAGAAGGAAACACTTGACAGTAGCAGTTGGTGTGGAGTGGTGAAAAGGAGGGTAAGCTATGTCATTGGGGTCATCAGGTGGGCACCCTGCTTCAATTGAAGCCCACAACGTCTCCAGAAGGCTCAACGGTGTACCCAGCGTCCCAGGTACACCCCCCTCCATGCCATACCCTCCATATCCCTAATGGGCTCTGCATGGCAGGGTCATCCTTCTCCCTGAGTCGGGCCTAAGCCTGACCGCATAACATCTGTCTCTGCCCAGTTGGGGTCCTTACGCTTGATCCAGAGCCAGTTACTGCTTTTTTCAGCAGCACTTGACATGGACTGGATGGCCTGTTGGAGAGAGCGACCCTTCACCCCTATTTTTCTCAGCAGACTGGTGGTAGATGTCGCAACAAATCCCCTGCATCCCACCTCTACTGGAAGATGTTGGTCTTCCAGCCGTTCTGGGATGCTTCAGCTGCCAGATCGGAATATTTGTTCTTTTTCCTCTCATAAGCCTCTTCAACCCCATCTTCCCATGGTACTGTTAATTCCACAACATATGCCAGTTTTGTTGTTGGAGACCACAGGACCATGTCTGGCCGGAGTGTCGTAGCTACTATTTCTGGGGGAAACACAAGCTTCTTATCAAGGTCCACTTCCAATTTCCAATCACGCGCTGATTGCAGGATGCTTGTATCCTTAGGTGTTGTGTAATTAATTAATTGTCTATATCTGTAAAATATAAATGTACCTGTATCTGTTTGAAAGTAAATGCTCTCCCGCACTTGAAGGGACTTCAGACTCCAGGAGCAGAAGGGGTGGGTCTTACTTACTGTTAAAATGATCAGATTGTGGCAGCAGCAATGCTCTATTTGAGCATGTTAATAGTCTGGTAGAGCGTTTTGTACCAGCAAAAGAAGAGAGTCACAATAATACAACCTGGAGCAAATAAAGTATGAATGATCTCCTTTCAATGGCTTTCAAAAGCAGAAGAGTTTGTTTTTCTCTCCCTGTAGAGTGTAGAGTGGGTGGTGGGTTAATTGCTATCGTGAAGAAACCATGATTGAGGGAGGACAAAACAAGTGATCCCAGGTTTCAGGAAAAAAAAGGTGCAAGAGAGCGTACTAACCTGTGTAACTACGCAGAAAAAAGCCCTGGGGATAGGTATAACAGCTACCCTGAATATACTGAATGTGAGGGTTTGTGCGTTTACGCCACAGCTCATTTGTCACAATCCACATATCAGGTGTCTGAATGCTTCTCTTTCTTTCCTTCTCATCTGTTTTAATACATTTATTTTGACACAGCTACTCCACATTAAGATGTAACTGCTGACAGCATCATTTCACTGTGGACACATGGCACTCTGGCACTCTGGTCCATGACAGTGAAGAGTGATAGTGCAGCTGTTCTGCCGAGGAGCCTTGCATTTAGACATGTCATTAGGTCTCCAACTCACACCTCCATCTCTGGGTAATTGGTGAGAGCTTTGTTTCCATAGTAACAGTCTCCTGCTCTGATTTGTATATCTAGGTTTCTGTGGAGGTAAGAGAGTGAGACACTGATGATGGTCATAATAATGTGTTAATGGCTGCCATGATAACTATTGATTAGGGGTGCACGATAATTATAAAGGAAGTTATTACGTCATTCCGATAAGTCCGATATCATGACGAATAGCCCCGATAACATATATAATTTTGTCAGCACGGCAGTGCCCCGCTCTCACTAAGAGACCTGAATGGCCTGCAGTGAATGCTGTGTTCAAGTGACATTGGCATAATCAGAAAAACTCTTTCTGCCTGGAAAAATTCAAGAATACCCCCTAATGTCGGAAAAAAAACTTGGTCATAATTTTGGTAGTTGCTGACTTGAATTGATATCCACAGTATTTTTCCACATTTTCCACATAAACAATAGAAACACAAACTAAACAAGGCCGAAAGAACGACTACCAAATGTGGGAACAGGGAATTTCAGTTACACTGTGAATGCAGCACAGCGTGCTTTGAAAACAGACAACACGGCGTCGATTGTGTGGGACTTTTACAAAGTTTCTGAAGAAGACAGGTCGCTTGTTATTTGTAACAAACTAGTGCAGTGCCCGTAGGATGTATGTATTGCTATAGAAAAGTGGGAGGTTAAGTAGCTTTTTCATGGATGGCCAAATGAGGTTGTGTTTGAAGGTGTAGCAGCTAGCTACAGACGAACATCCACAGATTCCGATTCCAGTTTGTTGTCCTCGCGTATCCGGATCTCCTCAGACCGGAACAGACTCGGTCCTGACTCGTTCAGTGTCAGTAATCCACAACAGTCAGTTTAGATGCACAGAACGCGACCGAACAGCCGGCAAAACCCGCTGCAGGTATAAAGCCGCTCACGCCGCTGCAGGTATAACGTTGGATCAGCGTGTTTCTTAAGGTGTGTTGTGGGGGTGGGCTCTGCAGTGATTGGCTCTGGTGCGCACATGGCTATGGTGGCTATGGTTGACAATGCTAGCGGAATTTTCTCTCTCTCTCTCTCTCTCTCTCTCTCTCTCTCTCGATCAAACAACTGAACCTCATTTACTTTAGTGAAAAGGTATTCATTTGAATGGAACCATAAGCCAAAATCATTTCAACTTAATTTTTGTTACTATGGAATGCACTTTTTCAGTTTGTTTACACAGACAAGTGTAACTTGTGTCAGTGCATTATGCACATTTTATTTATTGTTATTGTTGTAATGCACTTTTTCAGATTGTGTTTACATAAAAGTGTTTAAATCTAACTTGTGTCAGTGCATCAATTTTCCATATATATTTATTTTTTTGAATTTCTGGAATACACTTTTTCGGTTTGTAATCCCGCTGCATGTATTTGCATCAGTTCAAGGGGCCTTTATTTATTAATTTTTTTGAGAGGCTAACCAATAGTTTTTCATTGGAAAAAATAAATATCAACATTTACATTTAAACATTTAAAAACAAAAGTGTTTTGGGGTTTGTTCATTGTATTAATGTCATGATCTTAGGTCATGATCATATATATTATGTTTATGTGTGTATGTTATCGGTTATCGGTATCGGTATCGGCCTTTAGGAGCTGAAAGTTATCGGTTATCGGTATCGGTTTTTAAAAAAAGTTATCGTGCATCCCTACTATTCATACTACTACCGGATTTACGTGACCGGGTCCAGAGGGCCGCTAGCCCGCTGTTCTTGTTGCCAGGTTGCTGCAAGGTTCTTTCTTTACTTGCCTTTTGGCTGTCTTCTCAATAGAACTATCTTCCCATTCACAAAAAGTATAACATTTAACAAAACTGTAAAACTAATTTTATAATCTTTACATATTTCATCACAAATTGCTTTACATTACCTATTAGACCAGGTTCAGAGTTTTTCAAGTTTATCTTAATACAATATTCCCATATCTTTAAACACTGAAAGAACTGGTCACTGTAATCATTCCTCCTGTCCACCATATTTGTAAACTGAACCCTTTATTGTGCAATTCAAAGTTACAGTATTTGGGACGGTATCCCCTTTTGTGTTTCCTTAAAGTTGCAACACCAAGAGGGGATTTCCGACTTAGTTTTGTATTTAGATTTTGTGATAAATGATCAAAATTGGAAATTCTTTTTTTTCTCTTTTCTCTCTCTTTTTTAGAAGGGTATTTCAGCAGTTTAGACCTGCTAGCCAATAATGTTGGACGCACAACTGATGGAGGAACAAAAGCATCAAATTCAATGCAGAAGAACCAGAGCTATCTTTTTTATTGCATTCCTTCTTCCTTCCTTCAAAACCTCCTGCCTACAGTACTGTACACACAATTCAACTCCACAGTGGCTAATGTAGCCTGCAGCAGAGATGGGGAGTAGCTACAGAGATCTGGTAAGCTCACTTCTTTTAACTTCAAAATTTTTTTACTTTCAAACTTGTAGACCTCAGACCCAACCAACACTGACAAAGTGAAATCCCTAAAGGACATTCATCAGTCTTCAAACAGCTCCCTCTGGAGACATTTTTTTAAAAAATGTAATTAAATCAGTTAATACTAAAAGCTGTTGATCTTGTTTATGCAACCATGTACACATTTAACCTTTTAAAACTTTGGCTGTTAAGTGTGATAAATTTGCACCACTAAAGTACAATACCAAATAAGAGGGGTCTTGCATTCTTATCCCATCGTGTGGCCCTGTGTCTATTATTTTAGTTGAAATTGTTCTTAAATGGTTTATTACTAAACAAAGTTGTGTTTCATCAAATGAATGCATGCTCCTGCCATTCAGTAGTGGTCTGGTGTAATGCGTACTTGACTGAGAAAGCATGTGAGGATATTTTATGTTGCTTGTGAGAAACAGGACAATTCATTGATACTAAAACTTGATTTTCTATTTTTTTTTAATTATCTAAATGGCCACATTGAAAATATTTTTTTTTTTATTATGAGCTGTAATTACTTCTACTACACCCAAAGCAGAGCAGTGGTTCTCACCCACCTTGATAATCTCATCGATGAAGCACACGTGAGTGACAGGGTCTCTCTTCTTCATCAGGACCTTCTGCAGATGTTGCACCTGGAAAAAAATACAGCAAAGAAAACTTCATACCTTATTCATCAGTCCTGCTGACTGCCTCACTCGGTTTCTGTTTTTAATGTCTTATTCAATGCTCTGCACAGGTTGTCATTGGTCTCAGGTAGCCACGTACCTGTCTGCACGCAGCGCATATCTGGTCCATCAGTTTCTCCAGGTTGGTCCACAGAGCAGCACGGAAAGCCGCGGTGTTGCCTGGTGTTGGCAGCACCGCTCTGCCTGGTGCACCTGGGGGGAGAAATTCACTACATGTGTGGGTTGTGTTTGTTTGGTGATAAAATGGGATGAAGGTACTGGTTTCACAGGAATCATGTAAGAAAAAAAGACAACACAGAACAGACATGTCTCGCCATGGCAACAGCTCAATATATGCAGCGGCCAGTAGCTCATTAGAACTATTGCTACATTTTTCTTTTAATCTGTATCGTTTTCGGCTTTACTGCTGAAAACATCATTGAATGATATCTGATTGGATTCAGTTTTAAAGGGCTAAGCCAAAATTGTTCAGATCGACTGGATCAGGAGATTTTGACTATAGCAAGGGCTTAGTATTCAGCTCCTTCAAACTTCTCTGTTGTTTTAATCTGCTCTTAGCTTTATTGCTCAAACACATATTACCTATGACAGAAATAGCCTACAGTCATTGGAAAAGTAAGTGTGGGCTTTGGATTAAAGAGCAGCGGACCTTGAGGACAATCCACCCAGCCAGACCGGTGACTGCTGTGGTCGCCCCAGGAGGAGAGGAAGAGAGGCGGGATAGGAGCCAAGCTGGACCAGCTTGGACTTAAGGCTGCTCCTGGCTAATGTCCGGTGTGCACAAAATGGGATTCAGGTTGGCCAAACAACAGGAAATCAGAAACTGTTGCGCCCACATCTTAACAGAGACCTGCTCCATCAACATCCAGAAGAAGGCAGTCATAAATAACGTTATATTATCAACACTATGTTGTTGCTGCTGTTTACATTTAAAACAGATGCAAATTCAAAAGGTGCACTGTAGAATTCTCTGCTGGGTATGTATATGTATATAAATAACGGTGTATATTGTTATACATGTATGTTATTCTAATATAAATTTCATTATCTGTTGTGTAAGATGAAGGAACTGCAAACTTTCATTTTGTTATACAACACAAGGCTGTATAATGACAAATACATTTCCTTTATCCTTGAAGAATCCTTAGCCTAATCAGCGCTGGTTAAGTAGTGTGCATTAATTAGAACGATGATGTGGCCACTACATCAGCGCCATGAAAATAACACACGCCCTTCAGCCAAACTATTCTCTGTGGACATGGTATAATAATCTATTTTGGATCAAGTTAACTCATGAACTAGGTCATATCATAAAACGCTATTGTCTCTCATCTTTTAGAAATGAGGACAATGTATCCAATGTGTTTCCGTGTGCGTATGAGCAAAACTTCTTCATGAACCACATCCTCCTTGGGTCTTACCTCTGGGATTGGCTGGCTGTGTCAGGCCCTTGATGTCCAGAGCTCTGGTGATGTTGTCCTGAATGGTGGTCCTGTAACCCCCCACTACAGAGCTGATGGTCTCTCTTAGACTGCCCAGGTTATAGAAGACCTGCAGGGCCGTGCCGACCTGAGTGGGATTCTGACCAACAAAAGAAGACACAGGGAGAGAGGAAGAAGTGAAGTTGGCAGTCGTCCATGGTTCTGTTTTTAACAGAATGAAATCAACTTAATGGGTCTGGTAGTTTCACACACAAACACTCAGTGTGCCAGCGAGTACAGAGGTGACAGCAGCAGCTAAAAATACACCTTACATTGATTTAATGAGAGAGAGCTGTGAAAATGTAGCAAGGCAAAGTCAAGACAAGAAAAACTAGAGAAGTGTAGGGGAGAGGAGAGGCGAGGAGAAGAACAGAGAGGTCAAAAAGATAAATATCACCATTGCAGTTTATCTACACTGTATATGCACAATTTCTCGAAAGAGGAAAAAGTGAGATTGACGATTTTTCTAATGAGGCCCATACACTGTAGCATGAAACTGATTGTGCCATTAGAGGATCTAACTCTTGAAAGAAGTGTGAATTCAGCTGTTACAGTCTGTGTTATAGTGAAGATTGTTGTTTAGAGCTGAAAATAGAAGAAACTATTTGAATGCATCACCTTGGGCTCTGGGAAACTGATATAAATTGTGATATTTTCTGATTTGCATAATTGTTATACACAGAGTTGGTGTTGTTCTACACAATGAAATAGTAGGTTGTGTGTCTTTTCTTCCTTGGGAGAATTATGCATTTCACTGCTGTATTCCATACCTCTAAGTTTTACTCAAATAAAAGACAAGGTAAGCAGACTGTAGCATTAGAGCTGTTAGTAGGTGAATTTTTTAAATGTGGACAGTGCCAGGTTAGCCATTTCCACCTGTTTCCAGTCTTTATGCTACCATTTGCCACCATCTGAATACAACGGGTCTGAGTTCGAACCAACCAGCGGTCCTTTGCTGTGTGTCATCCCCTCTCTCTCTACCCACCTTTCCTGTCTATCTACAGCTGTCACTATCCAATAAAAGGCCAAACTATAGCCAAAAAATATATTAGTTCAAGTTTTTGTTAAAACAGTTGCCCATTAATCTGTATATTTTGTAAATGAAATCTAGGACTTTTTAATACAGTTGTGGTCAAAAGTTTTGAGAATGACACAAATATTAATTTTCACAAAGTCTGCTGCCTCAGTTTTTATGATGGCAATTTGCATATACTCCAGAATGTTATGAAGAGTGATCAGATGAATTGCAATAGTTTCAAAATCCCTCTTTGCCATGAAAATGAACTTAATCCCCCCAAAAAAACATTTCCACTGCATTGCAGCCCTGAAACAAAAGGACCAGCTGACATCATGTCAGTGATTCTCTCGTTAACACAGGTGAGGTGCTTGAAATCATTGTTCTTCCTCTGTTAACCAGGGTTACCTGCAAGGAAACACGTGCAGTCATCATTGCTTTGCACAGAAAGGGCTTCACAGGCAAGGAAATTGCTGCTAGTAAGATTACACCTAAATCAACCATTTATATCGGATCATCAAGAACTTCAAGGAGAGAGGTTCAATTGTTGTGAAGAAAGTTTCAGGGCACCCAAGAAAGTCCAGCAAGCGCCAGGACCATCTCCTAAAGTTGATTCAGCTGCGGGATTGGGGCACCACCAGTGCAGAGCTTGCTCAGGAATGGCAGCAGGCAGGTGTGAGTGCATCTGCACGCACAGTGAGGCGAAGACTTTTGGAGGATGGCCTGGTGTCAAGAAGGGCAGCAAATAACCCACTTCTCTCCAGGAAAAACATCAGGGACAGACTGATATTCTGCAAAAGGTACAGGGATTGGACTGCTGAGGACTGGGGTAAAGTCATTTTCTATGATGAATCCCCTTTCCGATTCTTTGGGGCATCCGGAAAAAAGCTTGTCCGGAGAAGAAAAGGTGAGTGCTACCATCAGCCCTGTGTCATGCCTACAGTAAAGCATCCTGAGACCATTCATGTGTGGGGTTGCTTCTCAGCCAAGGGAGTGGGCTCACTCACAATTTTGCTTAAGAACACAGCCATGAATAAAGAATGGTACCAAAACATCCTCTGAGAACAACTTCTCCCAACCATCCAAGAACAGTTTGGTGACAACCAATACCTTTTCCAGCATGATGGAGCACCTTGCCATAAGGCACTAAGTGGCTCGACATCGACGTTTTGGGTCCATGGCCAGGAAACTCCCCAGACCTTGATCCCATTGAGAACTTGTGGTCAATCCTCAAGAAGCGGGTGGACAAACAAAACCCCACAAATTCTGACAAACTCTAGGCATTGATTATGCAAGAATGAGCTGCCATCAGTCAGGATGTGGCCGAGAAGTTAATTGACAGCATGCCATGGCGAACTGCAGAGGTGTTGCAAAAACTTAATGTAATTGTCAATAAAAGCCTTTGACACTTGTAAATGCTTGTAATTATACTTCAATGTTTTTAGATCTTTTTGTCAGGTGTTACTATGGTACACTGAAGTAGCAAACTTTGTGCAAAGATCTTTTTTGAGGGATATAATTATAATGCTTCTGAAGACTTTTTAAGGTCTGTGTGTGATTTATAAACTGGAAAAACACGGTGGTGTTTGGAAAACGTCATAGTCCTGTTAAACTATACAACAAAATAATTTTCAGAATAGACCTGAGGCAAAAAAACTCAAATTTTAACAGTCAATTTAGATTCCCAATAGTCACTTTGTACAGCTGCTCATTTAAAGGAAGTTTGGAGAGGCAGTGGGTCATGTCATCTGTATACTCCAGAGTTACTGATTGGGGCAACTTTTAGGCACTGGAGTTCAATTGATTTAATTTTATTTTTTTTAAATCTTGTAGTGGAGAGGAGAGAAGGAGTTTTTCTACGTGGGTCAGTTGAGCTCCTACTCAACAGATGGGCTACAGGGTCTCTGCTGGCACAATCAGAGTGCTGAGGTGAAACAAGCTCCCACACAGCCCAGGCAGCATGTCCAACTGCTTACATAACATTCACAATAAACAACTTCTAGGGCTGATATAAGAAGCTGCCGCTATGTGTGTATACAGTGTGTGTGTGTGTGTGTGTGTGTGTGTGTGTGTGTGTGTGTGTGTGTGTGTGTGTGTGTGTGTGTGTGTGTGTGTGTGTGTGTGTGTGTGTGTGTGTGTCTGTATGTCTCTAGAGCCCCATATGTCCACACACACATAACAAAGTGACAGAAGTTGTTAGCCAAGGCTACTCCAGCAGTAGTCAGGATAAAAATACCTCTACTGAGGGTGGAATACACAGGGGAGAGAGGGGTGTGTGTGTGTGTGTGTTTGTGTAATTCTGTCAAAGAAAGAAAGAAAGGGAGAGTTCATGTTTCTAAATTTGGAAAAACAGCTTGTTGTCTAGACGTAGGAGTGAAAACCAGTAGCTAAGAGTTTGGAGAGAACTTTAAAGTCAGAATATCTTCACACTCTGCCAGCAGCTTCCGACACACCTGTTTACCTCTCTTTGCCTTCACACACACACACACAAACACAAATCCACAAATTGTCCAGTGTGTAAAATTTAGGAGGATCTATAGGCAAATTAGAGTCCCTGCAGGTTCATTTTCACTCAAGTGGTTGGCTGAAAAACATGTCAAACCACAAGCATAGTGGTCATTCATTTTTTTATTAAATAATCATTTTACTCTGTCTGCCCTAAGACATAAGACCCAACAGCAGTTTCAATGAGGAATTTACCTTGTGACAGACTGTCACAACATTCTCACATGAATCTTTCTGAAATGCAATGTTTTTGTAATTCTATCATAATTGTCACTTTTAAAATGTCACAAAAAAGGAATCGCATGAGGCAATATAACAATTTTTACAACAAAAAACACATTCCAAAATTATATTTAGTTTTCGTTTTATCTGTCAGAATCTTTCTTAATCCTTTACTGACCCTTCACAGACTGCTTCCATTTCTGTCTCCTCTCCTCAGGGATGTTGTCCCATAAAGGAGACATGGTCTGTGTGCTCTCTTTGTGAATGCTGAATAATCACTAGTTGCACTCCTAATAAAGTCCGAGAACTGTACATTTGAGTTTGTTTACCTCAACTGTAGACAATCAGGCCTTTAACTAAAACAGGCCAAAATACAGCAAAGAAAGGCCTTCATTCATAGTTATACCTGGTTTAATTGGTTGGGTGCAATTACTTATATTTTAGTTTAAAAAATAGCCTCCCTGTTCTGTTCCGCTCCTATTTTAATCTGCTGTTTAAGCGAAACTGATTTTACAAATCAAGTTCAGTTATCAATCATGAGGAGTACAATGTAGCATTGGTGGGGTATCGGTGTTGGTACATTTCATGTGTCTCCTGTTGGCTGGATAAGACAATTGTGCTTGCCAATTGGCTAGATATGGAGCGAGAGGACTGTTTACCCTACTCTCTTGGTGCTTGTAATGTCATCCATTCATCTAAAAAAATCAAGCTATAACTATAACCCGATTATTCACAGTACTGTTTAGATTTGGAGACAAACAGCAAAACATTTTAAGCTCATGGCGCCATCTTTTACATTGAGACTTCGGCAAATCCATAATTTACTCCTACCTTTGATCATTGGAAGGAGTAAGGGTTATATTTTATCTGGGGTACATTTGCATTGTTTCAGCAGCTTCAGGAGAAATGTGGGCAATCAAAGAAAGACTTCTTCAAATACATAGAAATGTATGCATAGAAATAGGAGAGGACATTTGGGATAGAGTATTGAAATATGTTAACACCTGTTCCCCTAATGGCAGGCACTGTCTGATACAGTTTAGTCCATAGTCAATACAATACCAGATCCACTCTTGATTATAATAGGGGCATGAGAAAACAATAAAAACCTACAAAGTGCACAATATTATCACCTGTCCTATGGTCTCCTCTGTGCAAAGAAACTCATTCTCTTGGAAAAAGAAAGATGCACCAACCTTTAACTCTTGGATTACAACACTGACACCCTCCACCTGGAGAAAATCTGACATATTCTAAAGGACAGACTGGATGAATTTGAAAAGATTTGGGGACAGATGGCTAAAAGGCACTGCATAAACAAGTCTTCATTGCTTCTAGGCTACACATTGTCAGATGCAATATCTGAACGGCCACTTATTCTGTCTTGAGGGGAGCTTTCTTAAGTATAAAAACATAGCCCTGATAATGTCATCAGGGTTAGCTTGGATGGATTCCATCACTACAACACTCTAACAGAGATACTGTTTTCATTCACTAATTCCACTTGCTTGTACTTTGACAGAAGCTAACACTGAACACTAAACTTCTTCAGCACTGGTGCTTTACATTGAGCATTTTTCCTCCCTTTAGGTAGGCTTTTAATGTGAAACATGCACACATAAACCAGCGCATATACATGAAACTGAAATGAGAGCTGTTTGACAGCATGATGAGAGGTGTAAATACAAAATGTGAGATGTCCTGTGACGTTAAGACCCAGCAGGTCGTGACATGTGCTCCTGGTCATAGAGAGAGCGAGAGAGAGAGTGCGGCATACTACCACTAGCCTAGGGCTGGGCGATATGGCTTAAAAATAAAATCTCCAATTTTTTCACACCAAACCCCATTTACGATTTTTATAGATTTTTTTGTAGACAGTTTTTTAGCGGGTGTTTGAGGGCTGCGGTCCTGTATATCTCGCAGAGAGCAACATTTCTCCCACTCGGCTGCATGCCTCTGCTTGAGGTGCTGGAATAAATTGGTCGTACTGCTACCTTTGGTTGCAACAGCTGTGGAACAAACTGTGCAGTGGGTCGTGGTTTGTTCGCTGTCGGACGCCACAAAACCAAACCAGTTCCAAACAACGATCACACTGTGCCTTTTTTGGGGACGAGCTCATCCTGGCTTTCTGCCATGTTGTGTTTATCTGTGGAGAGGCGGGGGAGGGGTCAGTGCACTCTGACCTACGGGAGCCCAAAGGGAGCGCCGGTGTTGTGGAAGTTCAAGAGAAAACCAATTTAACTAAAAATGAATCGTGTTTAACTACAAATTCAAATTAATCGATAAAATCGATTTATCGCCGAGCCCTACACTAGCCTGATCAATCTTTTTATCACTCCATGTCGAGGAAGAACAAAGCAGAACATGGCTGCACCGTGAGCACACAAACTGAAACACCACTGCAACGCTCTTCTGGACAGAAGATGTCACCATGGACACTGAACAGACTGTCACACACATGCACCAACACACTTTCTTTAATGGGACACTGTACCCTTGAGAACCAGGCTTTCTGGGGCAGATGAAGGTTAGCAGAGCTCACATGTGCTACCCCTCTTACATGTGTTTTGCACAATGACACATATACAAAGGGCTCATCTCTCTTCTACTGTTGTCCTTCTGTTTAGTTTAGAACCAACAGCTTAAAGCAACATTATGCAAGTATTCTACCTTAAAATAACAGCTTCCTCATCAATCATGTTGATGCTACACCGACTTGTAACAGGGAGAACGGTCCCTGTCATTCCCACTCGGCACTCAGATCGCCTGTTTTTGCACTATGGAACTTGGGTACAATCTCGTGCAAGAAGTGTGTAATGTTTTACAGCAGTAGTCACACACCACTACATCACTGATTTTGGGATCATATGGGGAAAAAAAAGTCTGGTTCTTCGTCTCACGTCCTCCAGCTGCTTCACCTCAACTCTTGGTGATTTACAGAGTTTCCTGATGGACAGTAAAAAAAACTAAAAACTACTCAGTTTGCCGTGCTGCCAGGATGCAAATGAACGAATCCTACAATGGCAAAGGCATGACCCGTACTACTCTACCCCTACTCTGATATTCTCACCCTAACCAATCTTACTCCTCATACCTAAACCAACAAAGGCAAAGAGTACTAGCCAATCAGAGGCAGAGTAGGGCGGGACATGGCTTCAGCATTGTAGTATTTGCAAATTGGCTACCAGGGACTGATCAGAGCAATGGGAAAGTGTTGATGTGTTACACCTCTAGCATAGGAGCTTTGGACCACCAGAAAGAGGAGGTTTTGTATGTCACTAGGGATGTCCCGATCCAATCTCAATGATCGGTATCGGCATTTTCAAGACATTTTTTTACTGATTAGTATCGTCTATGTTGAGCTTTATTGATCCGATCTGAGCGGTTTTTACTCACAAAGCTTTCATGCACGGTGCAGCCATCATCAACTCTCTCTGTTTCTTTCCTCCACTCTGCTCTGTGTGTGATAGAAAGAAGTCGAAGCCGATGGAGTTTCACAGATGTCTCTTTCCAGAGGACGGGGCAGTAACACAAGTCCAATAAGAGTAATTAATTAATGTAATCCATGCAAAGTATGTAGCGACAAGAAGCATCAGATTGGGACTTGGTATCGGCAGATACTCAATATTAAATGGCTCAGATCGGATCAGGGGGCTAAAAAACCTTGATGGGGACATCCCTAAATGTAATCATAACAAATGCATGCGTACAGCTGCCAGTATTTACAACAGCTTTGTATTATTGAACTGTAACGTCCTAACAACATTTCAACTAAACACTGGACAAAACACTATTATATCTGTTGATTAATGCAAGAGTTAATGCACCAAGATCAGAGACGCTGTAATTTCTCTGAACCATTTACTCCCTGAAAGGAGTCTATATGCCATGTTAACACCCAGGCAACAGAAATAGCAGCTGGGTGGAATGACATAGCCACTTGTGAGATTTGCTTGTCTGCTGCATGTACATGGAGCTCACTCTTATTAATATACAACGTCTTCAAAGTAAGTCACATATATTGAAGAGGTGTATATCTGCAAGAATTAATTCATTTTATTTAAATTATTTTATGTTACAGAGAATAGGAATGTATGTGCAATATGTTAAAATGTATCAGTTAATCTATGAAGTGGAAAGTCTATTTGAGAGACACATGCTTGTTTTAAGTCCTGACTAATAATGTCTTTGTGGTGGAAGGCAATAATTTTTGCTCCTGCACCAACCATGAACCTGGCATGCTTTTTTTTCTCTCTAATTATATTTTTACATGTTAACATGTTTTTCATGTTATAGAATTATATAATCAATCCTCTAATAAAAGTTGGTATTCAAATAATGGCAGAGTCTCAAATAATAGCTGGGTGGGTGTCCATCACCAAAAAATGAAGGCCAGCAGGGCTTTTAATGTGAAACATATGTGCAGGAAGTGTTAAACTGACAGTAGCTTAGGACCAAATTTAGAAAAACAAACAAAAGACTGCACCACTTCTACTATTGTGAATTTATCAAGACAGGTAAACATGGAGAAAGTGTTGCATCTACAGCAAAATAAGTAGATCAGCATACAGGTGAAGTAAATAAGATTTGAAGTGGATACTTATATATTACTAATTCCTGAAATATAAACTGTATAATAAGCTGTACAACAGGCCCAGGATAGCAAGTAGTAGTGTTTTTTGTCTGTGTGTTGTGTGTGTACCTACCTGGATCTCCATGCCCTGCTCCAACAGTCTCTTGGCCTGGTTCTCCACCTCCAGCCTGGCTCTGCTGATTAGCAGCAAGTCATTCTCAATCACCTCAATGCCGCTCAGATCCACACCTTGTGACAGATAGTCTGGAGCATGTCCAAGCAAACACACACACAAAAAGAAAAGAAACCACAAATTATAACATTTTCCTGCCTCTTCCTTTTGATTCATGTTTACCAACATTAAACATTTTTTTCAAACAAACAGGAAACAGTTTGGGGATATTTAAATGGATTTCATAACAAGATTTTTGTCTGTCGTCTTTACTGATTCTGTATTGTATTTCCCACACCTACCAAAGCTTTCTATAACCCATAGTGAAACTCAAGATGAAGTTCACAGGTTGACAACACAGAAAACTAAAGTATGTTTGTGAAGCTTAATATTGGATATTGTGTCATAGTGGTGTAAAAGGTCATTTTTAAAGTGTGGCTAGTAGTGGTCTTGTATTGGAATGTTTTTGAAATTATATTGCTAGTGTTTCCACTTTCACATACAGAATGGCACACCACTGTGTACTTCATTTTTTATTTTTTGGGGGGCTCTGTAATGCAGCAGCATTCTTTCAGCTTCAACTCAAGCGTGCTGTAGAATGAGGTATAAAAAATTGTATGGTTCCTGCAGTGTTTTATTGTTAGTATTCATCTTTACTTTTCGAGGTCTTTTATTCCCCCTCACTTCAAATATATATATATATAATAAAAGATTGGAGGAGTCAACTGAATACATCAATTAATAACACTGTTTATCAAAAGATTAAAATCAAATCAAATACAAAACAAGACCCAAGAAATACTTAAACAGAGGAGTTGAAAAATAAAATGAGCTGGGTAGAGTAAATAACTTAAATTATTAAAATGGTCACAGACTGAAGCTTTAAACTATAGTCTGAACCAAGGACTGGTACTATTATAAACATAAAAGACAAAAGAAAGACAAAGAAAAGGTTTTTCAATCATTTTCGAAACAACGGTCCAGTCAGTCTGAAACTTCATCAACACGTCTCTTTTCTGATTAAATTATAATATTCCTGTTATTTCATTTGCATCCCGATGACAGAAAAGATGACAGAGGGACTAGTCAGCTTGACAGATTTGTCAGCAACACTTGTTTCAAAGAAGCACATAGCACTTCTAACTGTGTTAAACATTTCCATTCTGCTTTAGCCTCTGCTTTGTTTGTCCACCCACCTGCTATGGAAAGCCTGAGCGTGCATTAGAGGAAGAAATATTGACTTGCCTTGCAACTGAATCCTGTTTTGGGCTGATATGAAATTGAAATTGATCTGACACTGTCAATATGTGTGATTTTGTCCAACAAATCACGAGCGCCTTGAGCAAACACTTGAGCTCTACCATGATGATTCTAGCAGCAGCGACAGTCAAATTGCTGCCATGGTCTCTGCTGCTCATTTTCACTAAACTTTTAGTTAACACTACTATTCACAGTAAATTACAAATACGACAAACAGCAGTGTATGACTCTGAGTGCTCTAGAAAATGGTATAGATAGTGATAAATATAGAGTGATAGTGATAGATTTTTTTTTTTTTTAAAGAAAGCATGAGGATGAAGTGTCTCAAAAGCGTTTTGAGGCAGTGACTCCTCAGTCCTGACTTGTGTGGGAAGTTGATTCAGTCAGGAAGGGAGAAAAAAGCAGGGCCAGGCAGAGAGATGAGCAGGCTGGAACAGGGAGACACAGTTAAGATATGAGGAGAGAAGACAGACAGCAGACAACAGACTGGTGTGAAGCAGAACCAGTGAAAGCAGTGCTGAAGATTTTAGAAACATAATTAAAAGCTACTGAATGAGGAAAAACAATTACACTGAAACTTTCTTTGTGCATGACTATTTGATTGGTTGTTTTGTTTGGCCAAGAAAGCTGGTAGCATTTTTCACAACAATCAGACCTGGCTTTCACCCACTGGGTGGTACCAACCGAGGATACATGTTAACATAGAGATGTGCTGATATTTGGGACTGGTTTGAATTTCTCCAGCTTTGACTGCGATTCTGCTTATCGAATTAGTCTTAGCGGATGCTGGTTTTAATTCTTCAAATTCCAATGACCACAAGTGGCGACATCAAGAATGCTTTGATGGACATAATTTTATGCTACCCTTGCATGCAATTACTTAAACGTAAAATTGAAAAAAACGACCTGTAGAATGTGACAGGCCAACTTCTAAAATGCTCTGAACAGTTAAAAACTAGATGCGCGAACCTTAACAGAGCTGGGTCCCTGTTGGTGTGGAATTAGACATCATTTGGGATTGGAACACATTATCAGAATCCAGCAGTAGAATGGAAACCATGGCAAGGTTGTGGATCTTTCTTTTTTCTCCTTCTTATGAGGGCTAACATATATGAATTACATTCAGTTTAATGCTGATTTATGGTAAGATTTTTTTGCTGACCATTAAGTTGACTTGAGATGAAGTTGTTGTCACAGCAAGGCTTAGTAACTTGTAACTAGACACAACATTCGACATTCATACCAAAATCTTTAGGGGAAGGAGTCAGGGCAACAGACAACAACTCCCAACTCCCTATCAAATACTGCTGCTTGGTCAGTGGCCCTCCACTTCAAAATGTGATGCTGTAGGTGCCCCTCTCGCATCATTTCAGGACGCACAGTGATGCGCAGTCAAGATGGCAATAATAAATATGCAACATCAGGTTAGGCTTTTAAAATGAAGCTTGTGTGGTTAATGTTGTAAAATAGTAGTAGTAATAATAGTTGCAGCTTCAAGCTACCTACATACTTGAGTTTAAGAACATGTATGGATAGACAAGCAGCTGCGACACAAGCAGCATTTTTCACATCCTTTGTGTGTACCTGGAGGAATAAGAGTATATACATTATAGGACAACTCAGGGCCGAATCATCCCTGGCTTATGCCGGAATACGGTCTTTGAGAACTTGACAACTTTGCACTTAAACATTTGAGTATATAGTTGAGTATCACAATTGTACAATGTTGAGATCACAGCATTAAAAAAGAAACAACAGTGACACAATCATAGATGGTAACAGCAGAAATGCAATTAGTTCCTCTTCAAAACTTTCCACAATTTCTATTTGCTGCTAACCTTACTTCAGTGTCACCACCAATGAGCTTAACTGCCTATTGTTAAAAAGTAGCAATCATTTCTGCAGGCGCAAACAGCAAACACTCTGAGGAACAAAGGATACATGATGTACACAAAAATGCATAAGTAAAGCAAATATACAAGCTCTCTAAGCAACTATATAAGCACTTTAAGAATCTAAAATCTCTAGCACTGATCCTTAATGCACAAGTATACTCGAAATTAAGAAACAAGTGTCTTCTGACCATGTCTTTTAGCTATTTCAAAAGGCCACACTCGGAGGCAGGGTAAGACCTAATAACTGTCCAAATGTTGATAAAGGGGCACGCTTTCGGGCAGTCTATCCTTGAGGCTATTTATAGTGCGGCACTTGTTTGTTCATACAAAAATGATGGAAATACCTGTATGAAGAAGAGTTTGAAAGAAAAGTTAAAATCCTGCCCACTTCTCCACACACCTGGATAATTGCTGCATCAAGCGATTGTGTTTGTCATATTGTTGGTTTCAGAAGTTACAGAAATTGTCGGACGCTGCTGCCTGTGACTGTGGGCGTTTAAGTGAGTTAAAAACTTGAAGTCCTCCATTATCCTGTTCTCCTGTCTTCTGATATGACATGAAAAGCAGCAAGCTTAATTTCTTCACTCTCATACCATCATCCTAACTCTCTTTTGATGACAGCCCTGGTCTTGATTTTCCTGAGCATTAACATGCTTTTTGACAGCCATGTGATAAATTAGGAGGACAAAAGGTACAGGGAAATCAGCTGCTGATTATGAGAGGAGAGGTGTAGAGGTGCGGGGTGTGGGGACTGATATCAAACCATTTCAGATGTGCTATTTGTCTAGAGTGACAGATTGTTTGCTGTTCTTCCCAGAGAGAGAGACAGAGTATTATCAGGCAGGTGGCCGGCTGAGGCACAGAGGATCGGGGAATTGGACAGGAGCCACATTCAATTCAAAAGCAATCCGCTCGAAGCCTCAGCCCGAATACAAAGCCTGCCAGAGACCCTGATCGAACAGCTGAGCCCTGTATCCCTTTGCTTGTTTAGATGTGTGTTTGTGAGAGAGAGAGAGAGAGAGAGAGAGAGAGAGAGAGAGAGAGAGAGAGAGAGAGAGAGAGAAGAAAAAAGAGGGTGGTCTTTTCTGACTTGTGTCATAATATGCTCAGAGGGCTGTCTGATACGCCACACTTGAAACCACACACACACACACACACACACACACACACACACACACACACACACACACACACACACATATATAACACAGGTCATTGGATATTATGTGTTAGTTCCCAGGGGATAAGCTGTGCTCTGGCACAGATGTGCCCTGGTTTCTTTGCTGGGGGAATTTATTCAGCTCATTCTTCAGAGGACAAAGAGATGGAAATTACCAATAAGTTACCCATACATAAAAATATGCTTTACAACATTGGAATGTATCACAGTGTTGCAGCGCTTAAAAATTTGTAGCATGGCAGAGTGCACCCCCCCTTCGGCGTTACCTTGGTGATGAAGGTAATCAGCAGAGCGGGTTGTGGATGGGAGCAGGCAGCAGGGAGAGATCTGCTTCCCACTTATCAGAGCCTATTTAACAGTCAGGAAATAATTATCAGTGAGCACAAATTAAGAAGGCTGAGGTGTAGGTGAGAAGTAGACCTGAGGGGGATTTCATGAAAGAGGCTAAAAACAGCAGATTTTCAATCAAAGTCTTGTTGCATTAAGTGTTACTAGTACATACCAGGGATTGGATCACTTTCAGTAAAGTCATTTGGGAACATCCAAGTCAGGCTTGTGCTGTCAAAAAATATATTTGCTCAAACAATTCATCAGCAGCAAAAGAATGTACAATTCAAACTGGACTGCTACCAAAGACATGCCATAATTTGTACTTCATGGCCACAGAAGAAGAGCTGATGATGTAGATTGAAAGGAGCACTACATTGAAAACCTACGTCTTGAAAGGTAGCTCTGAAAGGTTTGTAGCTTGCTCCTTTGTGGAGAATGCAAGCAGTCTGGTTGGCAATTGATACAAAACATTCCTATGGTTACCAAAACAGCCATAGAAAATTCTCAGATCCCTCCTCCAGCCTGATCCAAACACACCAAAATATACAACATTTTTGAGCATGAAATTCAATTCTTGGCCTTGGAAATAGCAGTTTGACAAAACTAAGATTCACTCAGGATTTGCTTAATAGCTTTTTATTAGCTAGAGATTTTTTTTCAAAGGAATCTCACATTCTTCATCAGCAGATGGAGTTTGCTCAGTTTTTAAGGAGATCTCTAATCTTGCGAGGCAGTTGGACTTGGATCACAAGATCACTACGGTGTGGTTTAACCCTAGGTGTGTGACGACGTGTGTGAGAAGTGAGCATCATCTCAAAAACACCATCAGTTCTATCAGAGAGAAGAGCAAAGAACGGCACTGAAGGTCTTTGTCAATCGAATACATTTTTTCTCTCTTCTCCCAATGGGCTTCAGTGAGATTTTGTTTTATGATTGATCTTGGTTGAAGTTTACCTGTGATAGACAGATGGTTCATCCAATCACCTACCAAGTGCCTGCCCTTTTATCAACAGTTTCCAACAATGTCTTCCCAGATGGTTCTGTGTAACAAACCATGGTAAAATAATAGCATTATTTGTTTCCTGTTTCACTCAGTTATGCACAATATATGTTTTGGTGTTGTATCTTCACAGTAAGAAGACACGCATTTAATCTGTTTTAAATTGGAGAGTTACAACTCAATTGAAAGGAAGAAAATCAGGAAACACCTCCATAATTGAGCACAGATGTACATGCTTAATTTAAAATGTAAAGTCTACAAAACAAAACAGTAGAATGTAGACATGTAATCACTGTTTCCTATAGTACTCTCTCTCTCTTTACTGCTTATACACAAGTTAATATAAGTCTTATACATTTTGGTAGATTTTGTTTGGGGCCTAACTTCTAAAAGAACGCACACTGACAAGTATTTGGTTGATTTAAAAAGGCCAGAATAACAGATTTTTTGCAGGAAGATTTTTTTAGCTTTCAAGAAGAAGAATGCCTGAAACAGTTCCTTAAACATAACATGTATAAAGATGACAGAGGATGTGCAACTTTCAGGCTGCAGTGTGTCACAACTAGTGTAAACCATGATGTGACGGTGAGTGCATTTACTTGGAAAGGCACAATGAAATGCATTTTTACTTTCTCTAATCTGATGGAAGTAAGGCTGAAATTGGATATTAGAATAGAACAACACCAGAATTGGGTATTGTTCAGATTTTATCTTGTCTTATTGTTAGTCGCACTCTGATTACAATATGTATACCACTCTTTACTTATCCTTCATGCAGATTCTTGTCATATTATTTAAGTGAAATTAAGGTGTATTAAAACAAAAACCCCTTTACCATCGTCAGATTTAGGCTCCCATCATTTGTCCTAAACGACAAGACATTTTCTTCAACAAGGCAATCCCTAGCATTTAACACTAGAATTAAGAATTAAGAATTACTTTTGTATGCATCTGTCCTGTCTTGTTTTGAAATTAAGAGAAATGAATGAATTTGTGGCACAGTTTTTAAACAACACACTTTTTAATCTTTGAGTTTGGGGAAAGGTATCAAGCATTTCCAAGTCAAAAGGCTCAAGTCCAAGTGAAGTCATGAGTCATTGGTGTTAAAGTCCAACAACAGTGATTCTTTCTTGATTTTGGCCTCAAATTTGTGACTTGTGAATAATGACCAAAATAAGTGTACAGATATGCATTTTTTTCTTCATATCTTTTACTAACAAAGAACAATGACCATAGCCTGAAGTGTAAAGGAAATAAACTGTAGAGTTAGTTTAATGATAAAACATGCAAACAAAATAGATTTTGAAAGATTTTTTTCTTTATAAGCAGATATATTTTTTCTATCGAAATCTTATACAGAAATCTTCATTCATTCTGATTTTGGTTTGGAAGAAAAGTGTAACGCTTGGGCTGTGTTAAGATACTCCCTCTGCATCCTAATTTTGATCACTTAAGTTTTAAGTCATCCAAATTAGTTTTAAATAGTGCTGTCAGTTAAACGCATTAACGGCGTCAACCCAAACCCATTTTAACGGCGTCAATTTCTTTATTGCGAGATTAATGTTCTTTTTGGCCTAGCACACTTTGCAGTTTTTTTCACATGCTGTTGCAACAACTAGTAACGTTATAGAAACTACAACACCACACCGGATCTAGCTAGACCGGAAACAAAATAACAGGCACGCCGCACACACTTGTTTAAGAGTAGTAGACGTTACATTTTGAGTGGATGGCGAGCGTGAGATGCTGAAATGGATGCCAATAATATTCTGAATGGAAAGTTTACTTTTAATAAGTTGCCAAATGGTTCCATTGACAAGACCAAAGTGATCTGTGTGTTTTGTCGTTGTGAACTGAACTATCATCGCAGCACGTCCAGTCTGAAATACCACTTGATGGCCAAGCACACAGCTGATGCGAATTCTCCGCCCCCTCGTCAAAGCCAGGCGACAATGGATGATTCTTCAATAAAAACAACATTTGCACAAAGCAAGCCGATCCACTTTTCCATGTTGATAAGAGCATTAAAATGAGAAAAAATAATGGGACAAAAAGAAATCAAGGGACATTTAGAATAAATAAAAATGTGCGATTAATTGCGATTAATTGCAAGTTAACGATGACATTAATGCGATTAATCACGATTAAATATTTTAATCGTTTGACAGCACTAGTTTTAAGTCCAACATTTGCTGATTCATGTGTTTTTGACAATGACAGAACTCTTGAATCCTAGTAATCACTGACATCTCACTGCTTGCCAGTCGCAATGTACAGTATATGAAATGAGTAAGTATATTAGGTTCTGTTAGCTTCTTATGTTTCAAAGGTATGTCTTTTTCGAAAGTTTACATCTTGCCCCCCAGTTGTTTCATGAGTTATTAGCTCTTGACCTTGAGTTTGCAGCCATCTGAGCCACTGGACCATCATCAAGTCATCAGCATTTAGTCCTGTGGCACTTGTCACTAAAGCACAAGTTCTTTCATAAATGCAAAACACACACATACACAGCCGTTAACTTGCTTTCACTCATATGCACCTCTGTTTGAAATAGCACAGCTGGGGACTAGACAACAGCCAGCAGCCTTTAGGCTAGCCAGTGGACAGCCTGGATACCAGATTGAAATATTAATGCATTCATTAAACATTTATGTGTGTTTTCCGTGGCACTCTATTGTGCTTAAAGCAATTTAGGTGTGAAACTAGCCTCTCACATTATCACATCATCTTTGCTGAGAAAAAAGTCTGTCTTTTTTTCCCCCCTCTTTGTCTTCAAGCTGTCTCCATCTCACATATCATGCTCATGTTTGCTCAGAAACACAGTCTGCAACTGTCTTTTTTCTGCCTCTGTAAAACCCTTCTTACTGCCATCTATCTCTCTCTTGCTAAAGACTTGTATCTGGGGGAAAACATGCCTCCTGCTGAGCTGCGCATGTCAGTAAAAACAGTCGGACTGGAAACCATCATCTCTGCTTACACTTCTTGAATAAACAGATGAAGAGCTGAGATACAATGACCAGATCGGGGGAGATGTGAAAATTCAGGAGTTCTTGTTTTATCAGTGGAGAAGTGTATTCCGGAAGACAACAGATGGGCCCTGATTTGAATTCTGATCTATCAGTCTGCGTTCACTTTGGCCGACGGGGCTGTTGTTGCCATGCCAATGCCAACTAGCCCTAATTAGTCCACTGACTGGCTACCTTGCAGATATGTTCGCCAGGCAATAAGGGCAACACGGTGATTGCTCCAATGGTAGCCAGATTGGGACAATTACGCCTGTACCATCCGGCAGGTGCTATGCAAACACAAACAGTGGAGGAGTGGCCAAAGTCCTGAGAGGAAGGATGCTGCCATTAGTATTGTCATGGCCACCGTTTTCTACTTGGGCTCTTTAATGAGGGCAAACAAACTTGTGGGTAGATGGCTCAGAGGAAAAGAGAAAAGAAGGGAGGGCTCAAAGGCCTAAAGATCTATGTTGTCCCTGAATGCTGGAAACTGAGCTTTCCCCATGTATTACAGGCAGCACAAAAGAAAAATAAAGATAAAAAAGAAAAGAAACATGAGAAATGAGAGTGAAAAAATTACGAGAGTTAATTCTGCTTTGTGAGTCCAATTAGTCAAACGTAGAGGAGTAAAAGAGAGAAAAAAAGAGAACGAGAAGACAGTTTCAGAGAGGGAAGGAGGAGGGGGAGGGAGCGATGGATGAGTAGGAAGGGCTACTGGAGGCAGATACAGAGAGAGGCAGGAAGCAGGACAGAGACAGACCGTCAGAAAAAGAAGCACAGCAGAGAGGAGAGGGGGGGAGGCAGAGTGATAGCGTCAGTGTCTCTCTTGCTCCCTCCAGGCTCTGTGCATGCATGCTTTCTACCAGTCAAATTTCCATCCTGAAGGGACTCAACAGTGTGGCGTTAAAATCCTTGAATGATGGACTACTAAGCGAAACCTCAGCCACTCAGACTTATCACCTTTGGGCACTACGCTGCCTTTTGGGATTGACATTACAAAGCCCTACAGGGAAGGACAGCACTCCGACAGACCCAAGGATCACTGAGGAATGGTCTTTGTCTAGAGGTAAACTAACACACGCCACAATCACATGCTAACAGTATTATCTGTGTTCTGATAGCAAGGCAATGTGAATGTGTCACACGAAGGCACAGTAAGATCAACACATTTAGCTCTAGATAAACACACACACACACACACAGCATGCTGACATGTTGAGCCTGTGAGTCACGATTTTCAAGCAGTGATTATTTTGAGTAGAGAATAATTAGAGGAAATGAGTGGCTGTCAAACAGCAAGGGACATGGGTCTCCACACATGAAGCCGAGTTCACTGCCTCCCAAAGAGACTGGCGTTCCTGTTATACGAAAGGCTCATGCAACACAAAACTCATCAGACTGAAGACAGAAGTCGTTCGTATTTGTCCTTACAGTGAGGTCACTCAGAGGAACAGAAAATACAACTGAAGATGAGCATGACAAAAAGTGCATTAAGTCATCAAGCCAAAAAATAAAGTGTAAATAAAGAAGCAATTTTGCACATTTTGTGCAGTTAAAAAGCACTATAAACTGAAACGGAGAACCAGAAAAGAAGAAAACAAGACAGTGAAAGCTGTTGACAAATGTTCCCTTATTCAAGAAACTACTGGGGCTACACCTAACAATTACTTCCATTGTTGTTGATTATTTTTTAGCTTAATTGATCAATTGTTTAGTCTAAAAAAGGTCAGATAAAACTGAAAAACAACCATCACGTTTCCTGAGCCCAAGGCTTTTTCAAATTGCTTTTGTGTAGCCAACAGTGCAAAACCCAAATATATTCCATTTACAATGAACAGAGAAGTGTGGCAAATCCTCACAGTTGAGATGGTCAAATCAATGAATGGTTGGCATTTCTGCTTAATAAATGATGATTAAATTATCTTATCAATTAACTTTTGTTGACCAATTAATGAACTAATCAACCAATTCTTTCCTTCGTTAATCTGACACCTTGCTCAGACCTGGGCGTCCCTCTGGAGATATACTTTATGTAACAGCAGCCTGAGGCGGCTCTGGAACTTGGGCGTTTTCGCCAGAACTTGCTAGGCGTGCTGATAATAGTAGGTGTTCCATCGGATTGGATGTGATTTGCTGATTGTGTTTAGGATAAATTTTTGCGTGGTTAAGGTTTTGGTAAGCCCACGTTTGTCAACATGTCCCACAATTCAGTGTCAGCAGTGTTAGCTGCAGGCATTTCAGCTCCTTTTGTGAAGCCTGTAATTTATTAGAATCAACGGTTATAAAAAGTGTAAAATGTTTCCTAGAGAGCGTATTCAACCACTGTAAAATTGGTTGGACTAACAGTTTTCCATCACAATAACGAATAAAGTAACAATATACAGTATAAGTTATTAATGTACTGATAATAGTATTATCATGTGGAATGTGCCATTTTAGTGGCATTTCATTCTACTACAAACTATAGCTGGTTACAATGATTTAGAGAACAAAATATTGTACACTCATTTCATATAGTTTTTAGCTGCAGCTAGATTTTAAGTTTGATTAAATGTTTTTATATGGCTAAAATAAGCTTTACCTTTTTTATTTTATTATTTTCTTGGACAGGAAACGAGCAATGTGAGGAAATCCAACAAGCAACACAGATATAAAACAAACATTGTATTATCATGCTTATACCATGTGGCATGTGTTAGGTACAATTTTTTTTTTCTACCAACCTTCAAATAAATGTTACCAAAATAAAAGCAGGTGATGCCAAATTTTGATCCAAATTAGGAACTATCTGATCTAAGAATAAGTAAACATGACTATGAATCTGCCCAGACCTTCAAAGTCCTTGCTATTCACTCTCATAATCTTGTCAAATTTAAAATCACAAGAATCTAACTGAGTCCTGAACTTAGAACTGACTGAGAGTGTTCTGACAGTCAGTCAGCATATCATTTCATACCCTGAGACAGTTTGCAGAAAACCAGTTCACAGTTTTCAGTGCTCATTTGCTGAACAACACATGACGAGAACCATCAAAGACAAAACGCAAGGCATTGAAAACTGATTAAGCACACATTTGGCACACGCACAGACACAAGCGCAAATACTCACAGGGACAGGCTTCCAATTAGCACACAAAGAGCAAGCTATCTGTCAGGGGATGATAAATGAGTTGAAATTAAGTGGGAGACATGTGATACAACATATAGACTAGGGGGACTCGTACTATTTTACAGAAATCTCCAACCCTTTCCCTTTGCAGGATATAAGATGGGATGTGACTGAGGAAGAAAGCGAGGGACGGCAATAACGATGGGATATGACATAATTCTCTACTTCAATCAATTCCTCTCTCGCTGTTTGAGGAGGGGAAAGCAGGAGTGAGAAGTGTATGAATGTCCAAGACTCAAGAGATCAGTCTGTTGGTGGTGTCTACATGGCCTACATCTCTCAAAGGTTTCTGACCTTTGATGCAACTTTGCCCCCCCTTTGATCACGTGGAAGTGAAGGGTTTGACAAGCTTGTTTTCTACATCTGTTGGAACCTCCAGTCCATTCTGTCATCTCGTCTTTCTCCTTTCCCTGTTCTCTGGAATATGAAATGACAAATCTGACGTGGTCTGATATAAGATGCTATGGACCATATCGGGACCTTCACCATCTCCAATGAGATAAAGAGCTGAGTGTGAAAGACGTACAATACCTGAAAAGTGGAGAGTAGTGGAGAAAGCAGGATTGTTCTGGCACTGGCATCATTTTCAGGCGGGGATGAGACTAGAGGCAATGGTCCAAGCACAACGGACAATGAAGAGACAGAGCTATGCATGAAAGAAAGCATTGATCTTGGTGCACCGCACTGATGTTGCAAACCACATGCCCCCCAATGAGGGGCGGGTGTGCGTTGCTTTCTGTGTTTCACAAACAGACAATTCCCTTTGCCTGAGTGAAGCCAGTGTACCCAAAGCTTGCAGAACACTTTTTATTGTATGACGTTTTTTCGATATGTTCAGAAAGAACGGTGCAAATCAACTGGACTAAGTGAAGCTTGATCTTGTCAAGTCCGAATATGGTGGGGTGGTTTGACGTGCTCCAACAAGTTCATTGTGGCCACTTTGATTGCTGCTGAGCTGGAGAGGACACTGCTGGGAGGGAGTGGTGAGTTTAAACCTGATAACGCATCTGCTCTCAGTTTTCTTTAGTTTAAACCATAGGGGAACCAAGGTCCATAAACCATATATTATAATATTCCTACATTTGCTTTGTTTAAAATGGCTTGATGTCTGAACAGATTCTTCCAAGGTCTGCATACCTGGTCAGTCACTATGTGAAGGCGACATGCTTGTCCGTCTGTTTCAGAAAATTACCAAAACATTTTGACACAGACCAGTCAGTGCAGGCATTGGAAAGCTTTTGGAGGAGGAGATTTCAGACTATGTTGCTGTTCAACCGCACTTTGTTTGAAGCATCCTTCACTTGCCTGTTCTATTGCAGTGTTGAAGACAATATGCCCCCCCTCCCCAGAGGGGATGAATTAAGTCTCTGCCTCTCTCTGTCTCCGTGTCTCTTAGATAACTTTAGCCCATAACCCTCTTTCTATCACAAACCGTTAAATTAGTTTGGTACTCACAACCTGCCAAAGACAATATAGCAATTGCATTTGACAGTGTTTGCTAATATCAATAATGGTACCAGACTTGTTTCTATCATAAAGAAAGTAGCATTTGGTGCCTTCTTTGTTGCCATCTCTTTCAACCTACTTACAAATTTGTGCAGTATGGCTGACCTCTGACATCCAAAGAACCTTGCTCCTAGTTAAAATGTTATTTACCATACCTTACACACTATATTGCAGCACATACACAACTATATACCAGATTCATTATTGAATTTCGCTAGGGAATGACCTCTTGAGTCACAAGTCTTGTTACACAATTAGGCTCCTATATTCCTGATGTTTCCAAGAAAAACAAATTACCAACATTAAAAATACAAAGGGTGTACTTTTCCATGACTTTGACTCAATGTGCAGTTTCAACATGAGTTTAAATTAAGCATCCTAAAAAGGCACCTTAAATATTTTAGAACAGGTGATGTATCATAGAACACTTTTTCCAAAATTGTACTCCAAAGAAAATAAAAAAGACTAATCTTACATGACAGACATGGTGAGCAGATGATCTATACTGTACATTGTTGACTGACATTGTTGACTGATGACTTGATATTTTTTGTCTAAACTGCTTTTCAGGCCTCTTCCTCTCATCAGGATAATGCACACATCCCCAGTGCTGATCTCTGCAGCCACCATGAGCAACATGACAGTGCTTGACACTGCTGACTCCTATGACCTTGACATGACCTCCTCCGAGGCCATCTACCCCATTAGCTTCCAGGTAATGCTACAGCCTCAAACGCACATCTCAGATGGCTTTTTCAATCTAATCAATGTGACATGATAACACATTTCCTTGTACGCAAGTCAATCCACAGAGAATGTATTAGATATATGATATTTTAAGAAAACTGTAGCTGTTTAGCTTATTAACAGGTTGGGAATTTGGATAAAAAACACAGTGTGTATTTAAGAAGAGTTCCTGGTTATGTTATATATAAAAAATCTATACAACAATAAACAATAAAATCTTCCACATTATTATCATTATATGACTAAAATGACTGTGTCGCACTAAATGCCACCATGTTCTTTCTGTTGGTAGGTTTCTCTGACTGGCTTCCTGCTGTTGGAAATAGTTTTGGGCTTAAGCTCCAACCTCACTGTGCTAGTCCTCTACTGTATGAAACAGAACCTCATCAGCTCCGTTTCCAACATCATCACAATGAATCTACATGTGGTGGATGTGTTGGTGAGTCCTGACCTCTATTATCTGTTACTTTTTCTGCCACGACAACAGGGACTTAACATTAAGAAGCTGGAGACTTCTGGTGCTATAAAAATTATCTCTCAGCACTGATGCCATTTCAGGAAATCCAACATTATGCTTGTAGACATCGACTTTGTCAGTCAGTTGACTGGGATTGGAAGTTCCATTCAGTTCATGTGGAACATTATGCTTCGAGTTTCAAAAAGGGCCAAGGCATCTACTGCTGTGCCAGTGATTAGACATAAACCATAATATATGAAGTTTGAAATACTATAATAGGAATAAGGGCTGCCTCTAAACGTTGATGATTTGAATTATCCGTCGAAATTCGTCAGTTGAATCACTGCCCTCCGGCATCTTTGGTGCTGAATATAGAGAAGTCTGCTGAACTACTTTTTAGGCCAGAGACAGGGAGAACCACCTTACTGCCATCCACTGTGTTTATTACAACATGGGTTTTATATTTGTCAGCTTTTTTCCTTATGGTAACATTGTACACACCAATGTCAATTTGTTAAATGCAAAGATATTTGGTAAGTACAATGTTACAACAAACTAAACCAATGGCCAGAGAGATGAAAATAAAACCCAAATGATTATTTTGTTAGTATGTTATCTGGATGACACAATCTTATTACACCCTTTAGGGGGTGGGGTTAAGGGTCAACAAAGCAATCTCAAGACAAGATGGAAACTAACATAATGCATTTGGGGTGACCTGAATTTCTGTCGTATTTCCAGGTGTGTGTATGCTGTATCCCACTGACAGCCGTGGTGGTGTTACTTCCTTTGGAGGCTGATACAGCCATGATGTCCTGTTTCCATGAGGCCTGCGTCTCCTTTGCAAGCGTAGCTACTGCTGCTAACGTCCTGGCTATCACTGTGGACCGCTATGACATCTCAGTACGGCCAGCAAACCGCGTGCTTACGATGGGCCGAGCTGTGGCTCTCTTGGGATCCATCTGGGCTTTATCCTTTTTCAGTTGCCTGGTTCCCTTCATGGAAGTAGGCTTCTTCATTAACTCTAGTTCGGACCTTATGAACCAGACAGCAGTGGTCACAGTGGGTCAAACAAATGAGTACTACACAGAGCTGGGTTTGTACTATCACCTACTAGCACAGATCCCTATATTCTTTTTTACAGCTGTGGTAATGCTAGTGACTTACTACAAGATCCTTCAGGCACTTAACATTCGCATTGGAACACGCTTTCAGCACAACATACCTAAAAAGAAGCAAAAGAGCAAAAACACTATCTCTTTGAGCACTGCGACACAAGCTGAGTCGACTGATGCTTCGCAGAGCAGCACAGGAGTCAGGGCTGGTGGGAATGCACCTCTGGGCATGCGGGCATCTGTGTCAGTCATTATTGCGCTAAGACGGGCAGTAAAGCGTCATCGGGAGAGACGGGAGAGGCAGAAACGAGTCTTCAGGATGTCTCTTCTCATCATCTCCACATTCCTACTTTGCTGGACTCCGATAACTGTGCTCAACACGATCATCCTCAGCACTGGGCCCAGTGATTTGACTGTTCGTCTTCGTTTGGGCTTCCTCGTGATGGCCTATGGAACCACTATTTTTCACCCACTCCTCTATGCCTTCACTCGGCAGAAATTCCAAAAGGTTTTGAAAAGCAAGATGAAGAAGAGGGTGGTGTCTGTAGTAGAAGCGGACCCTACACCAAACAATGTGGTCATCCATAACTCATGGATTGACCCCAGGAGAAACAAGAAGGTCACCTTTGAGGATACAGAAGCCAGACAAAAATGTCTATGCTCACAGGATGCAGAGTAGTGGGATAAACTAAAATGTAAATATGTCAAATGTGTACAGTAAAGGGGAATTGGTTCCATCAACTGATATAAGTGAAGTAACAGATTTTAAAAAATTGCGTTTTAGAGACAGAAATGATTTTATGCAAGTAGAGGTGGAAAGTGTTTTAAAAAGACGTAAGAAATGTGACTGTGATCGAGAAATACACTGTAAGCCTAAACAAGCTAAACAATGTGTGCTCATAACGCATGAGTATATAAATCTTGGGCAGCTTATTAAATCAATACTAAAATGATGACCTCAGAAAAGAATACTTGTCTCCTGAGATCAGAAAAATAAAAGACGAGGAGTTCCTTAAAATAAACATCACAAGCAAAAAGGGAAACTACCAGCAGCTGAATGTTTAAGAGTTGAAGGATTGCATATACAGTTGATTTTTTTTCCTCAGTGCAAAAAAAAAGTCTCAAAATAGGTGTCGTAGGCACACAAAGAGGGTAATTTATTGCTATTTATTGTGGAATGTCGTGGAGTGCTATCAAGGGCAATTCAGTCATAACTCTGTATCTAAGCAGCAGTGTGTGTTGTTCTCTGGTTAGCGTAAGATGAGACAAATGTCTATGTACAGTCACAGAATACCTTGATATTGTTTGTCACCATTTGTAATAAACAACCAAAGGCACAATATGTGTCAGTATCCTTCTGCTATCTTGCTTCTCTGTGTGGAATTGGATACAGGGACAGAATGCATCAGACCATGTTAAATGCTGCTTCTCCTTCACTTTCATCAGACAGGTCACCTGTCTGTTATGTCACGTAGTGGAGGAAGTAGCCTTTAAAAGTATTGTTCAAACTATAGTCACTCAATGTTTAGAGAAATCTGTTCATAGTTTTTTACATGAAAATTACATTAATTGAAGTATAAACAGGAAGAAGCACAGATCATTACAGTATCAGGACATCCTGTCAATACAATTTACTTGTTTGAAACACAAATTTACCAATTCACAAGGCCTTAAACACCTTGTGTGGTTTTAATGTGAGCAGCCATTTTAATATGGAAAAATTACAAATAAGAGAATTTGCTCATGTGAACTGAACATATCCGGCTTGCAACTAATGAATTTACAACGCTGATGCACTGACCTACTATAAACTACTAAAATAACTGAGAGGAATACTTTTATGATGAGAGGTAGCGGAAGGAAACGGTAGCTCAAGGAAATGACGCAACCGTCTAAAGTCTTACTTACTAGTATGTTAGCATGCTAACATTTGCTAATTAGTACTAAACACATTGCCATGCTAGCAGACCACTAGCATGACTGACAACAGACCAAAAGTACACATAAATTTGATTAATTTGGCTAGGGTCTATATACTGTATTTTATTAAAGATTTCCCAAACAAGGTAACCTCTGGGAAAAGGAAATAGCACTGAAAAGCCTATTTAAACCACACTGAAGTGATTCCAGGACCCCACAGAGTGAACCATGACAAAACACAAAGCAGCAAAGCCTACTTGTGAAATTGTTGGAATTGTTGGACAACATCCGACTGGCAGAGCAAAGACCAGAGGCCGACACTGTAACACCTATAAGGGTTTGTTGCTGTGCTGAAGAACACAGAGGACACGGAGCCCATTTGAAAGCTCTTTGCAGCTGATGGAATTTGTGCAAGCCTCTGTGTGTTTACGTGTGTGTGTGTGTGTGTGGTATGAGAAGTGGTCACAGGCTAGCAGGCACAGACTTCTGAAAACACTTGTCCTTGTGAACCTGATCTGTCACGCTTAATGCCTTGTGATAACTAAGGGTAGAATGGCAGATAGATAACTGGTGGCAGTGACATGCAATGCATCAATATCACTTTTCCTCTGTTGACACCAGAAGGTCACACAGTCCTCTGAACCTATCCAGCCTATATTAGACAACAATTTTATGATGGAGAGCTAAGCTGAGAGCTAAGAGAAAAGGGTAACTGGGGTTGGACTGGGTATCACTGTGATGACCTCATATAGTTCATCAGAAGGGACTTACAGCCTTGAAGTTACCATGAAATGGTATCATTCCCTCCATCAGGTGATGTATTTCCATGTTGGGGCAGGACATTAAACAGTAATGTAATGCAGATCTAATACTGCATATCATCTATATATCATCCCTCACTATTACAGTAGCAATAACTTTCCAAAACTGACACCTTGACAATCATGCCAATAATTTACACAGCAACTGGCAAGCTGAGGGTTTTCAGTTCTCTCTCGAGCTCTCTGTTTTAATTCTTCACACATCACCAATCATGTGCACAAAGAAGTGCAACACCATGAATGCCTTTGAAGAGAGAAAATGAAATGCGTATTGTTATCCCCATTTATATGATTCATCACATCTTGCCCCTTTTTATGACAGCAGGCTTTTCATCGCAGATTTAAAGTGTGGCCGTTTAGACCAGATATATCGACCTTCAAATCATATGACAAATCATATGACTTTCACTGGTTTCAAGCATACTGAATCCCGTACTTAGGGTGTAAATTATGAGACAAATGCAGTTTTATTCAATATAACAGGGACAAAGACGGGATTGCTAAAAACCTTGTGATGACTTTATTGGTTGGTTCTACCTGTCCGATATCAAATAGTTGTCCAATATCACAGAAAACAGTCCATGAAAAATCTAGCTCTAAGCACATGAATTCTTGCACTACACTACACTGTGAGCAACACACCACAAAGACAACTAGAAGCATTTGTCAGCCCTTCTGGCTCTTAACAACCCCCCTTGTAAAACTGAGGGCAGCGCATCAAGCTCACAAACTTACACAAGGTGCTTCATGCTGGGCTGGCTGCTGGCCAGTAGAAGCAAATAAGTGGCCAGTAAAGAGAGTGGAATGCCTAAGTATGTCAGAGACACCTACTCTTATGTTTTTCAGGAACTGAAGAATCAAACCAGAGCTAAAACACCAGTGAATAGACGGTGAGCATTAAGATGATTCTAACCATGTTCATGATGTGATATCAGGCAATTGTGAACTAAGCTGATACAGTACATTAAGGTTCGGTGCTATGGGTTTCTTTTGGAGCTAGATTGAGAAGATTAGCCATATTTACTTTTTGAGACACGCAGGCAAACTCATTGGGTTTAGTGGTCCTTTGTCTTGTGTATGAGTACTGCCCTTTCATTCTGAGGTGTACTATTCCTTGTTTAGTGTTATGCATGTTGCTTTAAGTAAATTACTCTATTCCTTTTAATAGTTAATTCAAAGTGACTCACGCACTGTAGTGCACTGACCTTGCAGTAAAGTGATTTGAGTAATGTGCATTTTTCTTAAGTTGGAATTCAAATTCGTATTAATTAATTCTAACTGGAAATGGGAAGGATTTTAAATTACATAAAGTTTTAAACTGGCAGCCAAAATAAACTACAGTCATCAATGAAAGGTGTCCATTCAGAATATAAATTCTCCGTTTTCCAGAGGAACGGAAATAACAGAGAGAACAGGACAAGGCAGGCAGAGAGAAAAAAAAGAGAATAAATAAATAAATGGAAAGTGTAAAATAGCATAATGAAAGCCCATTGATAACATGACACGGCATTAATATGTAAGAGGCCGGTAGCTGTCAGCAATTAAGGAAAGATACTTCCATAAAAACTAGGATTTAAGGTGAGATTTCAGACCCAACACTACATAAAAGACTGATCAAGAGCGTCAGCACAAGCATAGCAAAAGCTCTAAAACCCTTTTTCATTTTTACTGTGCACTGGTAGAGGACAGGTTCACTGATATAATACAGCTTCTTGTACGTAGTTAACAACCCTTTTAAATGGTTTCTGAAACAAACAGACACCGAGAAGATATAAAGAAACCAACAGTGAAGTGGATAACTTTGTGTGTTTTCAAAGTAAAATTCCAGCCAACGGTTATACAGGTAAGCAAACAAGGTAAACGAATGTATGAGTCTGGCAGAATTACTAGAAGAAAACCCTGCTCTGCTTTTGAAAATATATAAAAATTAAAAATAATATGACCGAGTGATCTTTTTGTATGTTTGTGGTGCAGTCTTGAAGTTCTGGACAGTGTTTGATCTGTGGAGCCACCCCCAAGCAGGAGGCCATGTACCCTACAGCTGACATCCGATTTAAAAAGGTCAACAGACCTGTCGTCACTGAAGCTGACGTATGATATCTTCTTCATTTGATCCTATGGACCACAACACATCCACACTATAGACTCTAGTGTAGCCTGCCACCGCTCAAAAAACATTTTCTGCAGCCAAATATCATGTCTTCTGCCCACTACCACAATGCATTTACAAAAATGCATTTTCAATATGAGCTTTTGTTGAAGGTGGTCTGGAAGCACACACAAACAAGTGTTGCATACTGGGAGACAACAGCAACAGTTTTAGTTCTGTAGAAAGAGATGTGAGCTATGGATTAGACATCAACTAAAGTTCATGTCCTTACCTAGTTCGTTGAGGCTCTGCGCAGCCTTGGTGATCTCCCTGCTGCCCCCCTGTAGCTGACCCTGCAGCCTCTTGCTAAGGTACAAGATACGAATGATCCTCCGCAGAAGGTCACAAGCCACCTGGAGCAGGAAGCAGGGGAGCAAGCAAGATGGTGAGGTATGTGAATCAATCTTTAATTGTAATATCCAGTGACTAAACAATTACTAAATTAAGCGTGATGCACTGCTGGCGTGTGCTCGGTTGAGACAGTGGAGGCCAGCTTGAGGCAATATCTGACTGGCATCTTTGAAGTAACAGGCATGTGGAAAGAGAAAATATTTCCTTTGAAACCTTACTTAATTAGAAGCACTTCAGCCACTTGCTTTTAGAGGCATAAATCACCAGTTTCATCACGATATTTATTTGATTCTTTGGACAACGATACGAATATTTGCCGATATCACAAAGTCTGCTATGATACAATTTTGATTCAATTCAATGGCCTGCAATCAATATGAGACAATATCATATACACAGTCAGTTACATGCAACTCATAAAAAGCAACTAAAATTTTGGTGCTGAATTCTTCATTTCTTTCATCTCATAAAATGCATAGTTTGCATATTGCATGTCCCTTGATTGATACTGATAATCAATCCAGATCAATGTACGGTTACACCCCTCCAACAAATTTGTAATCTTTTTACATTTTAGAATTGCAACCCATTCAAATCATTGCACATTAGCTCCATTATTTCATAATCTTCAACTTTATACAGATATGTATCAATATGAATATCTCCCACACCTGTTCATTCAGAGAAGGTATTTGTCCAGAGATCATGTCATGTTTTACTTTCTAACTAATACAAAGATTCACTTTTTCTCACCCAGACAGTCCACTAACTTCTTCTCAAATCTCATCAGCTCAGTTCAGTTCAGTTTTAGATAGAAGGGTCCTGACTTGTGGAACTCTTTTTCTAATTTAGTAAAATGACATTGTCCTTAAAGGCCAATAGACCATCTTTGAGAGAAGATTTAAATAAAATACAATTTAAAATAATTCAAAGACAAGATAAAAACCTTAAAATAAAATTCAAAATAATTAAATCACAATATAGAAAGCTTAAATAAAACTCAACCACATATTTAAATATATATAGATACATATTGAAAGCCTGAGCTATTATAAAATCACTTCAGATACCCGGTGACACACTGACGGTAAAGGATTTCTTTTATTAAGCAGGCTGAAAAACTGATTTGACAGTCTAACCTAAGTTGGGGGAAAAAACGCCCAAGAAGCAGCAGACAAAAGCTGTCAGAATTTTGTGTAAAACACAAATTGCACTCATATTATTACTACACATGTGGCTCTTTCAGCTAAGAAAGCTTGTTGGTCAGTAATGCATGCTGTTAAAGCCAGGAGAGGAAAAATATTACACTTTATGGTTGCTATGCCAACTCATATGGTAACCATGGAGCTACTCACACTACTCAATATTCAGAGAAAACAGGAAAAGGGGACAAGTAAAGAAGAATCTCTCATGAAGGAGCTTGTATAAGAGATCATTAACTCTGGGGAAGACACAGTTCAACACAGATGGAAAGCAACACTACGTCTATTGAGTAGTAACCATGTAACCAATTACAGTAAAAGACAGACTAAAAAGGATGGGGGGGAATTCAAACTGACAGAGAAAGAATGACAGCACAGTTAAGTTTAAATGCCTGACAGGAAGAAGAAGGTCAGTATAATATTAGGAGCCATGAGGAGGAGGAGGAAGAGGGTAGCTGAGAGCCTGTCATGTCTCCGTAATACTGTGTGTGTATGAACAAGACTAAGACTCTACAGCCATGCTAGCAAACCTGCAAGGTTGGTCTCTGCCAAAGTGTGTAACAACGTGGCTGGATGGACGCACATGTGCAAACCGGTCTTGTGTCAGAATTCCGTTTTTGGCTAAAAATCTAAAAATTTGGAGGTCACAGTGACCTTTGAGTCAAAAGTGTCACCAATTCATTGTCCGACCAACTGTGAAATATGGTCACAATCTCCTCTTCTGGTCCGGAGTTATGGTGTTGAACAAAGGGTTTTCCAGGACATTGATGTCACAATGAAGTTGACCTTTGATCTTTGGGATAAAAAATGTCATCACTCCATCGATGTATCCCATTAAACATTTTTCATAATTACTGAATCTATTCTTGAGTTATAAATGTGTTTGTTGCAGTCAATTTGAGGTCACAGTGACCTTTGAGTCAAATTCTTTGTCCGACTTATTGTGAAATATGGTCATCAAAAACGTGTTTTGTGAGGTCACAGTGACCTTGACCTTGGACCACCAAAATCTAATCAGTTCATCCATCCTGTGCCAAATGTGTTTTTGTGATATTTTGAGATATTGCGTTCACAAGTCTGGGTCATGGGCTTTCACCACTGCGGAAGCATAAAAACTAGGAAGCCGTGTAAAATGTGGAAAAAAACAAAACAAGTGAGCCATGTTGCATAATCATGACACCAAAAAATTTGAAATGTAACATGTGAAAACATTTAGGATTCAACACCATAGCTGGATAGGCTGTTTACTGACTTGCCACCGTTTCACAATAAAATGACCACAACAACGATACTGGAGTCACTTGTTAGTGACCTGATAATCAGACTGAACTGCCGTTTAGTTTCACGTCAAATCAATAAAGTAATGATGTGATGCAGCGGACACACAGCTACTACATAGGTTGTATTCAAATTAGTTCAACTAACTATATATGTGTTTATACGCATTTATTTGAACTGGGGGGATTTAAGAGGCAGTCCTATTGTGCAGACATCTCCAGAATGTGTGTGACTATGTTTATTATCTGAGGTGGACAGCGAAATGTAATGTAATGAGAAGAAGACACTGTATTGTTGATAAGGGGGAAAATGACAAATAGAGGCCTTGGATTCCACGGTGACTGATCAGCTGCTGTGTGAGTCACATACAACTCATACTGAAATCTCTCTCTGTCTCTCTCTCTCTCTCTCTCTCTCTCTCTCTCTCTCTCTGTCTCTCTGTCTCTCTCTCTCTCTCTCTCTCTGACACAGAGCCATTAGCCCAAGAGAGAGACCTCAGAATCACACTGACCTTTTTACAGCCGCTGTTTCATCAATATTTAATCATGATTTCCCTCGGCTGCACAAACAGTAGAACTGCAGCCCAGTGTTCTTACTGAGTGGCACGCACATGTGCTTGCTTGATCGTGCACGCACAGCAGCTCGCAGCTCTGCACACAACAAATAACAAATCTCTTGCCTACATATAGGCAAACGCTGAACCTCTCTCCTACACAGTGTTGATTTCTCTGTGGGCTTTGGAAAGCTTCGAATCAAATGTAAAACAATGTTCTTTGGTAAAAGTGCAACACAAAGAACTGACTATCTATTTCATCTGCTATCTCAAAAGAGAAACTGACAGATATAGCCACAAAAAAGTTAATACAATACCCTTAGTGAAGAAGTGTGTAGTGGACAGTTACCTGCAGTCTGGCAAGCTGAGTGATCCTGGCCACAATCTTGTTGTACGGATCAACAATCTTCGTCCTTATCCTGAAAAAAGACATGCATTGCTTCTTTAAGAACCAGGAAGGTGAATATAGAAGCATGCAGGGTTCTTCATAAGAAATCATTTTCCAGGACATTTTTAGTATTAACTTATTTTTTTTTACTGATACAGGGTTCATGAAGTGTCTCAGGTAGGTTGTCAGTGTTGGCGCGTCGGCTCACTTTTCTGGCACACTTGGCTGTTCACACCAATTTTTCCATTGCGGTCTCTGGCAATTTGACTAGAGTTTACTTTTAATAATTTTAATCAAATTCCAGGCGTTTCCATGACTTGGAAACCAGTCTGTAAATTCACAGGTTTTCCAGGACACGTGTGAAGCCTATCATAGATAGAGCATGGCGTTTTTATTAGTAACAATTAATATATAAATAACAATAATAATTAAAAAAAACTTACATTTATATAGTACATTTTTGTAGTTATGGAGTGCTTTACAATAAGATACGTCTAAATAACATGAAATAAAAAACAGATAAAACAAAGTTAAAACAATACAAGTTATTAGGGCCTAACTGATTTTATGGGGGAAAATTCTTATTTTCCGTATAAGGGAATTCTAATGACCTTTTCATGTGGATTGGACCAATATGACTCTCCAAAGGTCAGTAGATCAGCAAATATTGTATAACATATATGCAGATAGCAATATGTACTATATTGGCCGACCAATGTATCAGTCAGGCTCTAAAGATTATGACTAAATCACTAAAAACTCATTAAAAACGTGTTCTTGGAGCCTGGGCCTTTAAAAGTCATCAGTGCGGCTGTGTAATCAATTTGAAAAGCAAAATGTAAGCAGTGCAGGGATGCCAGGATTCCTAAAATATTGTCCTGCTCCTTAATTCCAGGTGAAAAGCTGGCAGTTGAGTTTTAAATGACTGTAAACAGGATAGAGAATTCCTACAGATGCCAGAGAGCAGAAAGTTATAACAGTCCAGCCGGCAGGTGATGAAAGAAACAGTTTCCAGGTTTTTTGGTGGAGAGAAACTAATCTAACTGTTACATCTCTCAGATGCACAAAAAAGAATATCTACAATCTTGGTATTGTCACAACATATTTGTTCAACAAGCAGCTCCAAAATTCAGTTCCATTAACTCGTCCCCAAATTGGGCAGAAAACTAGAACCTGTGACCCGTTTAGGGTAAAACTTAAATTAGACACCTCAGAAATCCTAAAGAAATCATTGGTTTAATACTGCTGATAAATGGTAAATGGTAAATGGACCTGTACTTGTATAGCGCCTTTCTAGTCTTCCAACCACTCAAAGTGCTTTTACACTACATACCACATTCACCCTTTCACACACATTCACTCAGTGATGGCAAAGTCCATCGAACAAAAACTAACATTCATACACACTCACACACCGATGCATGGCATCGGGAGCAATTCAGGGTTCAGTATCTTGCTCAAGGATACTTCGACATGTGGCACCAGGAGCCACAACCTTCCGATTAAGGAACGACCCGCTCTGCCTCTGAGCCACAGCCGCCCTTGAATCAACACAAATCTCTATCAGAGAGTTTTTAAGAAAGGTGAGGCTTCTTTGGGAGCTTATACAAAACAAAACAAAGTATTTCAATGTCATCCATTCAATTTCCAGAACTTTAAAAGGCCCCGACAATTTTCTAACTCGGAGTGAAGGGATCATCATGAACATGAACACACCATTTCCTGCCAAAGTGGGAACAGTTTTGGTTATTTCCCATGAGAGATGTGTGTATGTGTGTCTCTGTCTGAGCTCTTTTTACTGATTTAAAGTAGGCAGGACTAAGCTGGAAAAAGGACAATGCACCAATCAGAATCAAAATATGATGAGAGTCGTGAGGTGTTTGCTTACAGTATGTTCCCAGGCCACAATCAAATCTCACACCCACACAGCCAGCAGAGCTTTTAAGTGTTAAACTCTTAATATTTAATAATTAGGGATGTTTTTGTCAAAACTTCAACTTCGGTTGCTTGTGCAGTCATAAATGTTTAATGATCTTGAGAAAAATGTAAATTCTGAAACACTTAAATCAAAAAATAAATCATAGAGTTCTTCCAAGGCCCAGCAAAGAAAACTGAGACCGTGCTTATACACAGAGAGAATGTGAAGCAGCAGGCACAAAAACCAAGCATATCTGGGTAAATGTTGACAATAAATACTTCTAATCTGACTAAAGCCACAGCAAAACATATTTACCTGTCAACAGCTGCCTGCAGAGCACTGATCCTTGTCTGCATCATCTGAAGGACCCCTGAAAACAACATAAACAACACAATATTTTACTTTCAGTACATTTTGACACTGATTTTAAGAGCTACTTTGTTAGCAGACTTAATCTGAGGAATGCTGGCTCTCTCTTGTGGTAAGATCCAAGAACTGCAATAGTTGCAGATGCAAAGTCTGAAAAGCAGCTTCTTGCAGGTATTTCTGCAAGCATTATCAGTATCATTGCTTGGAAATACTGATTTAAAAAGTCTTGCCATGTGCATTCACATGCTGGTGGGAAAAGTGACATTTGAGACCAAAAATTATTTCACTGATGACATGAATGTGATCATAAAATCAAACCTCTTGGACAGACATCATGGCCGATGGTAAAAACATAATGTCAGTGACAATGTGGTGGCAGTTGTAATGCAAGGTTCTGGCAGACTGTTCAGAATTAACTGAAGCTTGGCAAGTAGAGAAATAGCAACATAGAATATGGATATACTGCATTTCAACAGCAAAATCTCACATTTGGGTTTTACTGCATTCCTGAATAAATGGTAAATGGACCTGTACTTGTATAGCGCCTTTCTAGTCTTCCGACCACTCAAAGCGCTTTTACACTACGTGCCACATTCACCCTTTCACACACATTCACTCAGTGATGGAAAGTCCATCGAACAGAAACTAACTCATTCATACACCGATGCACGGCATCGGGAGCAATTTGGGGTTCAGTATCTTGCTCAAGGATACTTCGACACGTGGCAACAGGAGCCGGGGATCGAACCCACAACCTTCCGATTAGGGGACAACCCGCTCTGCCTCTGAGCCATAGCCGTGAATACACCAACAAGGACAGTTTTCAAAATGGTCACTGCTTAAACTTGCAGTCTAATGTTACGGAACTGAAACTAGTTGCAGTCAGGAAGGGAAAATCATTCTGCAAGTCCATGAAACCGTTCCCTTAAATGTTGTTCTTGAAGTTAGAATGGTAGAAAATGTAAACATGGCTCTTTACCTTCAAGGGACTCTATTCCAGTCGCCTGTGACAGTAGGTCTTCATGTCTGGCCACAACCTGGAAGGAAGAAGTAGAAATATATGTATGGATGGTGCTCCTATTATGGTTACCACTGTGTTCCCTGGTTTTAAGCAAAGCTTTTGCTTAATTCCTTCCTCTGTGAAATAAAATAAACTGAACAAATAGCTGCCTGGATGATACACCATCAGTCTAAAAACATAAGACATGCTTTAGGAAATGGCCAGCAGTATAAATGATTTGCATTTTATAAAGCATACTAAAACTTTAGTGGGTTACTGCTTCAAATGTGGGTTGTAAAGGGAACTGTGAACTGAGAGTGATAAATAAGTGATTTCACAGGCACAGTACGACAGTAATTAACCTAAATTTGGTTGCTCATATAGCTGAGACAATGTCTTCATAGGTCTTGTTTTGTCTGACCAACAGTCCAAACCACAAAAATATTCAGTTACTCTCACTAAAGACTAAGGAAATCAGAAAATATTCACATTTGAGAAGCTAAAAACAGGGATTTTTGGCATTTCTTCTCAAAACCAATTATCAAAATAGTTGTCAATTAATTTTCAGCGAATAAACAAATCGACTGATTGATGCAGCACTAATTCCAAAACTCCATATTAGGGTGGCACAACATGGTTTTTTATCTTAATAATAATCATATTATATTATTTTGACAGATATTGTGATTGCAGTATGATTCATGAGCATTTTTTATCACAAATTTAGTTTTCACAGAATTTTGAAATTGAAATTTTTACCTTTATCAAACAAACTGCAGCAATTTGGCTATTGCACTTACCTGACCTATTGTGATTTTGATAAATATTTTGATTAATTGTACAGCTCTAGTCCATAACAAAAATAATTATTGATTTATTGTCATCCAATCTGAAAATCAGCAGAAAAAGTCAAATGTAAAAAAAACAAAAAAAGACAGGAGACAACAGCTTTCACCAGTAAGCTATCAGCACGATATCATACAAAGTCTGGCTCTGTGTTTAAAGATAGACAGATAGACAGATAGATAGATAGATAGATAGATAGATAGATAGATAGATAGATAGATAGATAGATAGATAGAAAGAAAGAAATTCAAGTTTTTTTGTGGGGGGGGTTTTGTATTTTTAGATAGATAGATACTTTATTTATTTATAAAGGTCCAGTGTATGAGATTTAGTGGCATCTAGTGGTGAAGTTGCAGACCGACCAACCAACAGATGACCCGGAAACTCCAGAAACTAGAGTGGCTGGGAAACTAGAAAAAAACATGAAAGGCCCTATCTAGAGCCAGTGTTTGGTTTGTCTGCTATAGGCTAATGTAGGGACATGGTGGACTCCGTAGAAGAGGACCCACTGTAGATATAAACAGCTCATTCTAAGGTAACAAAAACACAACCATTTTTATTTTCAGGTTATTATACACTAATGAAAACATACCTATGAATATTATATTCCACAGATGCTCTAAAACACACTGCTTTATTGTAGAACCTCCAAGTTTAGGTTATTATTGATTTACCTGTAGATGGCAATGGGATTGTTTCATGACACTGTAAGTAATGAACATTCATTTGGCAATCTCTACTAAAGCTGACACTTCAGACTCTGCAGAGAGTCAGTATAGCGTGTTGTGTTTGTACCTGGCTGTGCAGCTCCTTGTCCAGCTGACTGATGCCCTGTGCCAGCTTGGCCAGCTGCTCGGCAATGACGGCATGGTGAATGGCCTGAGCGGTGTACGTCTTCACATCAAAGTCCTCGGCCAGGAAATCAGTGTAGCACTCTGCAGACACAGCAGCACATCCTCAAATGATTCAGGACATCAATGCTTTCAGAACACTAGTCCTAGATATCAGGTTTGTGGTGTCACATATTAGGACTGAAGCAAAAGCAGAAATGTCCTCTTCCAGCTCTTTGATTAACCCCTCAGTGTGTTGTTGTTGTTGTAACTTTGTTTTGAAAAGTGCTGCATAAATAAAGTTTATTATTATCAGTATTTAATTAAATACATCAAAAACTAATATATAGAAGTTCCATTTCTTAGTTATGCGAACACATCCAGTCACTTTAGTATGCCATGATTTTTATTCATACTGCTGAGAGGAGATATGATTTACCATCATACCCATCCACTCGCAGCTTAACCTATAAACACACACAACCTGAAGTCAAATGTGTGTTTTCATTGTAAAAGAAACGTGTCTGCTTGGAACCTTAACCGTAGCATTGTTATTAGGTAGGCTTTCTGACTGCCACTTTTTCCCTCTCCCTCACATGTTTGTGGGGGGTACACTTTAAAAGTGCAGTGGGTAACATTTAGAAAAATAACTTAGATAATCTGTGAAAAATCAGGTTCCTCTGGCTCCTCCTAGTGCAGAATCCACCGTGATGGAACAACCAGCCTATGAGAGCTGAGAAAGATGGAAAGATGCTCTGGGTTGGCGGCTTTTACACAGTTTATTGCTTAGTCTCATTCCCAGCATCAGTATGTTTTGAAGCTGTGATTGGTTGTTTTCTTTCGGGCAGGTGGATTCTCATTAATGTCATTAGGAGCACCAGGAGGAGCCAGAGGAACCTGGCACATTACCCACCCAGATTATCTGTCCCATGTAATACTGTCGGATAAAGTCAAAGTCCAGCACATATGATAAAAAGTTATTTTATAAAAGTTGTAGTAAACCAGGTTTTTGCTATATTCTTATGGTAGAGGGCTGGAATGGAAAATAGTTCTATATAGTACTATGTAGCCTCTTCTGAGCGCTTCTATAGACCTTTTTTACAGCAGCCTTTTTAACATGTTGCAGTAGGGTAAACACACAGTGCTGTGTAATTGTTGGTTGTAGCAATGACTTCACCAACAGAGCAACTCCTGTTCCTAAATGACGTTTAATACGGACGAACACGTCATCAGAAACAGAAGAAATGTGACGTTAATAGCTGCCTAGCTCGGAAAGGTGTGTGCAGTAACGTTAGCTAGCTGCGGGACGAAGGCGGACATTGGCCAACCCTGCAGATAATGACTTAGAGCTATCGACACACACAGTAATATACGGTATTAACCCCCGCCGCCGTTCATAGAGCCGCTTTTACCATCTTTCAGAAGTGAATTCGTGGAAGCTTCTCTCCCGTCCTCCATGTTGGTACTTCCGCGTGTGACGTTTTTAGTGAGAGACGGAAGATTGACGTCACACGAGCCTTAAAGGGCTACACACCATATATTGTTCCCAACCTGTTTGTCATTGAGTGAACGCGTGTGTGTGTGTGTGTGTGTGTGCGTGGTTGTGTGTGCGTGTGTGTGTTTGTGCGTGCGTGTGTGTGTGTGCGTGGGTGCGTGGGTGTGTGTGTGTGTGTGGTTGTGTGTGTGTGTGTGTGTGTGTGTGTGCGTGCGTGCGTGGGTGTGTGCGTGTGTGTGTGTGTGTGTGTGTGTGTGCGTGGTTGTGTGTGTGCGTGTGTGTGTGTGTGTGGTTGTGTGTGGTTGTGTGTGCGTGTGTGTGTGTGTGTGTGTGTGTGGTTGTGTGTGCGTGTGTGCGTGTGCGTGGTTGTGTGTGTGTGTGTGTGCGTGGTTGTGTGTGCGTGTGTGTGTTTGTGCGTGCGTGTGTGTCTGTGCGTGGGTGTGTGTGTGTGTGTGTGTGTGTGGTTGTGTGTGTGTGTGTGTGTGTGTGTGCGTGCGTGCGTGGGTGTGCGTGCGTGTGTGCGTGTGTGTGTGTGCGTGGTTGTGTGTGTGCGTGTGTGTGTGTGTGTGGTTGTGTGTGGTTGTGTGTGCGTGTGTGTGTGTGTGTGTGTGTGTGTGGTTGTGTGTGCGTGTGTGTGTGTGCGTGTGTGTGTGCGTGGTTGTGTGTGTGTGTGTGTGTGCGTGGTTGTGTGTGCGTGTGTGTGTGTGTGGTTGTGTGTGTGTGTGTGTGTGTGCGTGGTTGTGTGTGTGTGTGTGTGTGTGTGTAAGGTTGTGTGTGTGTGTGTGTGTGTGTGTGGTTGTGTGTGCGTGTGTGTGTGTGTGTGTGTGCGTGCGTGTGTGTGTGTGCGTGGTTGTGTGGTTGTGTGTGTGTGTGTGTGTGTGTGTGTGTGCGTGGTTGTGTGTGTGTGTGCGTGTGCGTGGTTGTGTGTGTGTGTGTGTGCGTGTGTGTGTGTGTGTGTGTGTGTGTGTGTGTGTGTGTGTGTGCGTGGTTGTGTGTGCGTGTGTGGTTGTGTGTGTGTAAAACCGTACAGTACAGGTATTAAACAGAACAAACAGTGACTGTAATAAGTGTTGACAGATGTTGCAGCAACAAACAATGCTTCATTATGTTGAGTTAAAGAGTCTCACAGCTGCCTCAGATGAACCAGTCATGGATAAAGTGACATATTTAAGGATTACCATAAAGAGTGAAGAGGGACAATGCTCCTCAAACTTTAATTTAATATGTAATAAGGCTGAGAAAAACAAAAAGATTTATTTTAAAAGGAAGAGTGCTGTTCTGTCCTAGGCAGAGGATATCTCACATACACTGCAGTGTAATATTGTCAAAACATTAATTTTCTTTACTTTACTACAAACACAACACTCCTTTTCATTTAGTATGAAGGTTGTCAAAATGATTTACATGTGCTTGATGATTCATGTAAAGAGAACCCCATGGTCTCTGTTATTGTTAATGACTTATTTCTCTACATAAAATTGGGGGAAACAAAAGTATCACTACTGTACATTTATTTGCAGAGGATAAGACCTATTATTTGGAAAGAATAATTATTTGAAATAACTAAATACAAGTAAATACCAAGAAAATCTGAGATTTGAGAAAAGTCATGCTGAAGGGAAAATAATTATGCAGCTATACATGTGTATTAATGTATTTATGTGCATATTATTTAACCAGTCTTAAATGTATTCATTAGCTCGGAATCTTCTCAACCTTTATTTATCTATTCATTTATCTACTCATTCACATACATGGTATGTCCATTAGAGCCAGCAGGTGGAGAAAAATCCACTATTCTTTTGTTTCTGTTATTGTTCTTGTTTCAATTTATTTGAGCTGTTTCAAATGATGCAAATGATCACTGTGCCTGATTTGTTTTTTTCCTTTTTATTCAAAAGTTTAAAAAAAAATATTAAATAGTAATCACTCATGTCACCCACTATTTGTTTTCATTTCATTAGATGTGAGAATTACATAAAAAGTGGCCCTCAATAAAATAAAAGCAGGTAAACTTGCCAGAGAGGTGAACAAACACATCACAATATAAACACGGGTGTGAATAATTTTCACCATAACTAAGTATATATACATCACCTTTAAAATATAAGAACATCTCACTAGACCGACATACAAATGGCAACAAATACCATCATAAAACAGAACCCCTCTCAAGACACGAAAGTATTCATAATGGCCGCATTTTATTCACGTGTACCTGTGCTTGAGTTCAGTTATAGTTATAGCAGAGATATCTGTTTGGGGGTTACAAGGTCATGTGTATAAATGTCCAACTTGTATTAGAAAAATCTGCAGATCTAACACTGTCTTTTAAAATCAGTCCGCCATGTCTATGTGAAAGCTGTGTGAACACAAAAAAAATGTTTACATAAGACACGCAGAATACAGACAAATACACTGTTTCATCCCAGTCTTCTCCCATTAATGTTAAATGCTATGACCACACAGCATTATCATTGCCCAAAGCAGTCTAACAGGGTTAGGTATTTACCAGTCTTGACTGGATGCAATACTACATACTTTTTGGCAACAGCAAGCTAACCGCTTATTCATATCATAATGTTGAAAAGACAATATTGACAGAATCCCTACAGTACCAAATTTGGTGTTTTTGAAACAATGCTATTCTCTGGAAAACATCCACCTAAAACCTATGAACAGTTATACATTCCTTTAACAAATTAAGCTGTGACACTTGATTATACAAACAGGGTTTGCAGAGCAGTAAAGTAAAGTACCACAGGCAATCTGGTTAATATTTCCAGAGGAAATCAAATGGTAAGTTTAATTTGTGTGGCACAGAGGGAGAATGATCAGTGGCGCAGCATTTATACCATCAACAAGACCACAGGGACTGAAGTATGGGTAGAGTTTCTCAGTGAAGTTACAGCCAGTAAAGGAGTAGATGAGAGCTGCAGAATCTACATCATAAAAGGAGACCAGACCCTCCTCATAATCCACAAACACCCCCACCTTCTCAGGCTTCGACTTTAGAGAGAGAAGGACACCAGGACCAGCAAGAGCTTTGTACTCAGTTCCCTTTCTCAACCATACAGTCCAAAAGCCATTCTTAGGGGACAACCTGATTTTTCCTTCCCTAATTACCGATTCTTTGGCCACTCCTAAATCCCACTCAGTCTTCTTGCTAACGTTAACTTCATAGTAAAATCTGCCTGAAGAGAAACTGTGCCTTCCTAAAACACCATTACAAAAGGAAAATCTCTGTGGGTTGTCAGGGACATTCCTTTGAATCACATCAGACTTTACTTGTTTCTCATCATCAGACAGGATGAGAAAGGGACTGGCAGTGTCAGGATCAAGAGTCACATCCACCGCAAACTGCTGGACCCTCTTCAACTCGATTTCAGCACACAGCTTCTCCATCTCTTTACTGAGGGTCTCCTGCAGCTGAGCCACAGCTCTCCTTACAGTCCCCTCATATGATGAGTGAACTCTGACCTCTGTCCAGTCTTTGGTGGGTGGGGCTGTGTTCAGGGATGGGAAGCTTTGGAGGAGCTGGAGGTGGTCTTCGGTGTTTGAGAGCTGCTCCACTTCAGCACTTCTCTTTATCAACTCAGATATTTCCTCTTCTAGCTCTATGATGAAGCCTTCAGCCTGTTTCTCTGTGGTTTTTTGCTTCTCTTCAATTTTGTCAATGAGCTGAGCCAGACCTCTCTCAATAGACTGGATCAGACCAGTAAAGACCTGCATGCTGTCTGCTGTCTCTCTCTGTGCATCTTCCTTACTGAGCTTCACTGACTGTTTGATCTGCTGAATCTTCAGCAGTCTCTCTTGGATCATCAACTGAATTTCCGCTTTTAACTTCCCCAGTTTAGCTTTCTCTGCCTTATATTCTTCTTTCATAGGAATAAAGACATGTACCTTGTGCTCTGACTCAGTGCAGAACAGACACACGCACATCTGGTCAGTCTTACAGAACACCTCCAGAGGTCTATCATGCTTCTTACACACTCTGTCTTCCAGGTTCTTCACAGGATTGATCAGCTCATGTCTTTTCAGTCCTGGGATTCTGAGATGAGGCTCCAGGTGAGTCTCACAGTAGGAGGCCAGACACGCCAGGCAGGACTTCCGGGCCTTCAGTTTGGTTTCAGTGCAGACGTCACATAGAACTTCTCCTGAGTTGGCATATTTTTGCGCTGAGCAGCTGCTAGCTTTCTTTACAGCTGACCGTCTGAACTCATCGGCCATCTCAGATATAAATGTGTTGACCCTCAGCTCAGGTCTTCTGTCAAAGACATCTTTACACATGGGACACTGGCTTTGGACATTAACGTCCCAGTGTTGTGTGATGCAGTTTTTGCAGAAGTTGTGTCCACAAGGTATGGTGACTGGATGAGAGAACACATCCAGACAGATGGAACACAGAAACTGTTCTTCAGAGAGGAGACTGTAGGCAGCAGACATGCCTGAACAACAAGACCAAAATCAAACTTACTCATCTCTCTTTCATACTGTGGGTTGCAAAATTGTTAAATAGATCACAACAAAAAGTCCAAGCAGCCTCCTCATTAAGCTGCACAATTTAATGGTTTAAATGTATTGCAAAAAACAGTAAGATACATATTTCAGCAAAAAACTGTAGCCATAAAGATAAATATGTATGTAAGATGGTAGCAATACTGTATGTATAGTAAATATCTATTACTCAAGTCAAACACAGCTTAAACTGATAAAAGTGCTGCACAAGAACATTAAAATATGAAGTCAACAGCAGTTATACAAACAGAAAACTTGCCAATGACAACAATAAACAATAAGTGACAAAAGACGTAATCTATTAAACGATTAGTAGGCCAAAAAGGCCAGTGAATAAAGATATGCCATCAGCGTAGATTTGAAATCAGAGATGGAGGGGACAATATCACTACAGTTGTGAAGCAGTTTTAGTCGTGACCGTGCCAGGGAATAAGGTAGGTGATATAGAATGGGGCCTCACAATTAAGAGCCTCGAACGTAATCAGCAAGGTGTTCAATTAAATTCTAAAATTGACAGGGAGCCAATAAAGAGAGGCTAGGAGCTGGGTGATATGCTCAAGCTTTTTAGTACCAGTCAGCATCCCTGCAGCTGCATTTTGATCCAACTTTAGGCAAGGTAATGAAGCCTGGGGAAGGCCTAAGGAACAGGAAATACAGTAATAGAGCCAAGAGGTCATGAAAGTGTGGATTATTTTTAGGGCTGAACAATTAATTGAAATATTACCAAGGTTGCAACATGGCCAAGTGCAATATCCAGATCGCAGAAGCTGCAATTTTTTTAAGGTGTGACAAACAGCATTATAATGAAGCACTGTAGAGCTGCAGAGATACCCTGGACTACAAATATTGTTCTCCAGACGTAAGAAAACATGTTTGTCAAAATCATAAACAATCATCGTAATTTTAATAGTTTTTTGAGAGAAAATTTAAATTGCATTGAATCATCATAATAATAATAATATTTGTCAAAATAATTGCAAAATATCATACAATTATTGCCATATTGTGGAGCCTAAAATACTTTTTCTCATATCATGGAAACACATAATAAGCTTATGTTTGGAGATGGTTCTAGCTGATAGTAACTAAATTAACAACAGAACTAATTTAAAAGCAATGGTAATGATTTGTGTTTGAGCATAAGCTTCAAATCGAATTTATGTGTTGTAGTGCAAGTAGAGTGTTAGTGTTTTTGATATTTTCCACCCCTTGTATGTGTACTGCATTTCTTTTCAACAGAGCAGGCAGAAAAATACAAAATCCAGCAAAACAAAAATTTTAACTTACCCTAATATGAACTTATTACAATGTTATTCCAAACTTAACCTACCAGTGAGCTTAATTCAGGTGGAGCCTGATGAAGACTATGCTTGTATAAACATGCAGTCTCTGCCATTCATTCAGTTTAAGAAAAAAAATCCGAATTTGAATACACATGGTACTTTTGCTTTGCTTTTTCAATGAGTGTTTGAAGAGCAGCAACTGCACTTTTGGTGCAACTATTGTAGCCTACTATATAAAAGAAAAATAACTGACTTTACTTAAATTCACTAAAAACCTTTTCAGCACTAAATAAAAGAGTCCTTATTTGTTCTGTGTTTAAACACTAAATGTCATCCACTATACTCACCTGTGTGTCTCCGATGTATTTTGGTCAAGGCAAGACGAAGAAAGCTTTGTTTCTTTCAGAGAAAAACAGAAGTTGCTCTTCTGCAGCAATGACTTCCTTTCAGTTTCATTTCTGGCGGGAAAACAGTTTTTCATGTGTTGCTCCGCCTCTCACTGCACTCACATTAGTTATCTGTTTTTGAATGTAGAGAGAAACTGAGATTAAAATAGAAAATAATTATCTTTGGTTGTTGTTTGTTTAAAAAAATAATAGTTCCACTGCATTGAACAGCTTGACTCAACTCTACTTGCTCTTTTTTGTCAAAAGTTGTTTGTAGTTAGTACCTGGTACCTGGTACTTTTATTTTGTATTACCCTGCTGATAATAAGAGGAAACTGAGAAAAGTTTAGCTGAGTCGAGTAGAGACAAGCAGTACCATATCATGGAAGTGGAAACACGGCTTAAAACGTAAACAAAACCTAGATGAAACTTCACTTCACTACCACATCAGAAAATAACAATCATGTTTAATGGCTTAAAGTTGATTGACAGACAGGAATGTGATCAGGAATTGAACTCCGTTATTTTCTTACTATAAGTCTAATCATGTGTACATATTTTCTCATTTAGTCTTACGGAGGTATTGAGGAGGCCATGGCCAGATTCATAATTAGTGAAGATGCCAGACTCTGGTGGACCACAGTCATGGAGGCTCAAAGGAAGCAAAAGGCCCAGCAAAGACCTTTGACAAAAAGGAAAAGGGAGGCTATTAGTCCAGCCGACATCAGAATTGTTATATCACGTGAAGTATTTGTATGCTCTGCAATGCTGAATGAATCAATAAAAAAGATAATAAAAAATAAAAATGAAAAAAAATTGTTATATCACGTCTCTGCACTGATGGTTTACTGTAGGTGTTCAGATTCTGGAGATTCAAACAACCTTTCTTCTTTATGCAAATCTTTATTCAGCCTGACTCCAGAGAGAAATAGAAAGAGAGTGGACCTCAGTGGCGAGTGGGAGAGCAGACAAACAGGGATGACAAATCTCTGGCTGTGATCCCACAAAGAAACAATGGAGCAACAAGAAGAAACTGGAGAGGCACAGGCAGGTTCAGTATTTTTTTATCATTTGTCTTCATTACAGCTTGAATTTAGATTTCACTGTTAAGATTAAAAACTAAAACAACCAATTATCTGTGCAGATGCTGTGAATACCCTCTGCATACTGTGAAGAGACCTGGAGAGAAAAAAGAGAAACAGTGAGGTGTCGATGAGGCTCTGGCAGACACATTCACAATTTACAAATCGTAATTTTATAGCAGCACACAAACACACTGGTCCAGAATGAACTATTGAGTGTGATGGCTCTGCCATTATCAGGACATTACAGCTTAAACAGTTTGATATGTGTTATATGAAATGGAATCTGGGATGTTTTCATACTCAAGTTTGGTTTCAAGCTCTTTGTTATACAGTTATACAGGAACTTGTTCTTTGTGTATTGTTGCTTTACAGTTTGTTGAATTTGTGCAATAAATTCTCTTTATACAGGCCTTTCTTTGACTTGAGGGAAAAACTCACCCCAAAAGAGAACAGCGCCCCAGCTTGCCATTGCTTCAGACCTTTGAACCGAAGGGAACAAAATGGATTGCGTCTCAGAAATAAATTAATTAAATGAATAAATATAATTTAATAATATTAGATATATAATAATTTATATATAAGTTGATATTCCCTTAACTGATGTGTCTTCCTATCTGACAACTCGTTTGTGTCTCTGCTCATTTAAAATTTCTAAATGTGTCCCTCTGTATTTTAAAAATATGCAGAAAATTAAAAACACTCAAACAGATGTATCAGGAGCTCTTAATGGCCAGAGCTTTAGGTCTACCCTCCATAATATCAAGCTCACTGCTACAATAATGTGCCAGAAAATTCAGAAAGAATCACTTTGATATAGAAATGTTTGGATGTAATTGTAGCAGGTCTCTATGCTACTGTGGGTTCCCTCAGCACACAATCTGACAACACTGGTCCGTTGTACCACACAACTTTTATTAAAATTGTAGTCACACAACATACAACAACTTCTTAAATCTCTCCCACTCGCTCTCACTTGTCTGTCCACCACCCCAGGTCCAGCAAACTAATGCAATATAAGGAGAGAGTGATTACTCAGTGAGTACCAGCTGTGATCAGCTCACCTGGTACTGCTCTCACAAGCCTTCCCCACACCTCTCTCTCCTGCAGCTGAGAGTAAACCACACCCACCTCCACAGTAGTACTAATCAACATACATGGGCAGGGATATAGTGGATAAATGTGTCTTCCATAGGCCACATGTAAGATGTGGTTACAGCAATTGCGCAGGGTTGGTGTGGCCCTATCTGATATCATTTCATGGGGCCCAAAATCCCTGGCGGGACCCTGCAGGACCAGGTTGTTAAGCAGACTATATGAATATAGTTTGTTTTCAGGTCTCCACTGTGCCCTTATGATGTGAGCTTTTTTAACTTTATATATCATAAATAATAATCTAAATTTTAAAAATATTTTTTGTAGGTTTTTTATTTAGGTAAAAAAGGTTTTCTTGCACACTGTAAAATTAAGGCCCAACAACCTCTCCTTGAAGCTTTGGCGAACCCTAGTAAACACCCTTCATGGAGACAGCTCTATATTCTGTATTTGCTCTTTGTTTAAACACACTAAATATTATTTGCTATTCTTACTATCTCTATTCACTCCATACAGTACAAGGGAATACTATGTAGAAGCTTATGTACAGCAGTGGTTCCCAACCTGGAGGTCGAGACCCACACTAGGGGTCGCCAAAGCTTCACAGAAAAACTCATCTCTAATGCAGTATTCACAGGAAATGATGATAATAATTAATAATAAAATGCATCCAAATCGCTTGTTTTACACAAATGTCTTACAGTTATTGCATTCTCTATTTACCAATATCCATTTTTTCCACATCCAGTTTATTAAAATGTAATGTATTCAATGGGTAAAACATGTTTATACACTATGCACAATGCTCCAACATAAAGAAAAAAACACATCAGTGGGTTGTAGACACACTTCCAACCAACTTTGCCTGTTATTATGGAATTAACTTGGTATAAAATTCACTGAATCATCACAGAAACTTGTATGGTTTAATAGTAGCTACAAGACTGAAGAAAATAGAACACAATGCAAAATAAAGACATAACCACAATGAGTATATTCAACACAAGATATTCAGATGGTTAACTTGTAACATAGGGGACAGGGGAGATCATCAGAGGAAAATACTTTTTACCACCAACATCACAGGGACCAAAGATGGGGAAGAGTTTCTCACTGAAATTATAGACAGTAAAATCATGGATAACATCTGCAGCATCTACATCATGAAAGGAGACTAGACCCTCCAATTTCCCGTTGTCAAACACAGAGAGAAATAGATGTGCAGTGTCAGGATCAAGAGTCACATCCACTGCAAACTGCTGGACCCTCTTCAACTCGATTTCAGCACACAGCTTCTCCATTTCTTTACTGAGGGTCTCCTGCAGCTGAGCCACAGCTCTCCTCACAGTCCCCTCATATGATGAGTGAACTCTGACCTCTGTCCAGTCTTTGGTGGGTGGGGCTGTGTTCAGGGATGGGAAGCTTTGGAGGATGCCAGTGTAAACACAGCGCTCTCTCTCCTGCTGAACACCATAAACGAACAACAGCAGGCCCACCCCAACGGTGTTCACATAATTGCAGGGGACTTTAATAAGGCCAACTTGAAGACTGTACTCCCGAAGTTCTACCAGCATGTTAAGTGTTCCACAATGGGGGAGAACACTCTGGATCATGTTTACACCAACATTAAGCACGCGTACAGAGCCATACCCCTCTCCCACCTCAGCCAGTCAGACCATCTTTCCCTCCTGCTTTCCCCAATATATATATATATATATATTACGAGCCAAACAATACTAGTCACCACACACCTTCACTCACTCTCACCAACTGCTGCCAATAAAAAACTCCCACTGACTGCTGCATTTTGATTTGAAATTAGTGTGCATTGTTCATCAACTACGTCATGTGTGAGCGTCGTCGCGAACTGACGGCGGGCACCTGCCAAACCAATCATACCTGTGTACAGTGACAATAAAGGCATTCTATTCTCTATTCTATTCTATTCTAGGAACTGGAGGTGGTCTTCGGTGCGTGAGAGCTGCTCCACTTTAGCACTTCATCAGCTCAGATATTTCCTGTTCCAGCTTTTTGATGAAGCCTTCAGCCTGTTTCTCTGTGGTTTTCTGCTTCTCTTTAATCATGTCAGTGAGCTGAGGCAGACCTCTCTCAACAGACCAGTGAAGACCAGTGAAGACCTGCACGCTGTCTGCTGTCTCTCTGTCTGCATCTTCCTTACTGAGCTTAATTGGCTGATCTGCTGAGTCTTCAGTCGTGTCTCCTGGATCATCAACTGAATTTCAGCCTCTGTCTGTCCCAGCTCAGCCTTCTTTCCTCGGTATTCTTCTGTTAGAGGAACAACATAATGAAGCTTGTGCTCAGACTCAATGCAGATGAGACACACACACACACACACACACACACACACATCTGGTCAGTCTTACAGAATAGCTCCAGAGGTCTATCATGCTTCTTACACAGTCTGTTTTCCAGGTTCTCCACAGGACCAATCAGCTTATGTTTTGTCATTCCTGTGATTCTGTGATGAAGCTCCAGGTGAGTCTCACAGTAGGAGGCCAAACACACCAGGCAGGACTTCAGGGCCTTCTGTTTGGTTTCAGTGCCGACATCACACAGAACTTCTCCTGGGCTGATATGTTGTTGTTCTGAGGAGCTGCTGGCTTGTGACTGTCTGAAGTGAGCAGCCATCTCAGACATGAATGTATTTATGTTAATCTATGGTCTTCTGTCAAAAACCTTTTTACACATGGGACACTGACTCAGACACTAATGTCCCTGTGTTGTGTGATGCAGTTCTTGCAGAAGTTGTGTCCACATGGTATGGTGACTGGATCTGTGAACACATTCAGACAGATGGAACACAGAAACTGCTCTTCAGAGAGGAGACTGCTGGGAGCTGCCATATCTAGAAACTGAG